CGAGGACCAGTTCAGAACGTTCATGCTATCAAAATTTATGGCACAGAACCAGTTTGATTTTTAGGGAGGAAAAGATCGCATAGATTAGAAATCGATAATTGAAGTTTTTTTAACACGTAATACATATATTTCAGAGAGAGAAAATGTGAGTGGCTGTTCACGTAGGATCCCCGATGCATTGTTCGATCACACTTTCGTTCTCTCAGAGGTCGTGGAAGACCAACTATCACAGCAAACTCAATTCGAATACAGTACAGCGCATTCAGAAACCCAATCGAAGTAGCACTCCAATGAACACCCAGCAGATTTGTCAGTCACAAAGAGTACAAGGATAGTAGATGCCCCTAAGGAACTCTTCCCATCGTTCTTCGATGCCTCTTCATCGGTTGAAAGCAAGTGCGTGCCATATTCTGCGCTATTGCGATACAAATGAGCAACTAAACAACAAGGGCATTCCAGTCCACATTCATAGGGAGAGACAATTGGTCAGAAACACGAGATCATCTACCACCAACGGCACCCATTGAGATCCGTCTCCTCTTCTACCCAACTATGCTTTTACTTCTGTGAAAGCTTTGGAGCTATACTACATACAATGTTCGCTTAACTTTACGATGGAATAGACTTTACAGGTGCGATGCGAATGCACAATCAATATGCCCCGACAATGTCCATATCTTGAGTGGCGATGATATCATACACGCAGTCCTTGCGGTCCAATTCATCAGGAATGCTGGCGCAGGCGGCTTCGGCTTGTTCTTCTGTCATCTCACCCCTGAGAGGTAGTCCATCTCTTCATAACTTTATAGAATATTATTGTGTAATAGCCCCAAAGTTGTCACAAGTCGGAATTGGTGGATTAGAAGAGCAGGAGCCCAAGGAGTGTCCTCGAAGTTCTGGGCAATATCCTTTATATTACGCGCGTTGATCGTGGGATGGAATGAATTTGTTAGGTTGTTCATTTACCGCAGTGTATCGCTCCAAAAAATCGGAGCAAGGGTAGAACGAAGTGGTAACTGCCTCTATTGCGAGAGCATGCAGTTGCTTCCAACCAACGAAGAGGCAATACAGATGGCAAAGAGGTTGCGGCTTGATGCTCGGGGCTCATCTTCGTAATCTCCGTGAATGACAAATCTACTTTATGCTTAACGGGAGCAGTAGTTCGGAAATAAATGTGTGGTGCCTTTGAATAATTGTGTTTGTTGTAACAGTGGGTCCTCCATGACTGAGAGAAGGGAAGTGTGATTCGACGTCGCATTGCGCATCGATGGACACATTCAATCACATTTCATGCCTTTTGGAATGCCAATTTATTAGGTGTGTTTCATGTGTTTCGAAAATCAAACTATTTCTGTACCATAAAAATCATGCTCCATCTTGGTCGTGCGCGATGCTTACACATTTCCGTTTTCTAGTCTTGTTTCTATCGATCACCTTTTTGGATTCAATGTGGCATACTCCTCATAAAAGAGATAAACTTAAACCATCATGAAATTCACTACCATTCTTTCATAGACTGCTTTGCCATTTATCTCGGTGAAGGATACGGCTGTGTTGAAAGTTCTATTACTCTTGTCGTAGCAAAGGGGGGCGCTACAATTCCATCTATTTATTAAGTAATCGATCAGTCTTTTGAGATATGATTAAATCCAGCATTTGGGACGTTTCTATCCTATCTCAATCATAGAGATCCCCAAACGGAACGAGGCGCTGTTGTGAGGTAGATTAAGCTGGCAACCCTACTAATTTGCTCGTTCGTGAGGAATGGTTCTATTATTGCTGTTGTTGTTTCATTCATTATAAGAGCAATAGTACGTATGGATTAGACACTGTGCCCGCAATCGCTTGAAAATCCACACACAGGTTTTTTCTGCCATTTTCATGGTCATCACTGCGTTCGCGTCTTCTGGTACTGATACCCTGGTATGGCAATGCTCTCCAACTTGAAGCGTTGCCATGCATTGCAAGAAAATCTTCCTTCCGGCACGGTGCCTGCAGTTGGGTTCTTGGCACAAGAAGCCATCAGGGAATTGCAACTTTTCAATAATCAACTTTCGAGCAGAGCATACCAGAGTCGTTATTGAGCGAATAGAACTATCAGCTGATTGTGGTGGAGTTGGTGCTCCAAGGATCGATTGTGCATGCTGCGCAGTGAGTTTTGATCTCAGCTCTTCAAATTGAGACGAAGTTGAGTGGAAATGTACAGGTCTTCTCTACAAGATTGCTGAGAAAGTAAAGGGTCTGAGACAACTGGGGGAACATGGTACATAGAGCCATGACATGTATTTTTTTTATTAATCTTTTTAAAAGAAAATACTAATCATCTCATCATATCCGCCACGAACTTGAAACATGTAAACTCGTAAATACATTGCAAACTTGGGGTCATTGACAATGACCGGACAAATAATGCACAAAAAATTGGTTTGTCACGTTTTATTAACACCACCTGACCGTCTAAAATTTACAGGGGGCTATTAATATCTGTTTCCATTTTCCCCCGAAAAAAATCGAACTGTCTGATACGACGGTTTCTATGCACAATTCCCTTTTCTCTAATGGGGGGTTATATAATCCCATTGCTCTAAGAATAACCCAAGACTGTTTAATTATTTTGGCAAACCAGACTATTATTGGTCGCTAACCACATACATATGCATCGTTTTCTGCTGGTACCGGTAGACACTACTAGTACTGACCGCTTGGTCGTGGAGGAGAGTAACCAAGTTTCTGATTAGTTCATAAAATAGCACAACTGATCATGAAGCTATTGTCAAGCTTATCGCTAACACTCTTACCTGCTGTATGTCTTGCAGCGACTGAATATCAATGTCCATTACCCGATGCGGCCAAGAAGTTCAGCGCCATCGTTCTAGAAGATATGGACAGTGCTGCTCACAACGTGTACACCGGTGTTGCCGTTGGAGGTGTGTTCAAGAATACTAAGAAACCCAATTCAAATATTGCAGTTGATGGCGAAAGTTTCGTTGGAAGCGTCCAGACCCCCATTAGAATCAATTGGAATAAGGGCATTAACACTGGATCCACGTTGGAGGATGCTGGTATTGACTGGTCCTACTTTGAATACATGGCGAAAAACACCTTTTCCACCACCAGGAATGGATACAAAATCGTGAGAATGACTTCGGGTGGAAACTTCAACACTTATTCTTTCAACAATGGAGGCCAAGGTGAAGATAACGGGAAAACAATCGTCTTCTTCGACACCAACCAAAAAGTGACCTTGACAAAGACAAACGATGGTCGCCAGTTCGGTCCAACTGTCATCGCTCCTTTCTCCGAGGTTGAAGTTCATGGAAACGCTGGTTTCGTGGATGGTCTCATTGTTGCCAAGAAACTGATCACCAGCGGAGGGAATCCTTCCCAGTTGCAACTCCATGGTGACTACTTTAAGGGTAATAATCTTCCTTGTCTAAATCCACCACCGTCAGGTGCAACTAGTGGTCCGACTGCTGCACCTACCGGCACTCCGACTCCTGTTCCTACTAGTGGTCCAACTCCTGTACCTACCAGTGGTCCAACCCTTGATCCAACTAGTTCACCAACAGCAGGACCGACGAATACCCCTCCGACTGTGGACGGTGGCGCTAAGGGAGATCCTCATTGTAAGTATCTGCACCCGGTTCAGTCACGCCACTCTGCCTCGCTCGGTATCTAACATTTTGTGGCACCACTCTTCCGAATCGCAGTCAAGACCTGGAAGAACGAACATTATGAATACCATGGTCAGTGTGATATGATCCTTGTCCAAGACCCTGATTTTGCCAATGGATTGGGAATTGAAGTCCAAATCCGCACTAAGCTTGTTCGTCACTGGAGCTACATCAAGAACGCTGCTATTCGTATTGGTGAAGATGTCCTCGAAGTGGAAGGAAGCGCCGATCCTTCCAGCAAATTCCAATACTGGTACAACTTTGAATCTCGAGCCAAAGTGGATACTTTTGCTGGGTTCCCTCTGACTATCAAGCACCGCGCAGGTAGCAATTACACGGCAGGACTAGAGATTGACTTGAGCTCCATGTTCCCAGGCGAGAAGATTGTTGTCGCCACATGGAAGGAGTTTGTGCGAGTGGACTTCAAAAACCCAACCGAGGCCTCGTTTGGAAAGTCTGTTGGTCTACTCGGTGACTTCCATACCGGCGAGACTCTTGCTCGCGATGGTATCACCGTTCATAATGACTTTTGGACCTATGGAAACGAGTGGCAAGTCCTTCCAAATGAATTCATGTTGTTCCACGTTGTCGAACAACCTCAGTTCCCCAAGAAGTGCATCGAGCCTGAAGATCCCCAAGGTGAACGTCGCCGACGACTAGAGGAGTCCTCCGTGACAGAAGAACAAGCCGAAGCCGCCTGCGCCAGCATTCCTGATGAATTGGACCGCAAGGACTGCGTGTATGATATCATCGCCACTCAAGATATGGACATTGTCGGGGCATATTGATTGTGCATTCGCATCGCACCTGTAAAGTCTATTCCATCGTAAAGTTAAGCGAACATTGTATGTAGTATAGCTCCAAAGCTTTCACAGAAGTAAAAGCATAGTTGGGTAGAAGAGGAGACGGATCTCAATGGGTGCCGTTGGTGGTAGATGATCTCGTGTTTCTGACCAATTGTCTCTCCCTATGAATGTGGACTGGAATGCCCTTGTTGTTTAGTTGCTCATTTGTATCGCAATAGCGCAGAATATGGCACGCACTTGCTTTCAACCGATGAAGAGGCATCGAAGAACGATGGGAAGAGTTCCTTAGGGGCATCTACTATCCTTGTACTCTTTGTGACTGACAAATCTGCTGGGTGTTCATTGGAGTGCTACTTCGATTGGGTTTCTGAATGCGCTGTACTGTATTCGAATTGAGTTTGCTGTGATAGTTGGTCTTCCACGACCTCTGAGAGAACGAAAGTGTGATCGAACAATGCATCGGGGATCCTACGTGAACAGCCACTCACATTTTCTCTCTCTGAAATATATGTATTACGTGTTAAAAAAACTTCAATTATCGATTTCTAATCTATGCGATCTTTTCCTCCCTAAAAATCAAACTGGTTCTGTGCCATAAATTTTGATAGCATGAACGTTCTGAACTGGTCCTCGTATACCGGCACACTTGTTGCAAAGTGATCAATTCTGTATCTCTCAACTTTTGGATTCACTGGCACTTCTCAAAAAATGCAAGTCGATACTCCAACATAAAAGGGACAAACGACAGCTGTAAAACAACATCATGAAATTCACTGCCATTCTTTTTTGGCTGCATTGCCATTTATGCTTGGTGAAAAATACGCCTGTGAGATCCCGGAGGTTCTGAAAAAATTCACTCTTGTAACAAAGGGAGACGCTGCCATTGGCGCGCATTCCATGTATGTTAGTAATTTATCAGAGACAGACATCGATCCAGATACTTCTGCCAGCAAAACATTCGATGGGCATGTCTGGGGTGGCTATATTCCTCCGCGAGAGGAGAGGCTCGAAGACGGTAGTATCATATACCTGAGGAACATGACCTTCAATGGCGACACAACGGAAAATGTCGGCTTGGCAGATGCCGGAATTGACTGGGCACATATCGAGTGGCTCGCTCAGAACTTGGAAGACTGGTAAAGCGGCGAGTACAAAATCACCGTGCTATACGATGGTGGAAGTGAGGCGTCCCCTCTGAGCTTCGAAAAACTACATTGTGGATCCAAGCGACACCGATAGCGGGAAAATCCTTCTCCTCTTTCCTAACGGTTGTGTGGCTTGATTGGTTGAGTGGCGAACACAAGCCTGGTCCCGGTATTTTGGCTCCTTTCTCCAATGTATACCTCCTTGGGGATGCCGCTTACGCGGATGGCTACATCATTGCCAGTAACTTTGAAACCCGTGACGGTGCCAGCAATGTTCAAAGTAGCCTTCAGCTTCATGGATACCCATTCCTTGGTACTGGATTCACATGCAAGAGTACACTAGAAGAGAACCCAGCCCCGGCTCCATCTCCTACTCCAGAAGTGCAAGAATCTGGTAGCAATGGTGATCCTCACTAAGTTTTTCAAATTCCAAGAATGACTTGAGTGCTTCTGGGTACTCTCCACTCACATTTCGGAATGCTTTCATAGTCAAAACTTGGACTGGGGAACACTTTGAGTACCACGGTCAATGCGACGTGGTTCAGGGGAATTGAAATTCAAATCCGAACCAAGTTGGTGAGATATTGGAGTTACATTCAAAGTGTGGCCATTCGCATTGGAAAGGATTTCAAGTACTGGTACAACTTTGAATATCAGGCCAACATGGATAGCCTTGGCGGTTTTCCTGTCATCTTCAAGGATCGTTCCAAATACAGTCACTACAAAGCTGGATTGGACATTGACTTGAGCCCAATGTTCCCTGGAGAAAAGATTTCCGTTGCCGCCTGGAAGGAATCTGTTCGCATCGATGTCAAGAATGGTTCCAAAGCCTCTTTTGGAAAGTCAGTCGGCATCCTAGGTAAATTCGAGTCCGGTAGAACCTTGAGCCGCAAGGGTGCTTTGATGGATGACTTTGTTGAATGTGGTCAAGAGTGGCAAGTTCTTCCTACCGAACCCATGCTCTTTCATGAGACTTCTGTACCACAATTCCCTGCCAAATGTGTTGAACTAGAAGATCCACAGGGTGAACGCCGACGCCGCCGACTGGACGAATCTGGTATCAAGGAAAAGGAAGCCGAGGCAGCTTGCGCGAGGCTCGAAGATCCATCGGATCGCAAAGGCTGCGTTTATGACATTATTGTAACTCAAGACTTGGATATTGCCGGCGCGTACTAAGAAGTTCTCACTGTAGCCTGATTCTTCTATAGTGTATCATAAACAGATAGAAAGAATACTCTTCACTCTGAGACCCAACAAGCGTTTGTAGAAGCTTAAGCGCCGCATTGGGCCGCTTTTCTCGAACTCGCCATCTATCAATCAATGATTGATCAATTGTTGACACGCTCATCTATTGACCCAGTCATGTCCACTCTACTGTGTCGACCACTAGTTTCACGATTCGGTTCCATAGTCTCTGGATTACTTGGTTGGTTGTCTTCTTTTGCATCTAGATCGTGACTTGTCTCGCCATAGTCTTGGTCTTGAACAATTTCTGACTTGTTGTTTTCAGAGGCAATGCTTCCTACTTTTTCTTCGTCGTCTTCTTCCAACTCGTCAATGCTCTCCGCCGTAAGGTTTACACTATGAGCAGAGTCGTTTCGTTGACTGATCATGTTCGATGATGCTTCACTCAGTCCATGCGCAGGTGAATCCAAACTTGCACTTGCTTCCGATTTCCGGCTGAATAATTTGGAAATCCTGCTCGTGGATGCCAAAGACGACTGCCGAATGTTTGAGATGGTGGACCTTCTCGTTTCCGCCCCTCCCATTCGACGGCGATAGATAAGGGCGTTGAAAAAGCCTTGCAGTGGACTAATGGTTCGTAACGCCAAAAGAGAAATGAAGTATTTGGTGTCACCGTATTCAGCGTCTGCTTGCAAGCGGTTGACAGGTACAAATGGAAAGAACCAGAAGAAAAATGCCCCGATATACATGAGAGCCTGGCGACCCGTCTGCCTTGTCCGAATCATACCTCGTTGGGTGCCCTGACCATACTGTCGAATCTTTTTTTCCGTAGCCCCAACCTTGCACAGAATCAGCACCATGGATACGATGATTATCACAAAAGACACCCCGGCAAATACTCCAAACATACGGTTACTGATATGCGCGCCCTCTCCACGGATACAGGGGATATCTTCGTCTTCCGCACAACCCGTGGGAAATTCTTGAGTAAAGCAAAGGCCAGGCATTGCAGTAACTGGATTCAGATGCTGACCAAGGGCCCCAATAATGCCTGTTGCTATTGGCGCCAGAATACTGAAGGCATGAAAGAAAGGCTCGATACGCTTTGTAAATCTCTCCTCGCGCATTTCGTATCGAACTTGCGTCAAGAAGAAGACTGAAAGGCACACAGAATAACAGGAGGCTCCTATCATAAAATTGTAAAAGAAACTAGAGATGGCACAAGTCGTGAAGTTTCCATACGCTTGAAAGACCAATTCGTTTCCAAGTTCTGCGGGTGCTAACCAAGGCATGGTCAATACTAGACTCAAGGAAGATATCAAATCCATCATACTCAGACCCAGCATGAGTCGCTGATAGGCACGTCGCATCTTGACTTTGCGATCCTTCCATATGGAATAAATGATAAAGCCAGATCCCCAAACGGAAAGAGGGGCTGTCGTGAGATGGATTAAGCTGGCAATCCTAGTTTGCTCCTCCGTAAGGAATGGTTCTATGATTGCTGTCGTTGTTTCATTCATCTTATAAGAGCAACAGGACGTATGGATTAGACATTGTGACCGTAATTGCTTGACAAACCACAAAAAGGGTTTTTTCAGCTTGCGTCACTGCGCATTCCTTTTCGCATTTTCTGATCATTCGATCATCACGCTTTCCCAAGTCGTCCGTCATGCATTCGCACCAATGGTGTCATGGGTCATGGAAGGTCGGCTCACGCTCCTTCCATTTTGGAAAGTACCACACCTCATGTTGAAATTTACCGTAGACGCAAAACCTTGTTTCAGTGCATTGTTTTTTTGCCCTTTCATAGTCCTAATTTGAACAATTTTGAAGCTGTTTCTGAACATTCATCATTGATAACCTTGCTTGGGATAGGAAGGAAGACTAGATTATTTCCATCCAAGAGTACTGTAGTAGGAACGTAAGAGTAGGTATGGAAGACGCTGTGGATCCCATTGTGGAACAGGTCCTACAAGAACAACCGCCCGTAGACGCAGCAGCGGCTGCCATGGAAACGGAAGCCCCTGCCGCTGATGGAGCTGTGGAGACTCCTGCACCCGAGGCTGCAGTCGAGGCTGCAGTCGAAGCTGCAGCCGAGGGGAAAGAGGATGATTCCTCCAAGCCAGCAGTCCCTGTTCCTGCTGCGGCGGCGGCTGCTAAGGAAGGAGAGACACCGAAGAAACCCAAGCGCAAGGAAATCAGAAAGCGTGTGCGAAGAGTCGGAAAATCAGAGCCTCGCAAGTTTGCCAAGACGGATGGTGGTTCCAGTAATCCAAGCGGAGAGGGAACCTTGGAGAGCTTGACTGGGGCTGCTGCACGAGCAGATGGGGCTACCACAATGCCAACTCGTCGAGTTCTTTCGAAGCACGATGAAAAGTGGAACAACATGTTTGATAAACTCGTGGAATACAAGGTAAGTCATTGTTGGAATGTTGTTGTTGTTGTTGTTGTTGCACCACATCATTGCTTCAAACTAATCATTATCCAATTATCCTTGCAGAAAGCAAACAATCATACATTGGTGCCACAATGCTACCACGATGATCCTCGTCTTGGACGATGGGTTCACTACCAGCGTGTGGAATATTGGATCTTCCAGCAATCGGGGACTGGCAAGATCACCCCCGAGCGCATTGGCCGTCTCGAATCGATTGGCTTTGAATGGGACCCTCAAAAGGCACAATGGAATATCTTGTTTGACCGCCTTGTCAAGTTCAAGGAAGAAGTTGGCCACTGCAAGGTCCCCAAGGGATACGCCAAGGACACTGAACTGGCCAACTGGGTTCGCAACCAACGTCTCGAACAAGCCAATTCCAAAAAGGGAAAGAAGTCTCGGATGACTCCCGAGCGATACGAGAAACTCACAAGTCTAGGCTTCCGTTGGTCTACCAGTATTGCCAAGAAGGGAACCGCCCGCAAGCCTTCTCCGGCTGCCACAGCCGAACATGCCGCGGCGGTTGCCGCGGCTGCCAATGAGCTTACGACTGCTGCGCCAAAGGAAGATCCTACCGAAAAGGCAGTTGAAGCGGCAGTAGCCGTGGCCATTGAATTGGACAATCCTGCTCCGTCGAATAATGGTAGTGAAATCAAAGACGAAGACGATCATACCGTCATTCAAATTTAAGTTGGATGATTGATGACCACAATAACAAACAAACATACTAGGGATACTTTTGCAAACAAACACATACAAAAACTTTTTCATTTGCTAATGTATCTTGTTGTACTTCACTTTATTTCATATATTAACTTTTTGACAGATTCTCCATTTGATCGTAAATGTCACTCAAAAACTCATGGGCTGCCGCAATCACTTGGGGTGTGGCCCGATTGTGCTTGTTGGTGGCATCCTCTTGCCAGACTTGATTGGCCTTGCTGTTTCGGCCCTTACTGTAGACACCTGCTACTTGCTTCATGTTTTCGATCATGCCATCGCTAATGGGATTGATGTCAAAGAACTCGGGTAATATTCGATCCCAAGCAATCTCTGGTAATTGATTGTAGTTGATGAATCTCCCCATCCCCGTCTTTTTGTGCTCATCAATGGCGGCCAAGGACAAGGCAGCCTAGAATGGAATGGAATTAAATGGAGAAGCAGAATGATTGTATTTGGGCAATTGATAAAAGAGAAGGAAGAGGAAAGGGTCAGATACTGAATTCGATTTGTCACACCCAAAATGAATAATAGATTGCTCCAAGATAACAAGAAGCTTACCAAATGGGCAGCACAGTATTCTGCAACTTCAATATTTTCCATTGTCTTGTCATGCTTTTGCAAAATCTTTTGAGTGGTGCGCGGTTGTCGGTTCATGGGTCGGACATAATTTCTCGCGCACACCGGCAATCGTTTCTTTCCCTTTTTGTTGAGCGTCTGGGCAGCCGCATCCTTAAAGTGGGACATCATGACTTCGACCGAATCACGATACAGATACACCCACGGAGTATTCGGAAAGACGGACGTAAACTTGTCAATGTCCATGGTACCAATCGATTGAATTTTGTAAAATACATGTTGGGGTCGGTCCACCCGTAGTGTCCGGCCCATTAAATAAAAGACATCCTTGATCAATTGCGTATGCTTGTCGGGATCACATGGTCGATCAGAACAAGCTCTCAAAGCGTGGACGGGTGGTGGAGATTCGCTATAGACGCGTGAGTGATCGGGAGAAAAGGCGGCCAATAAGTTGGCAGTCAAAGTGGATCCACACCGAGTTTCGTGAAAGACCAAACCGGCAGGTTCCACTGGCAAAACGACACTCTTCTTGCCCGTGAATACGTCAGGATCATTAAAGGAAGCATCATACGCCCGGGCATCTTGGGCCAGATCAAAGAGATCGACTTCGACTTGAGTGCCTTCGCACATGAAGGATTGGGCTTGCAAATCCTTAAACATTGGAACTGTACTCGGATTCTCTTGTTGTTTCTTCCATTCGATCTTGCAAAAAGTACCAATGGCATTGTATCGTTTTCCCGGAATACGCGCTAGCAATCCTTCATCTTCTACGGCAATATCAATCAGCGTAAAGTGACCTTCCAAAGCCGCATCTCGTGGTGTTCTATGATCATAGTATCAAGAGATCAGTCAATCATTGTCAATTTTTCAATCAATCATTGTCAATTTTTCAGAATGAATATTCATCGCAGGCGCAAGGATAGTAGGTTAGAATTGCACATGCAACATATCGACGTATTAATATAGCAATCATCTCTACTTCACAATTTCCGATCCGACATAGTAGTAGTAGTAGTAGCAGTACTTACGTTTTCTGTTTGGTGTGTTTGGAAACGTGCCGTTCGGGCCTCCGTCGAATCCGTTCCTTTCCAGTCACTGGATCAACGTCTCTGTCGGGTACAAAGATTCCCGCAATATGCTTGATGTATACAAAGTACCCAAACGCATACACCAATAGGATACCCGTAAGAAACTTTATGAATTTGGATTGTTTTCGCTTCTTTTCCGAAGTCCCGTCGTTTCCCTTGTAGTGGTGTATGATTGCCATGATGATGGAAATATTGTTGTGTTATTTGAAGGAATCAGTTGTTCTGTGTAAGTTTTCTCTTTTCCAACTAGTTCTTGGCGTGTAAAAGGGATGACTGATATTGGTCGTGGAGTTTGGCTGGTCTTGTTTGTTTTGAGATTGTGACTTGTCTTGTTGTTGTTAATCGTTGCTACCAGCACTTCATTCGTCGTTTCCTCGTGTCTTTTGGTGATTGTAGGACGGTACTACTGTGTTGCTGCTTTGTTGAAGTGGGCTTCTCTTTCACAATGTCTTATGAAAAACGGTCGGCACCCGATAACAAAAGCTTTTTGGGTGTTGTTGTCGTGGTGATGGTGATTGATTTCTCGGGGTCGGATCAGTCGAAATGACCCGTTCGTTTTCATCGCATGATCGATGTGAAAAGAAGTCGAACGCCGGCAAGGCTTTCTCAACGGCTTTGACCGACTAGGTCGAGCCAATGAGTTCCGTGGGCAAGACCAAACGACCATGGCATCGATCGCTACCTATATATTCAGCGTTGTCTTCCGAGCTTCCTGTCGACGTTGATATCCTTTAGCATCTCTTTTTGAAGAACTGTATCACTCAAAAACTACTACTTGGAATTACAAAATGGTAAGTGTTTGATTGCAGTTGTTGGCTTGCTTTTGGCGTGTGCACTTAGCTTCATTGACTAACTAATTTATCATCATTCCATTCCATTCCATTCAATTCATTTCAATTCAATTCAATGCAACTCAACTCAACTCAACTCAACTCAACTCAACTTTACCATTTTGTAGATTCGTTTCTTTTTGCTGCAAAATCGCCAAGGCAAGACCCGGTTATCCAAATGGTACGTTCCTCCATCTGGAGGCGACACTGGAAGTTCTTCTGGCATTGAAGCCGAAAAGGCTCGAGTGGAGGCCGAAATTCATCGCATGGTGACGGCCCGGGACAAGAAGTACACCAACTTTATCGAATACAACAATTACAAATTGATTTACAGACGATACGCTGGACTGTTCTTTACTATCGCAGTGGATGTCCAAGATAATGAATTGTCCTTTTTGGAAACCATTCACTTGTTTGTGGAACTTTTGGATGCTTACTTTTCCAATGTTTGTGAATTGGACATTGTCTTTAACTTCAACAAGGTCTACACTATCCTAGATGAATTCATGCTGGCGGGAGAAATTGAAGAAACTTCAAAGCGAGAAATTCTGGATCGAGTCAAGCAACTGGAAAAGATGGAGTAAAGCTGTATTGGTGTTGCTTTGCATGGTATGGTACGGTAGTTGTACTGTAGTTTCGGATATTGAATCCTCACCTACCAACCTACGCATTTGTACTTTTCTGGTTTGCGCAGTCGAGCTTTGTCTTGATTGTGTTTGTGCACTGTTCATAATGACAAAATAATAAAATGTCTATTACATTAACATCCTTTTGCTCGAGTGTGTAGGATGAGAGCGGGTTAAGAATTGGCTCGTACGCTTGTTGTTGTTGTCTATCGTTTCACAAACACACACATCCATTCGTTCCAACAGATAAGGATTTAGCTGGTTGCTACTGGCAAATCCCGTTCCATCAATTTGGGCTGAAAGCTTTCCAATGTATCATAACTTGGTTTCAATATCAATGCGGCCGCCTCCTTGACGGCATCCGAGGCCGCATGTTCCTTGGCTTCGGAATCTCCCTTGAAATCCACATGCCGCTTGCCACGGCCTTTGGAGTAGGTCTGCGACACCTTTTGGATATTGGCCGTTTCCGTAGACGTTAGTGCACGACCCCAGATCCGGGGCAAGACGTCTTCATACAAGTGTTGAATGAGACCATCGTAATTCATCGGAATGGCATAATCGTTCAATCGGTGGACGGCCGCTTCGCTAATGGCCGCCAAATGCGCCGCGCAATATTCTTCTCTTGCCATGGTCTTGGCGTCTCGTCCATGACTCTTGGCAATTTGCTTGATGTCCTTGGGTGGATGATGGGATTGGGTCTGGACGCACTTGGCATACTTCAACGTGGGATCGTCCTTGATGTGACTCATCATGACTTGGACGGGATCTCTGTACACAAACAACCAGGGGACTTGAGGAAAGGCCTTTTGGAAGACTTCAATATTCTTGGTGGTGATGGATTGGAATTTGAAAAAGACACGCTCTTCTTGTGGATCGTTGGATCGACTCATCATGTAGACAGTATCCTTCAAAATGGCAGCGGCCTGATCGACCGTACACCGATTGTAGTTATCGCCACAGGTCGACTTTAGCGCTTGAGATCCAGGTTGAGATTCACTATAGGTTCGGTGTTTGGCAGGGTCCATTGCCAGCAAGGCATTGGCCACCAAGGTCGACCCACAGCGGGATTCGTGAAAGGCCACGGTCGTCAAATTCAAAACTTTTGGGATTGGTTCTTCGTTCTCGACCGCAATTTGATCCCGATGACGAGCTAATTCGGCGATCTTCTTGAGGTCGATCTTGAATACATCTTCAATGTCGCAATCTGGAGAATGGCTGACCAAATCCCGAAACATGGGAACTGATTTCGATTGAAGGGAGGGGGAGGAAAACAGAAGGAATAGGATAGACGGTAGATGTTGGGTGGTGACGATCAGATGCAACAAGAACAGAATGACACCATTGTAAAAGAAATGAAAGCAAAGGCATATCAGAAAATGTATCATATAGTTGGGCGAGGCATTGGATGCCGCCCAATGGTATCAATCAAGACCAGACGAGAATAGTTTCTTTCTGAATGAATAGTCATCGTCAATCAAAAACCACGTACCTGCCGCAGGATCCTTTTTGTGCGCTGCAAAGTTGAGCTTGCAAAAGTGTCCATAAACTCCAGCATAAGAAGATGGATGCGAACGTGACAATTCTTCTTCGTTGAGACCGAGGGATACCAAATGAATCTCCGCTTCCAAAATTTTCTCAATCATTTCCGCCTCGTTGAAGTCTTCGTGATGTTGTTTGTGAAGGTCGTTGCGGAATTTCCGAGCCTTGTCTTGAAGCTTGTGGACACCTTCCTTGACCCTTTCAACGTTGTCGCTTCTCAATAGTTGCCGAGAGGTTCCGCCATTGCCCGCAACGAGACCAGTGCTGACCAACGCCAAAGCACCAATGCAGATGAGACAGACGCCACCGCCTATCATGAATCGATGAAGCATGCGCTTTTTAGCGGCTTGTCCATTGTTTCCTTTCATGATTATTGTTGTTGCTGAAATTATTGAATTTGTTGACGCTTAAGATGTGAGATCATGTGCTGGTGTTCGGGGGAAAAAGGAGGAAAGAATCGATGGCTGTTTTGTTGCTTGTCGATCGATGTGAGAGGGTTTTTGCATTTATTTTTGAATGGCTTGTTTCGGACAGAAAGTCGGACAGCTCGCTGAAAATGCTTTCAAGTCGAATGGGTCGAAACGCTGTGGCCTAGAATGGCCTCCCCTTCAAGGGCCTCCCCTTTTTGAAGCCACTCAAAATAATCAATCCATACAGTACTGTATGTCTTATTATTCTTCATACCTGCATCAACAGATTCATCATGGCGAAGCGGACTTCTCCACTCTCCAATACTATCAACAATAGCGATAATAGTTCCAAGAACAACAAGAACAAGAACAAGAAACGCAAAAAGAACAAGAACAAACCAATGCAGAATGATGCTCCTCCTCCTCCTCCTCCCATTCCTGTCACGGTTCTATCGGGGTTCCTAGGAAGTGGCAAAACGACCTTGATGAAACACATTTTAACGTCCATGGACCACGGCCTCAAGATTGCCATGATTGTCAATGATATGGCCGAACTCGACATTGATGGAAAGGTAATCCAGTCGGCTGTGGTTGTCAATAAACCAGAGGTCGTCACTTTGCAAAATGGTTGCATCTGTTGTAATTTGCGGGGGGATTTGATTCGGGAAATATATCGGATACAACAGTTGGGTCAATTTGATTATGTTTTGATTGAGAGTACTGGAATTGCCGAGCCCCAACAAGTGGCCGAGAGTTTTTGTGTGGATCCGGAAACCATGGAATTGGCCGTGGAACAACTGACGAGGACTGCTGGTGACAACGACAATACTCCAAATGTCACGGGGAAAATGCTCTTGAATGCCGCCAATTTGGACACTTGTGTGACAGTGGTAGATGCCTTGCACTTTCCCAAATATCTGTCGAGCCTTGAACGATTCAAGGATATCTTTGACGACGGTTTGGATCAGGCTGCCACCAATTCGGAAGAAGAGGGGGAAAAGTCCATTTCGCAACTCATGATCGAGCAAGTTGAATTCGCAAATGTCATTGTGTTGAACAAGACTGATATGGTGTCATCCGAAAAGGAATTGAATACCAGCCGTGCCCTTATCAAGACCCTGAATCCCAAGGCCAAGGTCATTACGGCTTCCCATGGCCAGATTGATGTCAAGGAAATTTTGAATACGGGTCTCTTTGATTTGGGTCAAGCCAGCGAGTCGCCTGGATGGTTGCTTTCGTTGAAAGAACATGGGGTTAGTGGGGCACCGGGTGAGGCCGATGAATATGGCGTCACTTCCTTTGTGTACAAGAATCGGTCTCCCTTTCATCCATTTCGTCTCTACAAATTCTTGCGTCAATTCTTTTGCTTTGCCAACGAATGGAATGCTTCCTCGCCCGAATCATCCGTAAAGAAGATTGGCAAGGATGACCAAACAAAAGCTGCGTTGAATCAAAAGTATGGTCGCATTTTGCGGAGCAAGGGCAATTGTTGGTTGGCGGGACGGGATCGTCATATTTACGATTGGGCGCAGACGGGACAGATAATGGCCTTGCAACCGGGACAGCCCTGGTTTTGCACCTTGCCAGCCGAAGAATGGGGAATCTCACTATCCATTGAAGATATGAAAGCAATCAAAGACTCGTTCTATGGACAAGACGCCAAGTCGGGCAAGAAGATTCCTCACGATTTTGGAGACCGCCAGTCCGTGGTTGTCTTGATTGGAACGGACTTGAAACAAGAGGCCATCACACAAGCATTGAATGACTGCTGCTTGTCCGAGGAGGAATTGAAAGCCCATACTACTGATTTACCGTATGGTAGTTACGCAGACCCTCTCCAACCGAACGAGGTCGTGGAGTGCGACGGTGTCCGATCGTTATTCATGGTGGCAAGACATGGTCAAGACCAACACTTTCACGTCCCCAGAGGGTCCTCCTTTACAATACAAAACTTGTCTCTTTTGTTCCACCCTGTGAAACTCGATTATAATCTTTGTTACATGGTTCGAGTATGGTTGGATAAGACGGATGTGACCAAACGGGGAGTCTTGTTGGCCACACTTCGGGCCCCTGAATACGAACAGCATTCCATGTGCATGACAATCTTGCCGTGCGATGTGAATGGGGGGGAAATGGATTCCAATCGAAGGCTTCGTGTGGAAGTGATCGTGACTGCCAAAGACCGAACCGATCCGACTCTTGATTTGATGCAACTTTGCGAGGTGCACATCGTGGGAAAAGTGGAACCATTGCCTTTTTCCGAAGATGATGAGATGCAAGCACAAGAAGCCATGACGGACGAAGATACTGACGATGCTAATGAAGACGACGAGGCATGCAAAAGGCAATGACAGGGTATGAACTAAGAAATGGAACAAGAATTCCAGCATTGTCATGCAATTGCCCACAAGTGTCACTACTAGGGATGACCGAATGACGGCCCAACTACAACTTTGGGACCTGAGATGGATTCCTGCTACCAGTAGTGCAAGCACAAGCAACTTGACGAATTCAACGAAACGATACTTTAGATATCAGCTTACTATTAACATAATTCATAAGTATTGTCACTCAACATAGCCATCAACAGAACCTACCTACAATACCTGGTAGGAGGTGCCTTGTCCAGCTGTATCCTTCGATAGCGTGTCACACCTCATATCTGTGAGACTCCGAGGATGCATATATCGGCTTGCGTTCGCGCCAGCATTTGAGGTGCGAAAATCATTGGCAGGCAATATGTGTCATTCGTTGAACAGAAACACAAGAAAATCCTAAATAAATCGTTCAACTGCAAATTTCCGCCGAGTACGGCAGCCTCATTCATCGGTTCACGTATTTAGGGCGCCCTCCAACGCATTCGTTCCAACCAAGATAGTGCAATTCAGGAGTGAGGAGTGTCGGGCGCCTCCATAGTAGCATTGTCCATATCTATCAAGCACATTTCTACTTCTACTGTAGCCGCTCATCATACTATAGAGAAAACGGCGATCACCATGGCGAAAGACGAAGAATCTGCACCAACTGACGGGGTTCCCTCTCGTTGGGATACCAGAGAAGATTACTTAGGCGAAATTAAGAAGGAACGAAAGAAGCGTTGTTTCTGTAATTTCTTTGCCTGCATTGTCGTGGCTGTAGCACTTGGAATTTTGTTTGGCAGCGAAGGATTGCCAACCTCTTCCAGAAGTGCGGCATCCACTGGAGGTGGCGAAGAAGATGATGATGCCACAAGAAGTCCAACGTTGACACCCATCAGCGTTCCAACCGCAACTCCCACAACCGCCGTTCCCACTGCGACTGCCTCTCCAACCAGAGAACCACTACCGGCAATCGTCACTGGGGGAGATGTAGTCGTACAGGATGAAACAAATATTGATGCTGATATTGACATCCAAGAATTCAGAGCTAGTTTCGACAATACGACCTTTTTTTTCAGGGCATCATTGTACAGGCCTACTGCCAACTGGGATGCTACTGTCTTTATGATTGATAATGCAGGTATTGATGCCATTGATTTGAGACAGGATGGATTCAGTGTTCGACGAGTTGAGAGCCGTCGGAATTTGCAAGCTGGAACTGAGGTTTTCTCTGGAAGTTACATTGAAACGAACGGATTGTCACTTACGTTTGCAGCTCCTGCGGAGGTATTTGGTGATCTTGCGACCGCTCAAATATGGGTAGATGCCCCTGGTGACCGGGTTCCCGATGACGGCTTTGCAGCATTTATCCTACAGAGAGAGTTCCCTACTAGAAATCCAACAATGTCGCCTACTGAGAGTCCATCTATGTCCTCAGAGGCTCCTACTGGGTCTCCCACTGAGACTCCAGTTGTTCAGCCAACGGAGGCTCCAGTGGTTCCGGGTGCTCCCACTATGTCTCCTGCACCAGTTGTACCAGGTGCTCCAACCGTGTCTCCAGCACCAGTTGTACCAGGCGCTCCGACAGTGTCGCCAGCACCAGTTGTGCCGGGCGCACCTGTTGTGCCAGGAACACCGACCACTACGCCGGGAGCACCAGTTGTCCCAGGAACCCCAACTGTTACACCCGGTGCTCCAGTTTTTCCAGGAACCCCAACAGTTTCGCCTGGAACACCTTCTGAACCAGCAGCCCCAGTTGTCCCAGGAACTCCAACCGTGACTCCAGCACCAGTGGTACCAGGAACGCCAACAGTCTCGCCTGGAACACCTACTGAACCAGGAGCTCCAGTTGTCCCAGGAACCCCAACCGTGGCTCCAGCACCAGTGGTACCAGGAACGCCAACCGTGGCTCCACCACCAGTAATTACAGGGGCTCCTGTCGTTCCAGGGATGCCAACCGTTATTACGGGTGCACCAATTCTTCCAGGAACACCCACCATTATTACAGGAGCACCAGTGGTACCTGGAACTCCTACTATGCTGCCCGTCGCACCTACAGATCCAACTGCTTCGCCCGCGCCAGTGGTACCAGGCGCACCAGTTGTGCCCACACCAACTCTCTTGCCAGTCATTCCGCCTGTTGCAGCCCCAGTCTTTGTTCGACCAGGAGTCCCAACAGCTGTTCCAGTTACACCAACGGATCCAGTCGCGCCAGCTGATCCATCTTCGCCAACCGATCCTGCGGCACCATCCGATCCAGTGGTGGCACCGACAATTCCAATCGTTTCACCTACAAATCCTCCAACGCCTGGTCCAACCTTCCCACGCTTCCCACCGACGCTATCACCAACGACCATGCCATCTGTTTCACCAACACGACAGCCTACTCCGTTCCCTACCTTTCCTCCAACTACGGCTCCCCCAACAAGGGCGCCAACTCCAGCGCCAACTCCCGCGCCAACTCCAGCACCGACCCCCAGGCCCACAGTGAGCCCGACAGCCTTTCCAACAAGGGCTCTGCAAGTTTCCAGGACCTGTCTTCGTGCCACTGATACATGTGGAGATGCCGCCAATAACTCTATGGATTGGGAGGAAATGAAATGTGCCATCAGTGAAGGTTCTCTCATTTGTACCATGACGGCCTGTAACAAAATCTTCTTTGGCAGCCAATCTGTTGCGGAAGTTTACTTCAATAATGGAAAGAATGTGGTGCAAATGTTTACTCAATTTGTCTTGTGGAGTGAAGTACGGGACGGCGGCATTGTCCAGCTGCGAAATGGAGAATTCAACCTTTCTGGAGATGGGAAAGAGTATCGCTTTGTTTTCCCTACCGAGTTCACCGACATTAATGAAGGCCAACAAATCTTTGCAATTGCAAGAAAGTTTGATGGAGTCGATATCTACGATCGTTTCCCAGACCCTGGACAACCAGCTTTGTTCTTTAGCCCATCCCAGTGCTAAAGAGTCTGCTGCCATCTCGACGTTTTGGTCGATTCTATTTGGAATAATTCTATTGCTACATAGTTCATAACCGATAATACTATCTTATCGTTTCATTTTATACACCTATTTACTCTCTTTGTCGAAATGCACTACTCTCTACTGACGGAGTCAACCTACGACTGACTACATCGACTACAACCATCCACAGCAGATTTCAACCCGGAACACCTTTTAGTTGTGCTTATTTCACATCATGGAAGAAGGTGACAACTCGGCCCCTGAAGAGTGGTACACTTACCAGCTAGGAGATAGGAGTTTCAACAAGCTAGGAGATGCCGCAAGTCACCCAGAAGCAGTCAAGATAGCTACCCATCTCCGCGTTGAAGCTTCCAGAGTTGCATGCAATTCCTTTTTTCGATTCCACGCACTTTTCGCAGTGGATTTGTTGCCCGGGCTTCAAGAGATTGGAGACAGGGCCTTTCAATACTGTTCAAATTTGCAGTTTATTTCCATATCATCCTCGGTACGAGTGATCGGAGAGCGGGCCTTCCAAGCGTGCTCATCGTTGAGGACTGTTACCATACCCAAGTCGACCTCCATTATTCGCTCTGCTGCCTTTGGCGATTGCTCGGCACTGACAACCGTCAACCTGCCCAAGGATGGCACTTTGGAGGTACTGGCGGACTTTTTGTTTTCGAATTGTTCGGCTTTGAAGGTAATACATGTACCTTCCTCCGTCAAGCACATTCGCAAATGCGTCTTTTCGAATTGCGAGGAGTTGGAAACGATCGAGCTTCCTGTAGGTATTCTGTCAATCGGAAAGCGCTGTTTCTTTGATGCATGTAGTTTGGTGAATATCATCATCCCATCGACTGTCGATTGCATTGAGGATGAATTGTTTGTGTATGCGCATGAAATCCGAGCGGCGTTCCCACATATTTCAAATGATGACGATGCTGGGAGACTCGCAGAAGACGAAGATTATGAAGAAGATTATGACGAAACCAATACTGATTTTGTGAATGCCATGATGACGAGATTTGACGATCTTCCACTTCACACGATGTGTTACTACCACACCTACTATCCTATCGAAAAGACAATCAATGATATACGCAATGAAGTTCAAGACTGCGATCGAGTCGACGTGTTCAAGTTCACGCCTGTGCATGTTCTGGCGCTATCCTCGGAACCGAATGTGCAACTTTTCAAAGAGCTTGCAAGATGTTCCGCTCCAAGCATGTTCACGGCCATGGACAAATGGGGTATGAGGCCCATTGAATATTTGTTCAAAAGTAGAATGCCCGGAGCAAAAGCATCGGCCGACTTTTTGATTCAATACACTGTTGTGGATCGATCGCAATGGCTCGGTCTTGACCGATGGAGGACCGATATTGCGAATCTAGTCGATTTGCTGGACCTCAGTGACCATAGTACTCAAGACGGACCAACCCTACGTTTGTACGGCTTGTTGGAAAAGTTGGAGCTAGTCGAATCCACTTCGTTGGTGGAGACTGCCTTGTGGAAACTTCACATTGATAGAACGAAGAGTTCATCTACCCCAAATAATGTTGATCGATCGGCTTGCAGGATTAATTGCGGAGCAGAGATAATCATCAGAAATGTTTTGCAGTTTCTCTTGGATGATGGCTGACTCGGATGATGATTCTACCCTTTTTCTTTTTGATATTGATTGATTGATTCATTCCTCCGAGGACTCGACTTACTACTATCTTGAGTGGAAGGCATCGTAGTAGATGGGACCGACGAGGTTCGAATAGATGGATTTGGCGTAACGTCTATCAACGGCTGCGTTAGCTCAGTATTCCTCCATGGCTACTGTACTGATTGGCCTCAGTGGGACTGATACTTGGACTCTTCGTTGGACGTTGGTGATCGTGTTCACAAGAACGATTTGTGGCTGCTCGTCAGAGCTTCTTGGGAGCAAAAAGGCTGCAACTGCTCCCCCCAAAACCACTAGTATTACTATCATCATAGTCTTGACAGTAACAAACTTGCGAAATTAGTCAGCAGAAGGGTCTTCTGTCCCAGGCTAGTGTGGTTCCCCTCTACGGTAGCTGCTGAAGTTTGCAACATTTTCTGTTGCCCGTCCATCACTTTTCCCGGATCAAATCGGAGAAGATTCGGATCAATACGGAATTCATTAAAACACACATCAAATCTACAGTAGCGGAAGGTTACTTTCCAATAGGTATGCAGGAAGGTACCAGTACTCCAAGCATCCTGTGAGATGTCTCTCATGAGAACATCTGACAGGTACAGAAATAACTTTACATACTTTGACTGTTAGGTACAGAAGTAGCGTTTCGGTGACCAAAAATACGCACATCAGCTTCCGAATTTTATGAGCGTCTGCACAATCTGCAGCCAAAGGAGAGATTGCTTCCACTCTTTTTTGAAAGAAAGCACCTATTGTCAGAATACTTTGCTGCCATCAACATGAGTCATTCGGATGATAAAGAGGAGGAAGAAGAAGTGTCTAACCAAGAAGATACTGTGCCAGACTTGGAAGAGGCTTCCTCCAGTGTCCAAGCTGCTTCTGGTCCTGTGTTCAGTGAAGAAGATGTAACTGCATCAGTCGTGGCAAACAACTCCTTTGTCGCTGCGGTGGTCATCTCAGAGAAGGAAGATCCCAATGGTGATACCGTGATTACCGCTCATCAAGTCGATGCTGGGGATGATCCTGAGCTTCAGGCTCCAGATCGACAGCCATCGAATCAGCCTCCACCTCCAGCCGCGTCTGCTACGGAACAAACTACGACCAGCACTGTTGCCTCAAATTCTGCCCCCGAAGAATCACCGCTCAATACCAAAATCATGGCCATGAAGGAAGCCCGCATTGCAACTGAGAATATGGAAGCTGGATTAGCGAATGATACTGTTCCACAGCCTGCGACTACTCAACGAAAGAATCGAAAGGGCATGCTGTTGGGCATTTGTCTCTGTCTGTTGGCTGTGATTGGAATCATTGTTGCCCTTGTGGTAACCTTGTCGGGAAACGACGAAGAAACGAGAGATGCTTCCTTTGCCATTAATGGCGCCACTGAAGCACCATCTATCACAGAGGAGAAACTGACATCTGTGCCAACGACAACTCCCAAAGTTGCAACACCAGTGCCTACTACTCCCAGCCCAAGTCTGAATCCTACAGCACCACCTACTCCTGAACCTCAGTTTTGTTTGCAGGGATCCGACAAGTGCGGTGATGGAGGTGCGTTTGGATTCGGTGCGGACTGGAAATCCTTGTCGTGTGTGGCCAATACGCAGACACTCAAGTGTACCATTGCGGCATGCAACGAAGTCTTTCCCATTGTTACTCCTTCACGTGTCTTGCATATGGTGAGTGATACAACCAACCAGCGGATTGAGTTTGTAGGAGATGGTAGTTTCTTTCCCTTTGGCTTTGAATTGTTTGATGGAACCAGCCTCGTGTATGAGGGAACTCCTACCGTCAGAAATGCAAAGACGGAAGCGGACATTGAATTGCCAATCTCCTATTTTCCCAATCTAGAAAACATTCAGGTGTGGTTGGAGTCGTCGATTATAGAGCCATTTAATCCAGTCGACCGATTGCCGGACCAGATCACTCTATCGTTCTCTCCTTGCTAGAGTGCTGGAAGGGGAGGAGCATGATTTCTCTGGGTTTTGCTGCTTGACAATGAAAACCAACGAAATTGAAATATTCAATGTGGGAGCGATAATGATGGCCGCCCGCACTCGAAATGCATAACAATACATCTCTTTTAAAATTAAATTATACAAATTCAGTGTTTAATTAAGAAAAAGTACAATCTGGTGGATCTTCCAACAGTCAGGACCCGTCATAATGTTGGTATGGAAGCAGTTCTGGATGTCCAGTCGCTTTTGGAGGTAGAAACCGAAGAAGAATGGACTTGTGTGATTCCAATCGCGCCGGCCACTCCATCTCTCATTTTCAAAATACGACGACAGTTCACGGGTTTGCTTTTCATACCATGCAACAATAATACCGGTACTGTACTCTTATCAGCACTCTTTTGGCCTGGCACAACAGCAATCAATTCAAAATCAATCAATCAACAAGTGCTGTAGCGAAGCAAAGTTACTCTATATCAGTCGATACAATCCAATAGGAAAACAAACTGTACACAAAGACAAACAGAACGAACAATGCCAGAATTCGCAACCGAAGAAGGACCGGAAGGATGCTATCTCATGTTTGATACCTTGTCGGGAGGCAGACTGCTTTTGTATTATTCGCGAGGCAAGATTCCCTTGAATGCCATTGGATTTTGGTGTCCCGGCCCTGGCAAGGCCATTCAAGGCTTTAAATTCAAACAGTCCTCCCAAGAGCTCATCAAGGGCATTGCCGGTGGAGATCAGAATCGTAAAAAGTACTTTAGTGGGTGGTGCCAATTCATCAAACAAGCCAAAGCTATGGGTGGTTACGTCATTAAGTTCCCCAATGCCGAACAAGGTGGAGTAGAAGTGGACATTATCGGATTCCGAAAAGAATCGGAAGAACCGATTGAATTGGACTTGGAGGAAGGGTTGATTGAAGTGGCTGATTTGGATGCGATTTCGGTGGTCCCCAAGCACAATCCGACGTTTCGGGGAATCAAGACCATTGTCGAATCAAATTTTCTGGACATGGGGAACTTGGCGGGGGCTGCCATTAACATTTGAAAGGATTGAATGAGTGAGTGAGCAAGTGAGTGCAGCTATATAGTTTGAGAGATGATTGGGGTGAATGTAGAAAGCTGGCCAAAGTTACTGTATGGAAGTGACACACGGACACTGTGATTCAATGGTTGATTATTCAACACCAATTGACCAAACATCCAATATGTGGTAGGGGACTACCATTCCGAAAGGAGGTTGGAATATATGTTCTCGTCAACATCCAACATACAGTACCTGATGGACAGTTGGAAGACGAATGAATGATAACATGCGAAACAATAAGACGATGTGTACAATATGTGCATGCTGGCTACTAAAATAAAACTAGGAATTGTATATTCTCTTGACTTGATATTCGAATATGCTTCAAGGGTTCTACCCTCATTCTATCGGTGCCTACCGGTAGTACTACAGTAGTCAATCCAGTGACCTGTGACAGAAAAAAGAGGGACTTTGAAAGTCCCAGGACGGACAAATTTTTGAAAACATTGAAGCGACTGGCACGCTCGGTATTTAGAAAAAGTACTGTCGTCTAGGACTCTTCAACGGACAATAGTGTCCAATCGAAAGTGGAATCAACCTCATCATCCTTTAATCCTGGACCATGAACCAGAGCTGCAAACCGCCAGCAACAACATATTCAGTTTAATCTCAAACAAAAGAGCTGGTTATTATATCACTTTTGGAGCCCTCAATTTAATCGGAGTTGTCTCAGCAGTGTTAAAAGACTCGACGTCAGCAACAGTAATAATGGCAGCATACCCACAACACCATCACCTGATTCGACTTCCTCCTCCACCACCACCGCCACAACATTCGCATTCTCATTATGCATCGAGTTCAAGTGGAGGCAGCAGCTACAGTGGAGGAGGAAGCTCGTACAGCAATGGAAGCAGCAGCAGCAGTGGCGGAGACATGAGCACGATGTATCCCTACAAGATGGAAAACAACATTACGGCCTACAGCAGTCTCATGTTTCTGGCCGTGGGAGTCTTGGTGGCCCGCATATTCAATTTCTTTCGATTGAATTGCACCAAACTGGAAAATTCCAAACGACAGGGCTATCTAGGCGTTTCCAACGCCAATCCAGTCCAACATGCACCCTTTCGAGACAACCCAGCCGCTGCCCTGAGGAATCGCAAAACTAACAAGCAACCACCGTCGCCCAATCATCCAGCCATGCGGACTGTTCCAACCAAGGCCATTAATATCGAAACGATGCAACGTTTGCAAACCACGGGCATTCGCATGATGGCTCATGGGGTCCATTGCGATCCCCGCAAGGTATGGTTGACCATGGACAATCAATCCATTAATTGGCAATCGGAATTCCAACGGCAAGTTCCCGATCTGAAGGGTACCCCCAAAATGGTACCCGTCCGCGGCTCTTTGCATCGAATCAACTGGCCCATGATTGAATACATTGATGTGGGCAAACGAACAGATGCCCTGAAACAAGCGACTCATGTGGCGGGGCATTTGTGTTTTTCATTATTAACACAAGAGGGGAGTTTGGATTTGCAAGCCAATTCGCAACTGGAACGGGATACTCTAGTGAGTTGCATTGGAATGAAATTGGACGAACTGTTGGGTCAAGACTGGCGACAATTGGCGCCCGTGGGTGGATCGCCGTCTTCGGCGGCTGGGGTTTCGTCGGCGTCAGGAGCTGCAGCACCAGGCTTTTCCAATTCGTCCTTTTCGATTCACCAGCCATTTCCGGAATCGTTTGTGGATGTGTAATTGACTATCGAAGCAATATTATATGATTGGGGATGGTAGCGAGTTTGCAGAGATGCATTATTATACTTGCTGGGGAAGCAAGATGCAACGTATGTGGGAACGCGGATCTGAACAGCAAAGGCCATTCACCTGTGTGTTGGCGGAATGAATTCATGAATCCAACGAACAAGCGAGCTTTCGATGGGCTAGCTGTGCAAATATACAGGCATGAGCAAGAAGTTGAACCCTTGCTCTCTCGAGTCTTATTTGGAAGAATCACCTACCACACAAAGAGTGGAGGCAAGAAGCCTTGAAGATATGAAGCACAGGAGAACCCAAGGCAAAGAGAAGAATACTGGATCATGACAGAAACAAGGGCTCTATTGGGGATTTTGGGGATAGATGAGTGTCCTTGATTTCTGTCTGGTCGTGCCGCAAGCGTTGATGGATCGATTGATTGATTCAGTGTACAATGTCAGAAAGACTACGGTTGTAATGAATGAATGGACTGAATCGTCACACTCTACAAAGCTAATTTTCTATACCGTTGAATACAACACTGATTGCGGTCATTGTTGTCCGACGGTGTCTGTCTTCCTCAATAAAAAAAAGCCATTCATTCATTCCGCAATGCAGTATTAGGTATGATTTCCATCCACCATCATGTAGTTGAGAATGAGACTCGAAACTTCCTTGTCCAATGGCTCGCTGCCGTGTCCCAAAGTATAGGCAAACCTTTGGCCTTGTTGTTTGGGGTGAAACAAGTAGTCTCGTACGGCCAACATGGCGAAAGTACATCCCTTTCTCATTCTTGTCATTTGTTCTTGAGTGTCGTGATGATCGCAGGATTGTGGTGGCGGTGGTGGTGGTGGTTGGATCATCTTGATCATCATCTTGGTTGGAGGAATGTATTGGCAAACCTTTTGGAACAAGTCAAAGTCAATCGAATTGTTATTGCTGCTATTATTGCCTGAAAGTAGAATGGTCTTGTTGGGCATTTGGTCAAACACATTTTTGAGTTTGTGACCAATGCAACACTCCAAAACCTTTTCTGGTCCTTGCTGCAAGACATTATTTCCTTGCGCCCAAACCCAGAAATCCAGTTCCATGTGACTGAGAGGATGCATGGCAGTTTCGGTTTGAATTTTGAGTACCAAACTGTCCATGTCGGCATGGAATCTTGTTGGTGCTTGGTGGAGGATACTAGTAGTAGTATTGCCTTGTTGGCGGCGTCGGCGGCAGTTCATTGGTCCATGGAGGCAAAAGTTGTGGCATTGGCTAGTACAAAGAATACCAACGCCATGGACCTTTTTGTATCTGCTATCCATTTGGGTTTTACACCAAGCACACATTGGACGGGTAGCGTGTTCTGCTGAAGACATTACTATACGTGTTTGTTTGCTTCCTTACTTGTTTGCTTGCTGGATCCAGAGTGACAACAAGATGGTATTATTATTGTGAACGACAACAAATAATGGTGGGAGATTTTCTAATTTTGATGTTTGATCGGACGAATCGAATCGAATACTGTACTGTGATTCATATTGTACCGGTACCGGTACTGTACTGCGTGGTGAGCGGCTACTCTTTCTCCCTACAAAAAAGTAGCTATCAATAGTGAAATGCAGAATGATCCTGTCGCATTATTTTCTTACAATGTGTAATGTCGTATTGGGTCCTCATTCCTCATTCGACAAAGACTATTACTGGCTCCTCGCTCGCTCGTCCTCCTTGTCCAAATCAAAAAAGGCGAGTCCGGTGATGAGAAGATCCGGTACAACAACAAGATTGTCAATTTCTTTCTGGTGGACTTGGCCGTGTCAAGGACGAAATTACCGAATTGCAACAATTGGATTCTGGTGGCTGGGAGGAGTTTCTTTTTCTTTTTCTTGGTCCTTCAGCATGGCTGGAGGACGAGATTCTTTTACAATGACAAACTCCCTAGACCGTTCAAAATCCACGTCATAATGATCCATTTGTGGTATATGAGTTTTGGTGCATCTTCCTATCAGTATAGTTGCGTCCTCTAGCAAGAGGCGCAATACCATTTGACACGGGCAGAACTCGTTTCACACGTGTTTCCCCTGGCAAAAAAAGCCACTTAGTCATAAATTTCTCGAATGGCCCGTTCCACCATTTCTTGCGTGGCTGGTACCAGCTTGATGCGGGGTGGAAAGTAAAACCGTAACTTGCTCCCCACATGTTGGGACAAAATCTTGGCGCCTCCACGCTGTTGCTGTTGCTGCTGCTGTGGTTGTTGTCCGTCAATCCCCAAGAGCTGTTCTTGGAGTGTCTGGACTAGTCGCTGATATATATTTTGATTGACGTTGGGATCTAATAAAACGGAATAAGGCAAGGTCCAAAAGACTTTGGCTTGTTTGCCATCCTTGTTGACTTGGACCTCAAACAGTTCAATGGGTTGTCCCTTCAATTGAAGTCCGGGCAAGGCCTTTTGCATGGCCGATGGAGGCTGATCTTGGTACTTGTGACAAAGATCGTCCAAACATTCGGTAGCCACGTCCAACAATCGTTGGGCTTCGGCCATTTGTCGGTGTGTGGTGGCATCCGGGATGGAAGGATCGGAGGATTTGGATGGAACGATTCCCGAGTGTCTCGTCTTGCTTTGAATCTCCTTTGCGGTGCCCTCCAAGGATGAAAGGCCTTGCGAAATGACTGATTCCAATCCAGGATTGCGGCCGAGCTCAAAGGAAGTGGAAGGAGGAGTGGTAGAGTGGAACGAACGACTGAGGTTTTTCGTGTCCAAAGATCGTGCAATCACTCCTCTTGGTTGGCGTTCCCAGCATGACCTAGTAAGATGTCGTAATAGTCTATTTCGTATCATCTTTGATAACGTATGAGTGAATGACTGCTACTGTTTTCAAGTGATTGGAAGAGAGCAGAAAGAATATAGGCTGGATGAGTGCTTTTGTTTTGTTGTGATGATTTCTAGCTAGATTATTGTGTTTTTGGTTGATGGGCGTTCGGTGAGACGGACGGACGCAGTCGTCATTTGGCATACAGTACTGTAATATGAACTGAGAACCGCCAACGTCCCCAACACATCATAACTTTTACAGTGGTGGTGCATGGATCGGGACCGTAATAGTGTCTGCTGAAGTATGTTAATGATGATTACAATGCATTCTCTTGGAACCAGAATTCGACCTAGGCTGAGAACTAGGAAATTACCATGTTCACTTTCCAGTATTAGTTTTGTTCCTGACACGACATCAGAAGCAATGATTGCGCCAAGCAACAAACGTCGTCCTAGATATGTTAGTACGACGTCGTGTCAATTTTTGGAGGATGGTTCCATGTCACGCTGTGAACGGAGGCGGCGGTTGGAATCACTTTCCATAGCATTAGACACTAGACGGAACACATGTACAAGGTCCTTTTCATTGCACTCATCATCACCACCACAATCGTGTGCGGTGGGGAATGATGGTCCAGCAATTTGGCGGTGGTCGCCTACCACCACCACCACCACCAGCAGCATTTACAGCAACCAAAATACAGCATATCGATCAATGCAGCAACAACAACAACAACAACAGCAACAACAACAGCGGAGAGGATTCTTTTCGTCATCTTCCAACGACTTGGACAATCCTACCAATATTCCATTTGATCCGCTTCAGCAATCTTCCGCAATAGTCCTGAAACAACCCAATGAAGAATTGTCGGAACTCGAACAAAAGCTCAAGGAAGCCCTTCAACAGTATTCCGAATACATGAAAGAAAATAATAACAATAGTAATACTACTACAACAATTGACGACCCCAACAATCACGAATTGTTGGCACAAGATTTTGGATACGAAGAACGGATGGAAGCACTTCAACAAGTGTACATGGATATGGGATACTGGTCAGAAGCTTTGGGGATTGAACAGACCAAATGTGCCTTGTATTTTGAGGATGGCACAGAGGAACATGCCGACTCGATTCATGCCCAAGGCAAATTGTGGCTCCGACAGGAAGAATTTGGCCATAGCAAGGCCTTGTACGACCGAGCCTTGGAATTTTTTGAAAACTCCAACAACCAAGTGCAAGTGGGACACGTCCTCATTTCCTTGGCCGGGTGGTATTACTTTCAGAATCAAATGGACGTGGCCATGAAACACCTTTGTAAGGCGGAACCCTTGTTGGATTCGAATTCACCCTTGTTGGTCAAGTGTTTGGACAATCAGGGATTGGTGCATCGACTGTGGGGAGACTATCATGCGGCCTTGGATAAATATCAACAAGCATTGCAAGTGGTGGATCCAATCAAGGAGAAAGAGACGAGGCATGCCTTGCTCATGCATCTGGGGGATATGTACCAAGCGATTGAAGAACCTCAAGAAGCATTGCAAGTATATCATGATTTGGTCCAAGAAATGGAACGAGAAACAACGGGAGAAGCTGTGGCCGGCGACACGGCAATCAAGGGAATGCAAGGCGTCTTGTGGCACAACATTGCCACCATTCATGTCGATTTTGGAGACTACGAACTGGCCTTGGATGAGTTTGACCGTGCCATTCAACTCAAGACGGAAATGGGCGGTGCCAATCACCCCGAAGTGGCCAAAACCTGGAACTCCCTAGGAGTCTTGCACGCAGGAGCCTTGCGACAATTACCAAAGGCCAGGGAATGTTTTCAGCATGCCTTGATGATTGCTCGGATCAATGCGGATGATCCATCGACTGATGAAGATGTGATTCATATTTTGCAAAACATTTCGCATATTGAACAGAAATTGAACCGATGACAGTGATGCCAATTATTATTATGATGACGGCCAGTTTTGTGGCTGCTCAGTATAGTAAGCTATAGCAATGCATTATTCACCCAGTCTCGAACCCACCTTGTCTAATAATCAGTTGGCTCCGTAAAAAGATTAATTGCAAAGTACAATTCCAGTAAGGGTAAACCAAATTGGTCCCGACATTGTTCGCAGCAGGAATCGTAAGATCTGCGTCTGCGTGCGTTCCTCTTTGGGACCACTTGTCGTTTTCGAATATGGAACGCAGTTATTGCTTCTCGATTATCGCTAATGGTCCTTATTGTTCCTTATATTGTACGAGTAATTAATATTCGCACCTTCCGTCACATTTTGTGATGCAAGCAAGGGACTTTTGTCACTACGGCTACGATATGGCTACGATATAGCACTGACTGACTCAGCCAATGCTCTTTCTCTAGCTACTACTACCGAATAGTATACAACGTGTTTTCAGAGGAGGATACATAGAATGAGCAGGTCAGCATCTTGTTATTCTAAAATATGCTGCTTTCTATTGTAAACAGCTCCTCACAATCACTTTCACTGCTGCTGGAACTAAAGTCAGCCACCAAACCAGCCAAATTAGTATGACTGTTGTACACTAACTGTGACAATCGATCACTATTGTCCAGCAGTAGTTCACTGGCAGCTCGTGGGTCCAAATCGCTGTCCATTCGTAAACTCACCGAGGACCCATGTCCTCTTGTCAATATTGAACCGGAGGATGAGTCACTGCTGCTTTCGGTTTGTAAATTGACCGAGGAGGACCCTCCTCCTCTACTACTACTTGTCAATCGATAGGAGCTGGAGGATGAGGTACGTCTATGGTGGTTTGGTTTGGTTGGTTTTTCGTCTTCTTCTTCCTTGTTGGAATCATTGATAAGCTCAATCGCTTCGTCAACTGCGCCGGAATCTTGGGACGAGTTGCAGCCGTTGCTCTTGATATTCGTGGATGGTTTGCTCTGTCTCGTACCACCACTAGTAGTAGTAGTAGTAGTAATGTCACCGAAGGCCTTTTTCTTCATGCCAGTGAGTGTTTTCTTGACATTTCCCTTGACATCGCCTTTCTTCTTGCCGCTGCTAATGCTTTGTGTTGGTGTCATATTTGTTACTGCTGTCATAGTGTTGAGTGTGGTGATGATTCTGATTGTGATTGTAGTGGCGACTGCGAATGATTATGAGCTGTTATTGGGTTCGAAAACGCATTCGTACTGTAGAGGTGATTGAAGCTCTTTAAAATGACTGCATTTGTATCGATACGAAAGAGAATGCGGTGTTCTTAGCCTGGCACAAGCGAGAGAGAAAAGTGAGAGAATAGAGGTATTATTTTCGGAGGTATTATGTACTTAGAATTATTACTACCGAGCGTTTTGCTTCCAGTATCGCCACGTATGTTTTTCAATATTATCGTTTCGAAAGCCACAACTGCCCCCCAGTGATGAAGAATGATGCCACGGTACCCCTATTTCCAATTTGACTGTACAGTAGGTCCGTAATACGGACGAAGAAAGTTTTCCTACCTACATACAGTACAGCACCTGAAACTGACACCATCATTTACTGTACTATTTTTGGAGGTACCCATTTTGGTTGCATATCGTCACCACGTACATGTACCGGTACCTGGTACCAGCTACACGACCTGCTGTACGTGTATCACCGTTTCGAGAGTCACGGAGTGAGTCACGACTGAACGCAAGTGACAGATGGCCGCGGTATACTAGTACGATACTACTATTTTCAATTTACCGTCGCGCCCCACACACTCCTGGTTTGATGAAACTACAGTAGTAACCTCGTAAAGTTACTCGTTGGATACGCCTTCCTTGCTTCTAGGTCTCTTCTAGTTGTATATAGACGACTGTCACCAGTAGAGCACATACACCTGCTCATCACGAGCAGTTTATACTAGGTGCACCTGCGGGGGAGAAAAGAAGGGGAACGAGGAATAAAGCAGTATAGGATTTTATAGTAAAAAGGGGCTCTGCAATATCGTATATCGTATCTGTAGCGTACAGTGATGACTTCGCGCTTATTGTCTGTCACAAGACGACATGCGCTATGATCGTTGCGTTTGCCAGGATTTAGACGGATGTAGACGGATTTAGAACGAGGTAACAATAAAGATGAATGTTGATGTGATGAAGAATGCGTCTCCAAGCCAACAACAATTTCTAAGTCTTCATGATATCGCAGGTTGAATCGAAATTTTTAGTTATTGTCTCGCATATTACTGCAAGATCCGAAGCGTGAAAGCTCTGTCAGAATTTGACAGCAACCGATCTTGTGTCAACGACAAACCATTTGCAGTCTCAAACCCACCTTCTTATCTAATAATCAGTTACAGTTGTAACTTGCAACCAAGAACGGCTACTGTAGTAAACCAAATTCTTCGCGACATTATTCTTGGCAGCAGGAATCGTAAGATCTGCGTCTGTGCGTTCCTCTTCGGGACCCACTTGTCCTCGTTGAATATACACTGCCGCTATGTCTAAAATAATGCTTGTCATTGTTCTTTGCGAAACATTCGCACTTTTTTATTCTTCACATTTTGTCTCATGATGCGCGCAAAAGGCACTTTTGACACCCCTCGATACAACACTCATGTTCTCCTTCTCCAGCAACAACCTAGTGGTTATACTGCAGTATCTGTAGTAAAATTTATACTAAAGCGAGCACGCTTTCAGAGGAGGATACAGAGTCATTGTTGGTACAATAGTATTTTGTTATTTTAAAATTTGCTGCTTTCTAATGTACAACTTTTTTCCATACATCGCATGCATCCTTCCATAGGAATGCATGTATGCATATGCATGAATCTACTAACCTACATTGCAACATTTTTAAAACTCGTCACAATCACTTTCACTGCTGCTGGAACTAAAGTCGGCCAAACCAGCCAAATTAGTATGACTGTTGGACACTAACAGTGACAATCGATCACTATTGTCCAGTAGTAGTTCACTGGCAGCTCGCGGGTCCAAATCACTTTCGATTCGTAAACTAACTGAGGACCCATGTCCTCTTGTCATTATTGGACCGGAGGACGAGTCACTGCCTTCAGTTTGTAAATTGACCGAGGACCCTCCTCCCCCCCTAGTCAATCGATAGGAGCTGGAGGATGAGGTACGTCTATGGCTTGGTGGTGGCGGCGTTGGTTCATCATCTTCCTTGTTGGAATTGATGATGTCAATCGCTTCGTTAATGGTATCGGAATCTTGCGAGGAGTTGTCACAAGAAGAGGGAGATGATCGCATGGGCCCGTTCTTGGTATCCCTGGCTGGTTTCTTCTGTCTACTGCTAGTGCTGCTGATACTAAACGCCTTTTTCTTCATGCCAGTGGGTGTTTTCTTGACATTTTCCATGACGTCGCGTTTGTCGTGCTTATGAATGCTTGTTGTAATCGTCATGTCTGTTACTGTTGTCATGATGTTGATTGTGGTGACTCTGTGCTGCTATTGGGTTCGGAAACGCACCTGAAGAGGCTCTTTGAAATGACTGCATTTGTGTGCTCCTCATGAAATTTCATCTAATCGATGCGAAAGAGAATGGTGTTCTTAGCTTGACACCAGAGAGAGAAAATGAGAGAGAGGGAATGTTTTTCGGAAGTAATTATAATTACGCGCGTTTTGGTTCCAGTATGACACCACGTATCGCCGTTTCGAGAGTTGCGACTGCCCCCAATAATAAAATAGGTGACTTTTGCTTTAAAGCAAGGATAAACTGAAAGTGACGTGTGATGAGAGTTATGCCGCGGTACCACTATTTTCAATTTCTACCGTCGCGCATTCGTACGTCCCAATCAATGACTCAAACGACTGCTGAAAATTGTCTGCAACTGAAACATCATCATTGTCATCGCATCTCCCGAACAGAAGCTTTGTTACCTGACTACCATTGTAATACACAAAAGGCATATCGCTAAAAGAAAAACAAGGTCTACCTATTTTTCGAACCGAAAGATTCAATATCTGAAACTGCAACAAACTCAATCAATCAATCAATCAATAAGTTACAATGGAGACCAGAATACTCCGACACAACAACAACAACAGTACTGCCATCAGATGTACGCCATCCTCCATTTCGTTGCTGCTGCTAGTAATGTCCTCCATCTTACTACCAACCACCAATGCCATGACCGAAATTGATATGGGAACCACCTTGGTGGCCTTGAAATTTGACAATGGAGTCGTCGTGGGTGCGGATACCCGAACCTCTGCCTCCGGTTACGTCAGCAACAAATTGGCCCAAAAGATTCACAAAATTACATCACCTGCTATGGAAGATGAGAAGGATAATGACAATGGCAGTGATGATGATGATGATGATTCTTTGTCCTGCGTCATTTGTCGTTCGGGCAGTGCGGCCGATACTCAATGGTTGTGTCAAGAGTTGACGACTGATTTGTGGGAACGGAAGTATCGGTATTGCCAGAAAACGTCCGTCCGTCAAGTGGCGCATTTCTTGCGGCACTTGATGCGACAACAAGGTGAATCATCACTACAGGCCAGTCTGATTTGTGCGGGTTGCGATGAACAAGAGGCCAAGATATTTACCATTGCACCATCTGGGACATTGTTGGAAGAAGACGTCTTTGCCGTAAGTGGATCGGGATCCACAATCTTGCTAGGGCATTTGGATTCCTTAAAAATGTCAATGACAAAAGGCGACGATGGATTGTATTCGGAAGAAGAAGCAGTAGAATTGGTGACCAAATTGTTGCGACTGAGCATAGAACGTGATGGTAGTTCGGGAGGACTGATACGGTTAGTGGTCATGCAAAAGGGAAAGAAGCTAAGAGAAATTACAGTGTATCCGGATGCTCCATCCTCCACGCAGTTGGAAATGAATATTCCAGGATTTGCCAATGCCGAGGCTATATAAAATCCAAAAAACTACCATGCGGATTATAGAGAAGAAAGAGAGACAGAAGAACTACAAGGACGAGGAGAACCAGTGACATTCCTCACTACTTGAAACATTAGACAGAGCCCAAATCGATCCAGCATCTTAGTAACCCAAGCATTGAAAACTTTCTATTTCAATCATGCCATTGTGACTGACTAATATTGTTCAAACCCACTTTCCATATGAAATTGTAAGAAGAGGGAATGAATGAACAAGTACCTGGGGAACCTGGTTACGTTGTACCTGGTACCTGGTACGGTACCGGTTATGCCAGTTTCGCAACCGTAACGGTACTGTGACGTCACCTCTTTCAAAATTTGCCAGCCAACAGCCGGTAAAATCTGGTTCCTCCTGACGGAACCTGTAGTACTGGTAACATGTACTGTGCCTACGGACATTCTATTTAGGAATTTGGCAATGACTGCAGGCGCATGCCGTACGGGATCCACGTACGATGGGACAAAGGATGCGACTTATTGTTCGTAGTACAATTCCTACAGCAAGCGGAAGTGTTTTGAAGCTCAACGGCCAGATGACGATTCGTTCGTTTGGCTTCCGCTACACGCTTGAAAAAAAAAGAAAGGAAAAAAGCGCAAGGCAAGATCCAAGAGAAGGCATTGCCAGAAGCACAAAAGTGTTGTTTGTAGTAGGACTCGTAGCTCTACCAACAAAACACAGCAGTAGTAATATAATACAACAGTAATCATGTCATCTGGAAGCGCACCTTACGACATCCAGATCAAGCTGTTGATGATCGGTGACAGTGGTGTTGGTAAGACATGTCTCCTCCTTCGTTACGCCAACGACTCTTTCAGTCCGACCTTCATCACTACGATTGGAATTGATTTCAAGATCAAGAATATCGACATTGATGGAACAAAGATCAAGCTTCAGATCTGGGATACCGCTGGACAAGAGCGTTTCCGTACAATTACCACTTCGTATTTCCGCGGAGCCCAGGGAATCTTGTTGGTCTACGACGTGACAGATCGTCGATCCTTTGAATCCATTCGCAACTGGATATCTCAAATTCAGCAACACGCCGATGTTCACGTGAACAAGATCCTAGTTGGAAACAAGTGCGATATGCTTGACGAGAAGGTTGTATCCACCGAAGAGGGAGAGAAATTGGCTAAGGAATTTGGCATTCAATTTTTTGAATGCTCTGCCAAGAATGACATTAATGTGGACAGTTCGTTCGTCAACATTGGAAGATCTGTCAAGGATCGACTACTAGCCGAAGGTCAGGGTGGACCTTCTCAAAAGTCCTCGGGGGTCACGCTCAACAATAACAATGGCGGTGCCAAGAAGCCAGGATGCTGCTAATTTTGCTGTTGCTTACTCCTTTTTGGCAAAAACAAAAGAAAAAACACATATACAAATACCGCAACTGTGCCAAGTTTGTGTTCCTAGATTGATTATAATAAAGTTTATGAGTTCGATGTTTCATAAACTTGCCTTTGGGTGCAAGAAAATAAATCATCATGTACTATCTATCTATCTGTCTAACCTATCTATTCAAATGGAATAAATATATAATTCGGGACAAACACAAGTAGGACTACGTATAATAACTAATTGTTTATATAAATGAATGGAATAAAATATTTAAATCTATGGATGCATGGAATTGTTCTAATGCTAGTGGCTGTTGCCGACTATCCACTCCTTCATTTTCGTATCCTACTGGTACCTGGTACCGGACAGTATCCTCGTGCCGCATTGTTTCTTTTTTCGAAAGCATTTTCCAAGTTCCGGGATTCTCAAGCGTGCCGACCAACATAAAAACAAGACGTTGGCGAGTATGGCACGTGTAGTGAGCATTCAAAGTAGTCCAATATTATGAAGAAAACAAATGGAGAAACGAGAACTGAGCTTTATGTTTCGTCAGAGAAGGTCCATCTGTCGCACTTTCATCACAATCAATCGTGACGACGGCAGAATCCGAACTAACACAAAAGAACACGAATCATATAAAAGAAGAAGATCGCATTCGTTTCAGTTTGTATCCATCCATCCATCCATCCATCTACGGTATCCATCTATTCTCATTTTCTGCAAGCGGCGAAGAAAGCAAGCTCGTCCAATATCCTTTCCAACAACGACAGCAACAAGAAACAATCCAACCATGAAGACCAACCTTTCACTTTCTTCTTTCCTAGTATTTGCCACTCTCATGTCAATCGTGGCGACGAAACACTGTAACGCCTTGCTGACGCACAATCACTACAGCACCCGCCAATGTTCGTTGCATCATTCCAGCTGCTCTAGATGCACCGTTCTAGCCAACTCTTTTGAACAGCTTCCTGGAGAGTCAGACATTGACTTTATTGAACGCATTACCTCTAACAGCAAGGCCTTGTTGGAAGACTCCACGTCGTCGTCCTCTTCTGTCCAGCAGCAAGAAGAAGAAGAATCACAAGAAGAAGGCGCGTCAGAGAAACCCAAGGGAAAATATCAACCCATTGAAGAGTGGGATGCGGAACGCAAGTCTTCTGGAGAACTGTCCTGGGAAGAAAAGGTCATGTTTGATGGACAACAACATGGGAATCAAGTCCGACAGAATGATATTCTCATTCGGAATTTGCATTCATTTTAAAACAACAAGACAACAAAACACGTCATCATTCATGCAAGCGATAAATGATGTGGATGATGGCAAGCCTGTGTCTTGGTGATTTTGAATGGTTGGGACCAGTGAAAATGGACATGTCTTTGGCTTTTTGTTTCTTCTTCCAGGGAACTTCCACGCTGGGCATCAGGGACTTTTGGTCTAATGCAAAATTATGTGGGATGAAACTGAACCATCATTTTCGAACCACGGATGCTAGTTGTACTTGACACTCTGAAAGTGCTTGCTTGCTTGTTTGCAGGACGAACGAAGATCCGCAACTATGACAAGCTACCGAAACCAAAGTAGTATCTAAATGCATAATACATAAAACATAAATTTCTCATTAACCAGAATGAATGCTCATCCAAAACGAAGGTATCAGGATTTAGACCCAGATGATGACAGTACAAAAGTATCCATTAGTCCTACCTGCTCCTTCATGTAAAAAATTACAAGATGATTGAAATCCGAAATACCTTCCACGTGGTTAATTTGCGACGAATCGTGCAACCCCTTTCGACAAACACGTTTTTATTGTTGATTCTATTTTGGGTCATCATCATCATTGTTGTATATATGAGGTATACACAGTGGGGTATTGTAAGGCTCTAAACAAGAGAAATAACAATCGTAATGATACTGTTTTACTGTATCATTTAAATTCTGAAGCTTCAAAGATGTTCCATCATTTTGTTGTAGTCGAGCCGTCATCATCGGTCTTAGATTCGTTCACTCCTTGTTTGCAAACAGCAATCACGGACATATTACTAGTAACCCCCCAGCTCTCTCTCTCTCCCCCTCCAGAATTGCCCACTTTTTTTTCTTCCCAAACTGCCGCAAAATAGTCGTGACTTTTGGCTTTCATGTGGTTGGGTGGGGTAGTAGTAGTCTATTCCAGGAGACTTCTGTAGGATCAAGGGTTGAAACGCAAGGTATGCTTCTGCTGCTGATGATGATTCTTCTTCTTTTACAGATTCAATTTGGTGTCGAACAATGGAATAATCACTTGATATTTTGGAACTCGTTCCTTTTGCCATTGGTCGCTACCACTGCATCAGATTTTAGGTATCCCAATTCGAACCAACCCATCATTTGGCAATTTGAGGATCCCATTCCTTATCCGATTCCAACAAATCCAAAGCCTTTTCAATTTTATCCGAAGGCAAGTCGGATATGGAGATGGCATCACCAAATTGTTTGCCCTCTCGAAACAAGACAAAGGCAGGAACTGCGTCCACATGCAAATGGCGACCCAATTGCTTTCCCCAGGCACTTCCCATTTCGGCCTTGGCAAAGAGGACAGGGGAATCATTGTCCTTTTCAATCCTGGCGAGGCGGGTATACTTGGGATCCAACCGTTTGCAAGTTTGACAGAATCTCGCCGACAGAAATAGGATGCAGTTCTTTTTGGTAGAAACAATAGCGTTGTTTACTCCACTCACACCATTGATTTGATAGACGTGCGGATTGTTTTGGGCTGGTTGCGGTGCCTCTCCGGAAGGTTCGGCGTGGTTCAATTTCCTGGCCGCCAAACGTTCAAAATTGGATGGCTGATCTCCCATTCGGGCCATCAATTCGGCCTGTTCCGTCTCTTCCTCCTCCTCTTCATAACTAATCACGGGTAGACCAAATCTGACATCCGCATTTCCGGAAGCATCTCGTGGCCATCGGGTATTTTCCCAAAAGTCCGCCAAAGACCATCCCCGGACAACATCCGATTTGGCATATAACTTTTTTCGTTCCGACTGCGAAAAGAGGACTCCGTTCTCCAGCAAGGCCGTCATGGAGTTACCAATGTCTTGGGGTGGTGGAATGGCGGTGTAATCTTGTTTGGATTCGAATCCTGGATTGGCCACATTTTTGCAATAGTCGTCCGCCTTGCCGGGACCTCCAAAGATGCCAGCCTTGGCGACAATCTTTTGGCATTCCGTTTCCGTCGAAATGTACCTCATACAATTGTGACGACTTTTGAGCAAACCCAAAATGGAAGATCCAAAGGGTGCTTCGTCATTTTCGGCGTCGTCGTCGTCGTCACCCACTACGGTGGGCATTAGGAAATTGCCCTTGAGTTCATTGCTAATGGTATCCACGAGGGAATCAAATTCTCCAATATGCGAAGCGAATCCAACTTCATCCTCTCCGACGGCTGGTTTTAGTATTTGGACTGATGAATATCAACACGAAGAAAAAGATAATGTAAGTAAGCTATGCATGCCGATATAAACAAATGTCGTCGTCGCAACAAAATACGAGTGACCCAACAATCCACACTTGTTCTTTCCATTGACTTACCCTTTCCAGCACCATTTTTAGCATTCACTTTTGGATTCCCCGTGCTGACGAGCGAAACCTCCAAACCCAAACTGGCCAATCCCTCCGCCGCAAAGCAGGCCAGAGGATTGCTTCCCAAAACGACCACCTTGCGATTAATCATGGCGGCATCGGTACTGCCCCCAATTGCCTTTTGCTGGGGCAAGGCACAATGAATGGTCGACAAGGCCGATATATAAGTGGAAATGGCGTCCTTGTCGGAAACTTTGGCTGGAATCGTGGCGACGGAATCTTCAAAGACTTGTGTTGTTGAGGAAGATTCATTGCCATTCACTGATGTCTGGTGCAACATGCCAATCACCCGTTGACCTTCTTCATCCTTGCCCGTGACAATCTTCATGTATCCACGTTTGGTATAGGTACGCTTCGGAAGACGACCTTCTCTTTGCAGCAGGGCTTGAACCGTAGACCATTCACCGCCGTCCACAATGGCCAACTGAGAGGCTCCTGTGGATGCCAAACGTATGGTCGCAAAGTCCAGAGTTGCTGGAGTGGCTGACTTTGAACTCAATCCATGGCAAGACTGTAGGACTTCAAGAAGCACCAGACAAGATAGTATTATTGGAGGTAGTCGTAGCATTGCTTTTTATTGCACGTATAGCTTTGGTATATATTATATATGGATCGTTTTGGACACTTGAGAAAATACAGCAACTGCTCTAAGGTTGTTGTTCCGGAATTTGTCGAGCGCAAATGCGGAAACGTTTGGTGTACGCTAATCTGATTGGTTAGGACAGTTAGGCGGGCGCGTTGGATGTGACACCTTCAACATTCATCCAGATGGTTTTGGATACTTTTTTCTCACTCCCATATATGCACTGATGATTGGACCAGTTGTGAGAGCCATAGCAATGCTGTCGCAATGAATCCATAGCTAATGCGAAACCAGGGTGCAGGATGGGGAGGCTCTCTTAGTTGACCGAAGGAAATCGACGAATTCATTGCATAGGGCGGCAATCTCTCTTCCATTCATCGATTCATTCTTTCAGAACGATGAAGGGAGCAACAGCACAAACAAGGTCGTTTGGATACTACGTCATCCTCTCTCATGATTGTCACCATTTTATGATGATGATGATGATTTGTTTGTCGAATTACGACTCATCGGCAGGTATCTTTAACGTATGGGAGAACGAAGCAACAAGACTTGAAGGTACTCAAGACGTGATGTGGGTCAAGCAAACTGTTCGATTGATTGATTAATTGAGTCATGTAGGTACCCTTTATTAAACTCACACTAGCATTTATGTTGTATGAAGTGTGCTAAATAATTTTTTTAATTGTATTTACAGTACCAAGTTTGTTGACTGTGAGTGAGTATGTGTGTCTGTGTGAAAAAAAAAGCCTTCCAAACTGTGACCTTGCAACCAAACAAAGCAAAAAAAGAGAAATAGACATTGGGTCCAACATCCAAAAAGGTTCCCAAGTTCCATTCCTCATTTTCCAATTTGCTCGTGTCAATTCAATTCAATTCAATTACCAAAATATTAGTTAAAACATTCTGCCAATATCCTTGTTCGCCAATGAATGAATCATCATCATCATCATTGTGTTTACTTCTTGACTTGCGACCACAACCATTCAGGAGTGACAGACTTGGGGCGTTCCAAAGGAAGTCCCAAAGCACGGTCCCAGTACAATTGGCAGAGTCCACCAACAGCACGACTGACTCCGAACAGAACAGTGTAGTATTGGTACTGGGTGAATCCATAATGCCAGAGCAAGACACCGGAATGAGAATCAACATTGGGGTAAGGGTTGGCAACCTTTCCGTGTTCCTTCAAAATACCAGGCATGACTTGGTAGATGGTTTCGACGACCTTGAAGAGTTCGTCATCGGGCATGTGCTTCAATGCAAATTCCCGTTGGCAAGTGTAACGAGGATCAGTCTTTCTCAAGACGGCATGTCCGTATCCAGGAATGACCTTCTTGGCGTTCAAAGTCTCCCAGGCAAATTCGGTAATGGTTTCTTCGTTGACGGCCTTGCCTTCAGCATCAAACTTGTCCTTGAGAGCTTGGATCCATCGAAGAACTTCTTGGTTGGCCAAACCGTGAAGGGGTCCTGCCAAGGCATTCAAACCAGCAGCGTAGGAAATGTAGGGGTCACTCAAGGTGGATCCGACCAAGTGAGTAGTGTGGGCCGAAGCGTTTCCTCCCTCATGATCCGTGTGGATGCACAAATACAAACGCATGAGTTCATCAAAGGAAGGATTGTCGTAACCCAACATGCGGCAAAAGTTTCCCGAATAATCCAAGGAAGTGTCCTTGTTGACGACACCGTCGTGGTAGACATTGCGGTAGATAATGGCAGCAATTTCTGGCAATTTGGCAATGACACTGAGGATATCCTCCAAGACGTATTCGTGGTAGTCAGTCTTGGGGACACCATCATTGTAGGCCTTGGCGAAAACGGATTCCGTTTGACAAGCGTTGAGACCAATGGAAAATTGTGTCATGGGGTGCATGTCCTTGGGAAGGGAGTTCAGCAATGGAATGACGTGAGCTGGGAGTTCAGCACGAGAGTGCAATTCAGCAGTCAAACTGTCAACTTGTTCCTTGGTTGGGACTTCCGAGGTCAACAACAACCACAGAAGAGACTCCAAAAGAGGCTCGCCATCGCCTTTGACTCCAGAATAAGTAGGAAGAACGGCTTGGCAATCAGGAATGGTCAAGCCACGGAATCGAATACCCTCTTCTGGATCCAAGTTGGAAGTTTCCCACAACATTGCCTTGATGCCACGTGCTCCACCAATACATTGGTCGATCGTGACTTCGCCAATCACATGGCTGCCGTGTTCCTTCTTCAATTTGGCCAACTCAGCTTGCTTTCCTGGGACTTGGGCCATGAGAGTCTCTTGAAGAGTGGTAACAGACCGAGTAGCTTGCGCTGTAGCGGTATTGGGGACCTAAAACACGATGATTGCATTAGATGAGGATGACGGGGAAAAGGACACTTTTGGACAATCGGCAGTTTGATGTTGACTTCCGTTCGTCGTGACTTCTCATCGGAAGATACAGTATAGTATCAAACAGGGAGCGTTTTACAAGACTCTCCAGTCAGTATAGACATACCTTGCGGACCAGTGACCTGACAGAATTGGATAGAAAGGAAGCCATCTTTATAGTGTTTTGACTGCTTTGGATCTACAATAACGATACGGCGGAAGATCGTCAGAACCTTTTGGTGAACTTTTGTGACCGACCAAATAATCTGCAGAAAAAGATCGCTTTTTTATTGGCCGAAGCGCGCGGGAGTTCCCACAAATTTCCTTCTACTTCAGAAAATAGTACCGGCAGCATGTGCATCGTCCGTCCTTCCCCTCGGACCTCGCCGGAAATTCCGAACTACGTGGCCTCATAACCTGTTAGTGCAAATGCAAAGAACTCCAACCCTACCACCATGTTCAATGTACTGTAGTCAGTCGTCGTCGACAAAGCAAAGCAAGAAATCCCTTACCACCAACTACAGTACATTGCATCATAGTATAGTACTAAACCATGTAAAATACTGTATGGTGCTTTTTTTTCGGTCTATTTTTAAAAAAATGTTTTCATAGTTTCGAACGACCAAGTCACTTTTCCACCTTGACTCCATCCTTGTACGAGTAGGCAGGTGTTCGCATCGTGACCAATTCTTCTGCCGAAGTGGGATGAATTCCAATGGTAGAATCAAAATCTTCCTTGGTAGCTCCCATTTTAATGGCAACGGCAACTCCTTGCATCATTTCCCCAGCTCCATTGGTGGCCATGTGGCAACCCACCACTTTTTGGGTCGCATCGTCCACAATCAACTTGAAGAGCGTCTTGCTCGAGCCTCCTGGGAAGGACACCTTCATGGCCTTGAAGGACGTCTTGTAGATCGTAACATTCTTGAATTTTTCCACGGCTTCTTCTTCCGTGTATCCAATGCTACCAATTTCGGGATTGGTAAAGACTGCGGACGCCACCATCTTGTGGTCAACAGGTCGGTCCTTGCCACCAAACAAGGTATCAGCCAAACGGTGACCTTCCATCAAGGCAACAGGTGTCAGTGCCATTCGGTCGGTAATGTCACCGACGGCATAGATATTGTCGACATTGGTTTTGGAGTAGTCATTGACGGGAATGAAAGTTCCCTTGGTTTCAATGCCGGCCGATTCCAAATTCAAACCATCCACCTTGCCGGTACGACCCGTGGCAAACATGACCTCATCAGTTTCCATAGAGGCGCCGCACTCGGTATTGACAGTATAGCTGCCGTCGTCCTTTTTGACAATTTCCTTGGGATTCATGGAGAAGTGAAGGGTCACATTGGGGATCTTTTCCATTTCTTCCTTGAGGTGCAAACGAACGTCCATGTCAAAGCCTCGCAAAAACAATTCCTTGCGGTACATGACGTCGACCTTGGTGCCCAAGCCGGCCATGATGCAGGCAAATTCAAGGGCAATGTAACCACCACCGACAATGACCATGCGTTTGGGTTGCTTTTCCAAATAGAAAATTTCGTTGGAAGTAATGGCGTGTTCAATGCCGGGAATCTTGGGCAAAAAGGGCCATCCGCCCACGGCAATCAAGATATTCTTGGCTTTGAGGGTGGTGGTTTCGCCAGTGGCAGTGGACTTGACGTCGACCGCATTCTTGCCATTCAGAGTACCAAAGCCTTCAATGATTTCCACTCCGGCCTTGCCCAGAATAAAGTCCTTGTAGACTCGGTTCAGCCGACTGATTTCTTTGTTTTTCGCTTCCATAAATTTGTCCCAATTGAAGGATCCAGTCGTGGCTCCCTCCCAGCCAAAGCCTCCCGAGAGTCCAATTTCATCAGGATATCTGGAAGCAAAGACCATTAGCTTCTTGGGAACGCATCCAACGTTGACGCATGTTCCACCAATGGCAGAGTAATTGGGAGCTCCGTGTTGGAGTTGCGGTTCGATGACTGCCACTTTGGCGCCATATCCAGCAGCAATTCGTGAGGCACGGACACCGCCAGAACCGGCACCGATGACCAAGAGATCGTATTCGTCGGAGGATGACATTGTATATTGATGCTTGGGTAGTGCTTGAGTTGGTTTCAATCTGTGTGGGTTATTGACAGATTACGATGCGATTTTGGATTTTATGATGACTGTGTTTCCGCTCAGAAGATCCGGTTCTCGATCGATAGGCTCTATTTTGAATGTTCTACGACGTTCGTTGGTGTGTGTTTGTCCGTGCTACACATTTCACATGCAGTTTTACCGTGCGTATGAGATTCATTCATTTGAAATTGCCCGTGCTATTTTCAGGCTTTTCGGGGCTATTTTGGTTCACAGTGTGCGCGCGATATAAAGTTTGGGGGATTATATTTGAATTTGAAATTCATTTTATGAAGGCGATGAAATCGAACGACCCATCCGACTAAAACACCAGGTTTGTTCCTTCACAAAATCGCAAACAAAGCCGCTCGACAATATCCCAATCTTGGTTGCTGATTACCTTTCATCTGTTGGTGTCATCATCATCATCATCATGGTGCTGGAGATTCAAGCGATTATGAAAAATACCGGTGGCAAAAAGTCCAAATGCCACTGGTGCAGCACCCGCAAGTCCAACGAATATGCTTTCGTTCCTTCCATGGGTGGAATGCTTTGCCAACGCTGCTTTTTCTTGGCCGAACGTGGTTGTTCGGTTGAGATGTTGGCGCAACTTCCCAAAGTCCAAAAGGACATGGACAAGCTCGTCCTCAAATTCCAAATCATCAATGCTTTGCAACCATTGACCGCCTTGGAGTTTGAATTTTGGACCGTCACCAATGGTTGCCTATTGTTGGACGACACCAGCAAGAAGGGAGGACCCACCATGGCATTGCAACGCTGCATTGAGCACAAAATCATGGCTTGGTTCGACCAGCAAGATAACGGAAAATTGTCAATGACAATGATGACTTCCGATACCACAATGGACCACTATGATATTGATTTTGAACAGCTCAAGGACTTTGCCACTGTGGTTCCTCCCGCCACCATGAAGATAGAACCTCCTCCCAAAATCCAATTGTTGCAACTCGGCAGTCTCGTCCTTGACACGGCCAAGGCCACCATTTTCAAAAATGACCCTTTTAGCTCTCCCAAGAATGAAGAGATTTCCAACTATATGATTGAGACCGTCATGGAGCTCGCCCGATGCGACGCGGCAACGAAGAACGAGATGGACGATTGTTTTCTACCAGATCTTCTCATCACGGGACGCACTTTTGATTTGGACGAGGAGGAGCCAGCAGTCTTTGTCGAATGAGGAATGAGGACCCATCACGAAATTGCGCATTGGAATAGAAATAAAGCGACAGTATCATTTTGCACTAGGGATTACTAATAGCTACCACTTGTAAGATTAGCCGCTCGGAGGCGAGAGGGTGGAGAATTTTGGAATATTCGACTTGTCCGATCAAAATCAAAATTAGAACAAAGCTATCTTGTTGTCACTCTGGATCCAGCAAGCAAGTACCATGGCTTCAGTTCATGCTACACTATACAATACTGTACTCTAGTGGCATGGGCAATCCACTTGCGGGTCTAGGTAGGAGGGCATTTGATTCCAAGTATGAGAAAGCGTTGCTTGGTTCGTTCTTCTTGGGAATCTAGGTAAAAGCAGAACCCAGTTGACAATCACACAAATGATGCTGGTGCCTACATCATCATAGGTATTGTACTGTATAGTCGAGTCAAGCTGGAGGACGCCACGATTATGTACAACGAACCGTTGAAAATTGTGGTTACAATTTTCTATTAAAAAAGAACGATGGTGAATACGCATCACCCGTCTATTGGCGACATCTGCAACAACATCAAGATCTTTCTGAGGGCACGGTTGAGAACGCGGCAGAGATCTAAAGCTGCAACAAGATGTGGAGTGTAAAACTATGCTGTACTGGTAGTATTTTTTTAGAAGATACCTATAAAAAAGGGGTAGAACTTATGGAGACATGCGGGTTAACTGTTTTATTTGCGGGGAATACCATTTTTGAAAATCGTTCCTTAACTGTTAGAAACCATAATTCGGCTGGCTACTAAAAACCGTTTATGGACTTTTCTCCTCATTACCCGATCCATACCGGTATGGTATTAATACCAGATACTGTACTGTAGGATGTGCCAGCAGTTGCCGTACCGTTCCCCGCAATCACACAGCGATTACGCTTCGCATCACGTATCACACTTTCAATCTCTTGTTTGACAGTAAGATTCATCGAAACGATCCAAATTCAACTAGCCTTCTTGCTTAACATTTGCCTGTCTTCACCATGGATGAAAACGGAGTGAAAAGTTCTAATGACAAACAGGTGATGTCTCCATCTGGCAAGAGTCACCATCATCCTGCCAACCGAGATTCCGGGAAGCATGGTCGCAAAGATCGTCATTCCACTGAAGGCAGCAGCAGCCAGCATGAAGAAGACGCAAAGGCCAAGGAAAGAGCGAGACGGCCTAGGTCATCCAAAAGTCCTACGCGTCCCTCCACTCGGCCTAGTAAGAATGCAAAGGATCGAGCTTCCAAAGATCGCGCTAGACGAAGCAGAAGTCCAGTTCCAGGAGCCGAGTCGGTTAGCCGAAGTTCTCCACATTCTCCAACCCGTTCCGAGAAGGATGCCAAGAGACGAACAAGGAGATCCGAAAAGGCGTCTAAACCAGGTGCTGAAAGTGTAGGTGGTATAGATCGAATCGGAGATGCCAAGGCAAGCGACAAGAAGGGAGGATCATCAAAATTAGCCATGGCGCCTGGAATGGAGAGTCTCAGTGAAGAAACTGACAATAGGACCCGACGAGAGAATCGAAAAGCAGGCAGAAAACAAGCAATGAGCGGCACCACCAAAAAGAGTTCCAAAGAAGAATCTCACAAACAACATATTTTGGACAAAGAGGAACCAGCCCGTGAAGTTGGCGGTGATGACATTCCTATTGCAGCAATTGCCGTGGACGACGATGATAAAAACGTACAAGTCGGCATGGACACACAACGCCAACAGGCCATGATGGCCAATGGAGCAAGTGAAATTGAAGGTGCCAACAATGAAGTTGTGCCCGACCAAAAGCGCACAATCTTTAGCAAACGAAACATTTGCATCCTTGTAGTTCTGTTGCTAGCAATTGGTGGAGGAGTGGCAGGGTACATTCTGTCACAGTCTTCTAACGATGCAGCCGTGGAATCGACAGGTGACGATGGTACTACGACGACCGACGACCAGCAGGATACCGACAACCTTTCTGGAACACCGTCGACATCGCCCTCACTGGTTCCAACAGAAGCGCTCAGTACCTCTCCCACAACGATTTATTCGCCCCCGAGTGATGAAGACTGTGACGCCTTGCGGAATGGACAACCCATCGATTTGGGAGACCAGGAATACAGAGAGCTCGTTTTCCAAATTGAAATGGACGTGGTTCTCGAAGAGAGTAAGGATTCCACCGCTGGAATGGAGGAGCTAGTTGGGAGAACTCAAAGTGTAATTGTTCCCATTTTGGTCGGTTGTCCGGAAGTATCTCGGCGAAATCTCATCGAAACAACTCAATCTATTCGTCGAGGAGGTCGTAGACTGCTGAAAAAGTTTGAAATTGCGGGTGCCACGTTTAAACTTGAAGAAGACGGCAATTTATCTTGCGTCACTACTGATTCAGAGCTACCTTGTTATAGGCCTGTGGTCAACCTGAAAGTATTCGTCAAAGGAGATGGGAAGATTATTGAGATTCTTGGAGTTATTTCCCAAGCCCTTGAAGCAAATAGTGGGTTAACTACCTTGCTCGAAAAACTTGGTCTGATTGATGAGGGGTTTGTGAGCATCTTGAACATATTCATTGGAGATCGAAACAAAACAGATCCACCAAGCTCTGAGCCTTCTAGCACTCCATCTGCAATGCCTTCTTCAAGTCCAAGTGCCATCGCATCCGCCAATCCTACGTTTGCACCACAAACTGAACCAACCGCCTCACCATCAATGCAACCGTCTACTGCAACAAGCCAAGGTCCCACAAATACACCGACTGTGACAGGCTCGGGGAGTCCGACACTTTCGGCAGTGGTGGGACCAAGTCCTCCTCCAAGCAACATGCCAAGTACAATGCCCAGTGTAATTCCATCTGTGATGCCATCCAATTTGCCAAGCTTTCTTCCTACCCATATTCCGTCGGTTGTACTGAGTGGAACCCCTTCCACCGATCCTTCCTTGAATCCAAGTTCCGATCCATCGGCATCTCCGTCTACCATGCCATCTAGGACGCCATCGAGAGTACCATCTCCTGCGCCGAGTGAAAATCCAAGTATCACACCGTCTATGAGTCCAACCGTGGAAGTGGGACCGATATTGATGGACATATACAATGCTGCTGGAGGTAGTTTTGGATCCTCCAGTACTGGCTGGCAGGGCACTGGTGATTGGTGCACCTGGGACTATGTCGAGTGTGACTCCAACAGAGAGGTTACAACTTTGAACATTGCATACTTGGGTTCAAGCCTGAGCGGCACTATTAGTCCTAGAATTGCTGATCTGACATCTCTCGCTACCTTGATCCTATGTAAGGAAGACTGGAAAACGTGCATTTGATTTGGCGTTCCCTCGTGATCTCACTTTTCTTCGATATTTCCAAAGCTGGAAATCGCCTTGGAGGAACCATTCCGAGTCTCCCGACTAGCCTGGTTTACGTCAACTTTGAAGCCAATAATTTGCTTGCGGGCAGCATTCCAGCTAGTTTTTACAGCTTGCCAAATCTCATCCGCGCAGAATTTGGTACGCTATTGACCTGTATTGTCACTATACTGTCATCGCGGCCGTGCCATCGCCTCACGACAATGATGTATTCGTCTCTTTCAACACCACAGCGGTCAACCAACTTACAGGATCAATATCTTCCCTAATCGGGTAAGTATCTGCAGAATTGAACTTGTGGTGACTTTATTTGCTGCTATACTAACATGAGGATCGCCATGACTACATTGTAGTGGTATGCCAAAACTCAATCGATTGGTTTTATACCGGAACCAGCTCACCAATACATTGCCGCCTGAGCTGGGGAATGTCGCTAATCTCCGTCATTTGGTAATCCGTGACAACCAATGTAAGTTGGCGTGCAAAATGGTGTACACAAGATCATGGTCGGGGTAAGCTAACGCTTGTGCTTGTGCTTGCGCTTGTCAATGATTCAAACTACCGCACAGTCAATGGTTCATTACCCAGCGAGCTCTTTGCCTTGACGGCAATGACACGGATTGATGTCCAGCGTTCTTCATTGACCGGTAGCATACCGACACAGCTTTCGGGACTTACGGAATTGACTCGGCTTGACCTAGGTGATTTTGCACGAGTTGACTTTTTTGGTACCTTGTGATGGGCCATTCTGACACTTCTTTTTTTCCTACTCCCCAGACAATAACCAACTTGTTGGAAATCTTCCAGCAGGAATGGAAGCTATGACAAAGCTCACCTGGTTGCGAGTTCATAATAACCAAATGACTGGTACCATTCCACCGCTAAAATCAGGCGGAAACACCTTTGGTGTTTGTGATTTGTGTAAGTTGATCAGCCCGATGCTTTCATATTTCAAAGAGTTTCGATCTAACCACGGATTCTTCAGCCAACAACAATTTTGACGACACCACCAACGCCGCTCTTGCTGGTTGTGGGGTTTGAGGACGCTGGATTGCGGCACAGACAACTGCAGTCGGTTCTCGTCGTTAGCTCGTACAGTCTGGAGTTCAAATGTGCACATACGCATCTTCATCGACCGCATGATGCCAGGAGTTTCAAGTATAAACTAGTTTACTCCAGTATGACAGCATTTACAGTTACACCATCTGGTAGGAACCGTCACACTTTCCTCGCGAGTCTTAGTCAAGATCTTCGTCTGAATCATCACCATCATCATCATCATCATCTTGAGCAAACTCTGCTTCCAGAGATAGCATCAATTCATGAACCCCCCACTTTTGTTTCGAGGATGTCGTATGTATGACTGGCGATTGAAATGCAAAGTCCCCTTCATCTAACGCCAATTGACTCGAGTATCTCAAACACAATTCATTCACCAGTCGGATGACCTTTGGTCTGGTAGTCCGGTCGGTTTTGGTCAAGACTACGCTGTACGGAATTTGGGCATCCTCCAGCCATCCAAGAACGGCTCGGTCCATTTCGGCAAATTCATCCCGGCGGGCGTCCATTAACAAAAAGAGTCGTTTCAATACTCCACGGTCCAGACGATCCAGCAGCAACTTTTGGGTATCCTGCTGCCAAGCTTCGACCGTTTCTCTGGGTGCGGCGGCATATCCATAACCAGGAAGATCAATAATGAGACCGGACGCATTGGCTGGAGTTTGATCTTCTTTGTCGTTTGGGAAGAGTGCCATGAAATGGGGCAACTGGGTTCGGCCGGGAGACTTGCTGGTGACGCACAAGTTTTTTCGCATGACCGCATTGATCAAACTGCTCTTCCCGACATTGGATCTTCCAAGAAAGGCGACTTCCGGTACGCCATGTGAGGGGTACTGAAAATTAAGATCCTTCTTGGGAGACAGATACTGAAACGTGCCGGTTGCTAGCATTGGTGGGATGGTTGCCCCGTCCGAGAATAAGGTAGATGGATCAATAGTTTCATCCAGCGCTGCCTTTGCGACAAAGACATGTGGCGAGGCAGTAGCACTCAGCATGGCTGGTATTCGTTTCTTATCCAAACTTGCTTTTGACTTTGGAGCTTTGACCTTTCGTTTTGGAGCACCCTGATGTGCACTTTTAGCAAAGTTGCGAATTTGGAATGCTAGAGGACTGGTATTGGATGCAGATTGCAAGCTGTTGCTGGCTGAAAGTCGATGTCGACGGATACAGCATTTGACAAGGGCTGGAGCGGTTCTATTCATGACGATCGTGGATATCTGTTTTTGTTTCTTCTGGAATGTTGGAGGTTGTCGTTGTCGTTGATGTGGATGTTCGAATTTATTAAACTGGATGATGTCCATCCATTGAAAATGAACTTTGTTAGTGTCGCGTTGAATCGGAGAAATCAAACGTCAGAATTTTCTTCCCGACCATCACTTATTCTTGTTGACAGCGCATTGCAAAGGAAGATAACAAGAATCAAAGCAAAGTTTGACTGTTGCTCCAAGATTGGATCCAACGCACCTCGATCCTCTTCCAACCATCTGTTGAGTAATCCTACTCTACAATGACAAGAATGGATCCAACAAGACGACGAAGACGGCCGTCTGTCTTAGCATTGCTACCATGCGTATCACCCATAATATCATCTCCAAATTGTCACCAAGTTCATGCATTTTCCACCACTCCATCCACCAAACCATCCTTTCCATTCTCAATCCAATCCTCTATCCCCTCAATTTTCTCTTCACCATTGACATCCGCTCCTACCAATCACAAATCCCATCTGAAAGCATCCACAAGGATGAGAACACTTATGATTCTCACATCCACAGACAAAGATACAGAATCCTCGTCAGTAGAATACAATGGCGGTCAAGCACCAACGACAATAGTCAATGAGGAAAAACCACAAACCGTGGTCACTGGGGAACAATCCAATGACAATGGAAATCAACGATTATCAGTTCTGGACAAGGTCTCTGGTATGTTCAAGATATCCACACCAAACGTGTCCATTCCCAAACCAGTGAGTATTTTATTAGTGATCGATACAGAGACGTTGTTTGTCACCTGCATCGACATCAGCAGCAGCATTGTTCTCTAACTTCTATGTGTACGTGTGTCATTCCCAGTTCTTTCCCTTTTCTCCACAACCGCCGGACGAGGCTCCTTATGTGGACGCTCAATTGCAAGTGGACTTGATGGAATCCGAACGATCCATTCAAATGCTGGGTGCCGAGGTCAACATGCTCCGAGAGCAATTGGGATATCAACAAGATGATTACTTAAAGTTGCAAAATGAAATGCGAAGTATCGCCAATCAAGAACGCAAACTAAAAGAAGAAACAAGATTGGTCCAGCAATTGGAACAAGCACAGCAACAACAGCAGCTGGAGAAACAATATCAGCATTTGAAAACAACGCAGCAGCAACTGGAACTAGCCCAACGAAATATAACGTCATTGGAAACGGAATACCAACATCGTTTGGCCGTCCAATCCAAGGATTTTGCCCACCAACAAGAACAATTGGAGCGCCAAATCGCTGACTTGTCCCATCAGCTGACCACTATCAAGTCCGCTTTGGAAATCGCCAACCAACGATGGAACGATCAGACTCTGGAATTGAAGCAATTTCAACAAGCCGCAGAGTCCCAAAAGGAGACAATGGAACAACAGATTGCCAAACTGGAAACATCGCTAAAGGAAGCAAACTCTACCAATGTCCAGCTGCAAGGCTCGCTCAGTACGAGCAAGGCGGATCTGGAAGCGTTGCGAAAAGACTGGCAAGACTTGCAAACTACTTCTGACGAAAAAGAAGCAGCACAAATTGCCATGCTGGAAAGTCAACACAATGAAACCAAACTGGCACTACAAGTGGCGGAAGAACTCTTGAAAAAGACTATTGTGGAGCAGGGGGAAGTCGCAGAGGAAACAAAAAAAGCTTGGTCATTGGAACGCCAAGAGCTGGAATCTCAAGTAGAAAGTCTACAATTGCAATTGGCCAGCGAGAAAACGACCACAGAAAAGGCACTTGCGCAATACAAGTTGGCACAAACCGAACTAGAATTGGCTCAAAAGGACAAGCTACAACAGCTCGAGGAGGGCCAAGCAACCGCCGATAGGCTCAAGACCGAGCTAGAACAAATGAAAGCACAATACGAAGCCGAATTGGAATCCATGGCTATAAAAAAGGATGAACATGTCCATGCCTTGACGGAGCGGATACAAACCGAACACAATCGACAGGAACAAGAGCTCCAAGACGAAAGCGCCAAGGTGAAAGCGGAATTGGCCAAGATGAAGCTGATGTACGAGCAAAGTGAGGAAGCACGGCAAGCAGAAACCAAAGCCTTGGAAATCCAATTGACCGGGCAGCTCGAGACGGCCCAAGCAAAGGCCGCTCGGCGAGAACAAGCGTTGCTGTCCCAAATCGAAATGGCCGCGGTGGAACGAGTAACCAAGACCAAATCATTGGAGAAGGAAATTGCCAAACTCCAACATGAAAACAAAGCCTTGAGTTCTTCCTTGGTTTTTGCCAATACCAGCCGCGATGAATCCATCGAAAAGGCCAAGGCTCTTGAGCAAAAATACATGGACTCTGGCGCTGACCAAGAAAAGTGGAAAGAACAAGTATCCCTCATGAAGCAAGAATTTCAAGACATCCAACAAAGCAAGAAGGAATTGGAAGCCCAATTGGTGACTGTTACCTTGGAAAAGGAAGAACTCGTCCTCAAGGCCCAAGCCCTCGAGGCGAATCTGCAAGCACTTACCGAACAAAATGCCCAGCTGAAACTTCAACAACAGCACCGACCCTACCAACAGCGCCAGAAAGATTCCAACGACTTTCACTGGGCTCTCGATAAGTTTTAAAACTAATAGAATAACATATAAGAAATTGGTTATTATATATCATTTTCTTTACCGTTGTGTACAAAGTATTATTTTGTTGATGGGATACGGACTGACTCAGTCGATTAGACGCAAGAATTCTGTTGCTTTTCTCAATAAATCGTTTGCCGGTATTGCTATAGTTTGATTGTTGTTCATCATCAACACCTACTCCTATAATACCACACACATATATATATATATACAAACAAATATGGGAGGTACCTCGAGCAAAAGCGAATCCAAAAAGAAGGCACCCGGCGGCACCATTTCTCAAGTCGACAAGGCCATGCTAGACTTGAAAAATGCTCGAGACCGCCTAAAACGATATCAGAAAAAGCTAGAACAAGACGACGAACGCATTGTCGCCAGGGCCAAGAATGCCAAAAAAGAGGGACAAACCAAGAATGCCTTGAATTTGTTACGCCTGCGGAAAATGAAGCAAAAGGAAGTGGATTCGGTGAGCGCCCAGCTATTGACGGTCGAGCAAATGGTACAAACCATTGATTCCAAACAAAATGAAGCACAAGTCTTGGCCGCCATGGCCAAGGGCAAAGACTCCCTACAGAAGATGCACGAAGAAACTTCTGTGGAAGATGTACTGGATTTGATGGACTCTATTACGGAACAAAACGAGGTCGAAAAGGAAATTTCCAGTATTTTGGAGGGCGTCCCAACTACCTTGTCCGTAGACGACGAGGCTGCTGTGGAAGCGGAGCTAGAAGCAATGATGAGGGAAATGCAAGGAGACAGTTCTATGGATACAACCCTACCAGTGGCTCCAGAAACTACGCCACTGCCTATAGCACCAACCGACAAACTTCCAGATGCTGTTACTACCGAAACGGAAGGACGCACCGCTGTAGCATCTTAGAAGCAAGCATAATAATAATAATGTAAACAAACAATTCTATTCTGCTTTTGATAAATAATAATACAAATCTATTTTTCCAGTTTTAATTAAGTTATTCGGCATTCATGGAGGCTACTCGAGCTTGTTCAACTGTGACTTTTCGCTTGACTTCCTTGTCAATCGCAGTTCGAATGGCATCTACACAAACTCGCTTCTCGTCACGATTGGCACACAGTACAACCACCTTTTTGCGGGGGTGGAAAATGTCGAATCGTCGCTGGCCATTCTTGGCGTCTGGGGGGAACCAGTCCACTACTTTCATTTGCACCAGCGGCAGTTCTTCATGGACCTTGAAGAAGGCTGATTTGGATATCTGTTTGGCATAGATCAGCATATCCGAGAACAGAAAGAATCTGTATTCCACACGCCGACCAGTGGTATTTGCTTGCTTGATCAAGTCATCGTGCCGGATAAAGGTGCGACTGGGATCCGCAAGGAGAAATGCTGCGTTCTTGAGTTGGCCAACTGCCGATTTCATTGCTTTGGTTTCTTCGGTTCCAGTGTCGTCGAAACTCAAGCTCTGCATGAGCTGATTGATTTGACCAAGTGATTGGAGTTTTCCTTTATCGCTTGAAATGTTGCCATTCTCGACATTGTGGTATAGGTCATCAGTGTTTGAATCGTCAAATTGCCCAAATTGACCAAACGGTGAAGAAGATTTCATTTTATTCAATCGCCGCATCCTTCCAAGTTGGCTCAGAAAGGCTTTCCTTTCAATCGGCAATTCAAGACACACAGTCAGGGAAAGCATATACTTTAGCAAATCAATCGAGAGCTCCATGCCCTTTCTGTCCAGATGAGCAACATCCAAGCCTGTGTTGACAAGACTATGGAAGAAATGCCAGATCTTCATGAGAAGATTCCTCGTCAAGTCTCTGGCTGCATTTTTTGAAGCCCCATCGTATAACTGATGAGCGTAATCCTCCAGTGTACTGAATCGATATTCGTGAATGGCAAGACCTCGCAAGAGAGCATCTGCCGATTTCTCATTTTTCAATAGCGCCTGGAGACCACCTCTGACATCATAATATCGTGATGAAGCATTATCGCGATGGACCTCTCGCATCACGATTGGTCGCGACGCTATAGCATCATAGATTTTTAGAAAGTACTTAGTTTTCATATCTTCGTCCTTCAGAACTCCTCGAAGGTTGCTTATGAATTCAGGTTTGGACATCTTTTTTAGTGCAGGAGGTTGGATACAACTTCCGTTTACCGACCTTGATTTGTGCAAATCCGTGTTCAGCATAATGACTGCAAATGAAAGAATGTAAACTGTTCCCTGGTCCTGAAAGGGACAATGGTGGCGGTCTCCGGCATTGTCTTCCCAATAACACTCTGCAAACGCAGAAATGATTCTGTCGATTTTCTGGGCTTCCCCAGGCAACTTGAACCCACCATTTGTCAAGAGATGACGCAATCTGGAACGAGTGTTAGTTATCATGAGAAGCTTCCTGATAAGCCAGTGTGCAATAGTTCTTCTTACCCTTGCTCAATAGACATCCCGACGAAAGATATTGCTCTCACGTACGCAAACCGAATCATCTTCCAGTGCTCAATTTCGGACTGACTGGATCCTTCTTCAGCAAGGTAACTACCAAGATCGGATGCATCCAAGTCGGATCGGTTGATCCTTAAAAATAAAGCAATATCTCTCGGCGAAGGTGTCAAGACATTGCATGCAATCAGGTAGTCAATCCCCTTCTTCAACGATTTCTTCTCAGCGATGTCGAACGCGATACGAATATGGTCCGTTTTCTCTGTTCTTTCTGTAGTCTGTTTTGCTACATAATTTGTCTCATAATTTCCATCAGCTGCGGCGGCGACAGTCATTTTCATGAGTCGAGTCAAGTCCAATTTTCCCCCTGGCTCCTTCTTCCTACTTTCTGCTTTCTTCTTCCAATATCCGATTATATTGTTTGCATCATGTTTTGGTGTTTCATTGCTGCTTTCTTCATCAGTCCCAGAATCGCCATCCTCGTATTCAAAATGAGATCTAATTTGCACATCGCTCGAAGCGTGCGAAAGAATTTCAGCTTCACTTGACAATTCTGCCTCAGTCGAAATGGACATATCGGACTCGTCATCGGGAACCATCCAAGAGTCCACAAGATTCTGAAATCGATGTCCTCGTGACGAAGCAGCATATGTTGCTAGGCATCGAGATATTTCTGTCAAGCAAACTATTGAGCTACTCCGTAGCTTTTCCGCACTCTCTCGGGCAACAGTGATTCCACTGAGTCCCTTCACCGTGTCGTTTGAGGGCTTGTTGGTAGCGGCAGTCATATCCTGACACACAAGAGTTTGGTGTTGGAGAAAATCTGTACACGCTTCGGCAATGTCGCAGAGATATCCACAAAGCTGATGGCTCAAGTTCCATTGCACTCCATCAAGCATTTTGTCTTCGAAATCGAAAATCTTTGAATGGTCGACATCATCGAAATTAAGGAAGACCTCGAGGATGATCTCTGGAGATGATGATATCCATCCTTTTATCTGCAGGATCAGTTCCAGCTGTTGTGCAAAGAGGTAGGGCGTCCCGTCTGATTTCTTCATAAGAATTTGTGGCCCTATTCGAAGAATTCTGAGAACGAAGTGCTCAAAAAGGATACCAATTTCAAGTTTCATCTGACTTCGATACGTGCTGGAGCAGAGCAATGTTCCAAGGGCTTTCAGGGTGCGCTTGAATATTCTGGGATCACGAAGAGATTCCGTTGTATTTGATAGTATGCACGGTACTACCAGTCGCCGGACACAATAGACAAAGGTTCCAAAAGATGCAGACTTGTCAACAAAAAGAGAATCTCTCGCTGCATCCCACTGTTGCAAGAAGAATTCAAGAATTTCCAAGCTCATGAGTTTGCTTGCGATGTCACGAGGCGCTCCATTGCCATTTCCCCCTCTTCGAATAGGTGCCGATGCGACTTTAACACAATTCGTCAAGAGTGCAAAACAGATGGAATACATATGCCGTGTTTCTTCGCCTAAAGGCTTGTCATTGCCAAAAAGACCTTTTCCGCAAGTATTCATCATATCATGCCAGAATAGTTCGCTGCCACCAGCTCGGTAAATTTGGTGCAAAGCGAGTTGGGTGTAGTTTGCAGTATCAACCCTGTAAACAGATTTATCAACTGCGTCGTCAACCAGGCTTCCGATGAATGAGTTGAAATCAAGAATATGATCTGTGAAAGGAAAATTCGGTAGAGCCTTCTTGGATGCGCTGTCCGACATGGTGAGCGAGCGCAGTCTTGAAATCGACAACAAAATCAGCTCCTTCATCGAAAGAGCTGCAGCATGCGGGGATCCACCGGGAAGATACGTAGCCATTTGTGTTCGCGGATCTTCTAGAAGCGGTCGGTCGGGTTTTGCTGATAGTCCCCAATTTCCAGAAGGAACACTGACACCAAAGTGGAAGACAAAAGTATAGAATCTCATAACGTATCCAACTGTTCGGGTGTTAAGATGCCCACTTCCATTCTTCACAGCCATTGAAACAAAGTCAACGCATGGTTGCATGTGGGTTTGTTGGGTGCCCATCATTGCTACATCGCAGATAACTTGAATGGTGATATCCAACGGTGTGATGCGATTGGAAGACTCCCGCGAAACCTTAACGTCATTCGAGAAGAAACCTTCCTCAAGGAGTGTAGTAAGTCCTTCAAGGGCCAAGTAGGCTGACCCTCCATGACGAGTGTAGCATGCTGTGAGAATTGGTAGCAGTACAGCAGCTCGAGCTTGAAACTTAAGAAGTGATCTAGGATCCGTGTCAGCTTCTCCACTTGATACGATTGGAATAAAGCTCATGGCTTCCAGGCTTCGTTTCAGAGTTTTGTCTTGTGATGTGGCGCTGTGAAGTGACTGCGCTACAGACCCCATTGAATGCGAACTTTCTTCGGCTGCCGACCAAAACGAGAGGTTCGGATCAATTGCCGTAGGATTCGATTCACCCTGCGAAGCCTTGGGACTGTTGAAGAAGGAAGAGAAAGATTCCCTCTCACCACTTTGTGAAAGCTTTTCCAGATCTGACATCATCGACATACTTCCAGGTGTACCAAGTCCCCCCGCAATAAGTAATGAGGAAGTGACAACTTCCTGGGTGTTCTGTTGGCGCTTTGGGGTCCCACCAGAGTATTGATAAGTGTTATCAAGACTACTGGGGACCTCGGACAATGAGTTCAACGTTTTCTTGCGAGATGCTTCGATCATAGATAGCCGATTGCCAACAGACTTGGGACTCAATAGAGAGTGTGTTGACCTGTCCATGATGTGAAAGTTGCCAACACGGCTTTCAACAACTGTGCCTCCGGTGCAGTAGTAGGAATTTAGCCTTCGTGTTTTCAGGACCGTGCTGTGCATTGAAAGGACAAGGGGAAGCGGTCGAAGTAGTTCCAAATTGCATAGTCGCTGTCGGTACGCCAAGAAGACTTCAGATGACGGAGTTTGAATCCCTGCCACGAAATCTCTTGGCGTTCGTTCCAAAACGGTGTAGCCCTGTGGAATGTGCTCTCCTTCTTTTGGCTGCATAGGAATCAAACCAGTGATCGGATTACCCTCTCTCGATCTACGATAACAAAGAAAGACAGGCTCGCCTCCCTTGTTCAAGTTAGGAGAAGCATCAGCTTCTTCGCCTTTAGCCTTTTCTTCTGGGGAGTATCGTCGTACAATGCTGTAGCCAGGAGGTACAAACTCTTGTCGCTCTGGGAAAACAAGTGTCACCGCGGTAACACATGGCCGCTGTGCCGCTCGATCCCAGTTAGGTTCTTTCTTAATGTTGATGTATACAGGTGTCTTCTTGTCGTGAAAACAAAACTCTGTGCCTCCAGCCGATTGAGAAATGCGATAGAATCCATTTGGGGGCTTCTCATTGCCATGAGTGATAACGATATCAGTGACTGCGCCAGTCATTATGGCATGACTGGCGCCTTCGATTTTCGGAATGCCCTCTGCTTGTTTCAGCACTGATTGCATTAGTGCTTTTCGTGACTTTGCATCAACGGGTGCCAATGCAGTTGTAGAAAGATGCCTTGCGTACTCGGAACCATACATTTGAAGCTGTACTTCTTTCTCTTCTTGTCCATTACCGTCGCGTTCACTGCTTTCTCGTTCGTGATTGAATGATGAGAAGGCGATGCTGACTTCATCACGACCTTCCGCTTCCGTGTGTTTGAAAAATACTGCTTCGTTTGTTGGTGATTTCTGTGTTGGCTGGGTTCTCTTTCTTCCAAGACTTTTCCATTTAGGAGATTTCTTTTTCTGCTTCAACGATTTGTTCGATTTTGACGCAGATGAAGGAGTTAGCGGGATACCATTAGCTTCCTTGGACGGCAAGCTTGGCTTTCCAACCATTTCTAGAGTTCTTGCATACAGAGCAGCGAGAGCCACGTTTCCCATCTTTTGCTCCGAAATTTTGCACCGTTGATTATATTGTGCCTTCCAAAGATTTGCTGGTGACATATCAGTGCTTGTTGACATACTCGATGTCGCTATTGGTGATGGTGGTAGCTTCTGAACATGACATTGGGGAGAGAAGTGGTCTTCCAGTTTCGGGGTCCGTTTCGCTGTATTCCATTCTTCGTTGGTCGGAGGGGAATCATTCCAAGAAACTTGATCCAAGAGTGCACGAACGAGTTCACATGCAGTCTCCATTCCTGGCTGAGATTGACTTCCTTCATGAGGAGAAACAAGTTTTATTTTGTGTTCATCAAAAACTTGATTTGGCCCAATCAATGGAAGCAGATTGCTGATTTCAATGGTGAGAGGTTTCTCTCGCTCTTGAAAAATCTCCGGCCATGGTGTCTCTGTCTCCTGTTTCATTGTCCTTTGCTCTAGACTTTCCCCCAGTCTTGGCTATCGTATTGGCATCGTTCGTTGGTATTTTGGTTTGCATCCTATCATCTCACTTTACCGGTATTTTGAAAAGCTCGGCGCGCTTGTACGATACTGAAACACGTAGAATTTCTACCGAGCCCACATTTGCTAACGGAAAAACGGGAAATGACCAAACCGACTACTGGAGTGACTACCTAAGTACCCATTCTCTCGGCCAAGAAATTGGTTTGGAAGGAATCCAATCTCCATCGCACAACAGTACCACCAGCATGATCACCATGGAGATCCAACAGTGCAGCAACTACCTCTGCAGTACACAGCAAAGTTTCACTGTTGCTGCTGCTACGTTCATCATCCCATTTTTCTGTAGCCCCAAAGCGATCCTTCCATCCACTGAAATCGCCTCGTAAAATGTATTTGGATGGCGGTAAATTGCGTAGACTCAAACGAGGCAAAGTCCATAGTGCTGGTATCTTTCGATACATGGTCTTGGCCTGTTGCCAAGTTCCATCCAGGACTATATATGTTTTTGGAGTGGTAGGGTCTCCGTTGGTGGCGAAGAAGCCAAAATCACTGTTTGCCGTTTCGTCCGAGCCACCTGTCCACAATAGCACTGGCCTCGTCGTTTCTTGTAACAAACTCAGTCGATCTTCAATCTGATCAGTGTCATTGCGCCCGTTCCAGACCCATCGGTCGACTTGTACGTGCGTCGAAAGAACATCCTCTCTTTCCTCCTTTTTCTTGGCAAAATATAGTTTGTCATCCAGTAACCAGCCTGTAGCGGTAGCTTTTGCGAATTCAAGACCGTGTTGCAGTAATACTACCCGGATTATGGCTGGAACCTGATGATCGTTGCCGGGTTCAGAATCGTCGTCAAGTTTCTGAATTGGTTTGATGAAGAGCCCCAAGGTTTTGCGACTCCATTTTTCGTCCATCGCATTGTAGGAATGGATCAGCCACTTTGGCCAAGCCTCCATTTCTGATTTTCGTATTCTTTTGAATCCACCTCGTTTATACATGCCTTCCAGGTAGGGATTCGCAAAGCAATAGCAGTAGTTGGATGCTGACGGGTCGCTTGCTGGAGAAAAATCGGCCAGTGCTTCTTTCAACAGTCGCATGGCTATCCTGTGCCTTCGATAGTCTCGAGAGACACATAACGATCGTAGGAATGAATACTTGGAATCCATTTTGGACCTTGTCAATCGAAGTGCTGCCAACACCATCCCCGTGGAGGTTCGATAGATGTAAACAGCATCATTTCGACAATCTTCGTCCTTCTTTGGTAGAGACGGTACGAGCCTCTTATTTCTCTTTTTGTGAAAATTGTAGCGATAAAAACTTTGAACAGTCTCATTGAATGGGTGACAACACCGTTCGATGGATAGATCGTGGAGGAGAAGCTCCTGTTCTGCCGACAAGCTGATCTCATTCTTGGTAGTGGCAGTGGTGTCACCATAGTAGAGAACTGAATGCCGATGGTGGATTGGTGGCATCATGAATGCACCGATTGCAGGTAATTTTATCAGAGACAACAATAAACACAGCCATGAATGAATTGGTTGCATTGGAACGAGAATATAGTGTCCTTTACTGGAGGCTTTGTATTGGTGTTGTGTGAGTTATTATCTTTATGGTTGTGATGATTGTGTGCGGAGTACAACTCGTGACTTGGAATAATTCATTCATTCACGACGATGAAGACAGTAGGTTCCCGCGAAAACTTCAGTTCCCGCGGGTCTTTCAAGATGTTAACGTTTGAATTTCAAGTAATCAGTTTTCAAAACCAGTATTGCTCTTTCCATACAACATACAAACAAACAAACGAAAAAGGAAGTAAAAAAATGACGGCTACTACTGCAGAGCATGTTGTAGATGATGTTCAACAACAGAACAATGAAACTGTGTTGAAACTTGCACTAGCCTTTCTTTCCATTCGTGATCTATTGGCAGTCTCGGCGGTCAACCATCATTTTCTGAAACATGTACGCAGTCGGAACGATGTTTGGGTCTGTTTCTATCAAGAATTTGAAAGCTACCATTCATTTCCGTGTTTAGGAGGCGCATTATCTGAAGTCCATCGCCTGATGATGAGAATTCCGCCTCGAATGCATGGTGACAAGATTGTCCCAGACTCGTTTCGGTTGCACCCGTTGGACAGCGCAGCAAGGCAACATGACGATGACGATGATTGGGGTCCCTTGTTGTATTGTATGGAGTGTGGCACTTGTCCATATTGGAATATTGATGATGAATCTGGAGAGCTCCTAGACATCTTTTTTCGTATGGAAGGGGCCTTCCATCAGGAACATTTGTATTTGCCCAGAGATTTTCCTGTATTCTGTGAAGATTGCAAGGTTTGGCTGTATTCGACGGAACATCTCATTGAGCACTGCAAATCAGACGCCCATTTGTTTGCAAGGGAACCTCGCCTTCTTGATCCACGTTGTAAACAAGGTTTTCAGGAACTGAGTGCTTTTGAAAGGACCAAGGCGCTGACCATCTATCCATTATCAGTGTATGCAGTATTCCGAGAGATTACTATGAGTCCCAGCAGTCAGGAAGAAATTGACGTGATCACAAGCAACATTCAGCGCTTGATGCGAAGGGTCGTAACACAGATATTTGGTCCGGAAGATTACGATCCTGATGTTGTATCTGATTGTTGCACCAGCGATGTCATTTCAGAATTCTGCATTGATTTCGTAACAGATGCATTCTTTTCCGGTCATGAGTATGCTTTCGTGATCCTCTATGGAGGGTGGCAACCGGAATCCTTCGAACATCATGGCTTGGGCATCTATCTCCGTACTCGAACTTTCGAATACCTCCTCTCAGACTTTTTTATGAATGATTGGTGCGAATCGTCACTCAGTCAAACTATCTGCATGTCGAATTTCGATGTGTTCGGAATGTAGTTCAATCTCATCATCCATTTTGTATAGTGACTGGTTTATGGATAACGTAACATCTAGATTGTGCTGTGATGTGCATGAACGCTCCCATTGGCAAAGGTAAATTCACGTATAAACGACGACCTTCATCTTGTATATGATCCATTTCTGCGCTATACACCGCTCTTCCGATCCATCTGAGATCATATATCGCTCCTACATCCAATGCGATTCTATGCCAAGGCGCATTCGTGTCTACTGCAAGGTAGAGCAGCCTTCATCCGACCATCCATATCGGTACAGCCCAACAGTCCCAAAAATAAATCAAGGCTACTGTTGTTTGACTATCTGAGATGGCCTACTGGCGCCTTCCGCTTGGTGTTCGTCTTGGATCTGTCTGCATGGAGTCTGACCGGTGGGTTGTAGCGTGAAGCTGGTCTTCCGGGTCAATAGGGGGACCCGGAAGACCAATCTCAGGAATCCCGTAAACAGGATTTCTGAGACCTGCTTGCCTACTGGGAACCATCGCCGCATAGAAGAAAGGCGATGGTGCCCAACAGGGTGGGAAAGAAAAATGAATTGATATTGATATATAATAGACGTATCAAAATGAGCTGTCCTTGCCACTACCATATCGTAGGAGGGCAATGAAGTCAAAGGCCGTGCGGCCTTCGACCGTATACCAACTGTAGTCAATGTGATCGAACTTTTGGTACGGTCCACGTTTGACTATAACTCGTGATTCGATAGCTTCATTCCCGAGAAGCTCGAGTTGGTCTCGAGTCCAGACTAAAACTTCAGTTGAAGTTATATTAATTGATATTTCCCGCGGGCATTATTATAAAATGCACAAAGAAGAAATTTCAACTTCGCCAAGAAATGAAACAGAAACAATTTTTTTATAATAAAAAGGGAAGTAAGTATGATGTCGACTGCACATGGCGCTATTATCCCAGAGCAGGACACCCGACAACTAGTACAGATCAATGAAATCGTGTTGAAACTTGCACTACCCTTTCTTTCCATTCGTGATTTGTTGGCAGTCTCCGTGGTCAACCATCATTTCTTGCATCATGTCAAAAGTCGCAACGATGTTTGGTCCTGTTTCCATCAAGAATTTGACAGCCGCCATTCATTCCTAGAATCATCGTGTTCCTGCCGTGGAGGTAAATTGAGTCGAATCGATCGCCTCATGATGAGAATTCCACCAAGGATCCATGGTGACAAGGTCTCGGTTGACCAAGATAAGTTTCGGCCGCATCCGTTGGACAGCGCAGCAAGGGAATATGATGATGATGATGACAGGAGTTCATTGATCTATTGCATGGAGTTTGGCAATTGTCCCCATTGGAATATTGATCGTGAATCTGGGGAGCTCTTGGATGGCTTTTTCAGGATGGAAGGAACCACCATTCGGGAACTTGTGCCTTTGCCCAGAGAATTTCCCGTATACTGCGAAGATTGCAGGACATGGCTGCATTCGACGGAACAACTCATTGAGCATTGCAAATCAGACTCCCATTTGTTTGCAAAGGAGCCCCGCCTTATCGATCCTCGAAGTAAGCAAGGTTTTCAGGAACTGAGTGCTTTTGAAAAGACCAAGGCACTGACCATTTATCTATTGGCAGTATCTGCGGTATTCCGGGAAATTACCATGAGTCCCGGCAGCCAGGAAGCAATGGACTGGTTCACAAGCCTTGTTCATTGTATAATGCAAATGATCTTAAGACAGACAGTTGGTCTGGAAGATCATCATCCTGATGCAATTTCGGATAGTTGGACCAGAGATGTGATTTCAGAACTCTGCATTGATTACATAACAGATGCATTCCTGTCCGGTGCCACGTGCGCTCACCTGGTTGTCACCTATAACGGGTGGAAACCGGCAGCAGGAGAATGTCTTCTTCACGGCTTGGGCATTTATCTCTGCACACAGGCTTCCGACCACCTCCTTGCAGAACTTTTGACTGACGAATTCGAACCAGCGTACATTCGCGGTCTTTGCATCTCGGCTTTGGAAATGGCCAATGACATCCGTTTAGGATTAGTAGCACAAGAGTGATCAATTCATGTGGATAGTGTAACCGATAGATTGTGTCGTGATGTGTCGTGCTGTGCTGTGCGTGAATGATTCCAGTGGTAGAGGAGGTCCATATCTGTCAGGAAACGATGACATGCGGTACCTTGTAGTCGACAACACATCGAGCAGACCTTCACCTTGAATGATCCATTTCTGCTAACGCTACTCTTTCGCTATCATCGGTCGCCATTGCGGCTTCCTTAAGAAAGGGGCCACATAGCAGCGTTCAAGGCACACTCGTGTGTATTACACGGCACCTCTGGTAGTATACCGGAAGCCTTCATAATGACAACAATATATACTATACCGGTAAACCTAAAAAATAAAATCTGTGGATCGTTTGATTAACTCGAGTCAGTGAAGCTTCGCGATTGTTCCAACAGAAAAACGCACGATCCAAACACCAAGATACTAATATACCGGTATGTACTTTGGAGAATAAACAAGATTATGCTGACAACCTCTTGCACCATTGATTTCACAAGACCCAACTTTCAATCAAGAGCTTATAGTACAACATGTCCAAAGTAGGATTTACAGGTCTTCCCCCGCTACAGGAATCTGGGACGGTTCACGGTCACCACAATCCATCACCCTTTCCACTTCCACAGAATCTTCAAGTCCATCCGACATCGTCGAATCCGAATCCATCAACAACAGGGTCTTCCGCAAAGCAGCAAAACTATGGTTTGCATCACTTGGAAACTAATTGGCCAGGTGAGACAGGCAATGGTCATCACTTGGATGTTATCCCAGGTATGACCCTATTTCAGATCTTGTCGTTGTCGTTGCAACAAAAGAAGAACCAGCATCATCAGCCCAAGACCATTGTGATTCCCCTCTTTCAACGACGCTACTGCTGGACCCCTATCTAGACTGAAAAGTGGTTTCAAGACGTCTACAGGGCGACCAAATCTCATGCCACCCACAAGGCTATGTTCAAACGTCACACTGAATCAGGAAATGGAAAACAGCTGTTGTGTTTGGATGGACAACAGCGGATTACTACTACCACACTCTTGCTGGCTGCCATTCGTCCTCACTGCCGAAGGGCCAATATGGGAAGCACCGTGAGCAAGATTGATGGTTTGCTTTTTGGTGGTCCCGAGAATTCTGAGAAAATCCATCAATGGGCTCAAAAGCAAGCGGCAAGCATCCTACAATCGGCACAAGAAAGTAGTGACGTGTCTACTGACCAAGAAATGGTATCGTTGGAATCCTTTACAACCGGATGGTTACCACAAAGTACTACAGAATTCCAAACAACGCTGGTTCCATCCTATATCGATAGGGCTGCCTATTTTGAAATTCTAAGCTTGGATCCGATTCAACAAGCCCTGGAAGGCCTCCTTGCAATGGAGGAGAACAAAGACAAGGAATCAAAGAAGATCCATCTTGAATTTTCTAGTACTACAAAAGAATCGACGCAGTACATGACCTACTCGACCTTTTTGCAACTTGCTAAAAATCTGCTCAAGCCAGCATCTGCAAATGGAGATTTCAATTCCAACGTACTCTCCAAACTCTTTTATAATCAGGTACATCGCTTCTCCATGACCTATATTGAATTGCTCACCAAAAACGATAACTTGCAGCAAATCTTTTTGTGGATGCAAGAAAAGTCTGTCTTTGGAAGTGGTCGTCTCTTGTTCAATCCTCATCCAGGAATCGATTTTGCGCCAGTGGATTTGGCCCGCAACTGGATCATCTCGAGTGCCATGGATCTTCCTCTGCAAGAACAAGTGGAATTTTATACCCGTTGTTGGATCCAGCCATTGGAAGGACGCTGTAAAGATACAGGAGTATTGGGCGATATTCTGTTGCATTTGGTCAATCGGATTGACCAGGAATCCAAGGGCAAGGATCGCCATATTGGAAGCATGGAAGAAAAGTTGAACTACCGGTACTATCGCTCGGTATCGCCTCCTGCCCTCCAACGTATGTTTACCGATGAGATGCCCATGATGGTCTATGGCAGATTCCATTCCTATGTACAATGTAGGGCAACACAACTAGGAAGTGATCCCGATGTTATCTCCCGTCAGTTGGCTGACGTGATTGTCCAAGAACTCGTTCAGGAGGGAGAGAAGATGGAAGTATTAATGCCGAATGCATAGTGGTGACGAATCATACAAGACTAAAGAAACTAGAAGTCGTAGCTTTTTTAATGAAGCATTACCTTAGTGTCGTCTTTAATTCCGGTTGCTTCCCGCTTGAGTCATTGCTTTGCTTCTTCTTTCCTTGGAACTTTTGGTAGATTTCCTTGAGTTCAAAAGCGTCCTTGCCACTCACGCTCGGCCGAGCACTTTGAAGAGCAGATTTTAGGTCATCCAGGCAAATCTTGACTTCTTGTATCTCTTCGGGCTTTTGCTTTTCTAGAGCCCTATGGACGGCATTGACATGTGCCGTGACAAAGGCAGCCTTGATATCCGCAGGAAATATGGAACCAGTGCCCCGTATGACAAGGCTCAATATCTCGTTTGCGTTCTCAATAGATGATAGCTTCTCTTGACAATCATCAGTCAAGTTCCACTCCAAGCAAAGTTTCGAGAATAAATCAAAGAGATCTTCTTCTGTTGTAGGAGGTCCGACAAAGAGATGCTGCTCCAAACGGCCTGGACGAAGGACCGCGGAGTCCACTTTGTCAGGCCTTGAGGTTGCTGCTACCACGTAAACCGTTTCCCCAGAGTTATCTTCTACTCCGTCCAGGAACGTCAACAGCTGGTTGACTACCCGGTCAGTCACCCCAGTGTGATCGGAACCTCGACGAGGGGCCAGCGAGTCTAGCTCATCAAGGAAGAGAATGGACGGAGCGACATCGCTGGCTCTCTTGAAAAGCTCTCGAATCTTGGCTTCTGATGCACCAATGTACTTGTCGAAAATCTCGGGACCTTTGCAAGAGATCACAGGAAACTTGCAAAACTGGGCAAGCGCAGGAACAAGGGCTGACTTTCCGCAGCCAGGAGGGCCAAAGAGCAGAACTCCTCTCGGAAGCTTGATGCTCGCTTTCTCGTAGATCAATTTGTATTTCACTGGATTCAAAACAAGTGATTCAAGCTTCAACTTTACTGAGGACAGGCCACCAATCATCTCCCAAGTCGTGGAGACTTTATGATCAAGATCGTTCAGTGCCATATGCGAGAGCGGAATGTAGCCGTCGATGACCATCGAGACAGCTTCGTTGATGGACAAGCCATCTCCTTCTGTTCGAAGCTTTCGTCGGACCCTAGACGCTATCTTCTCTAGATCATGGGGCCGAAAGCCATCCATCTTTTGGCCAATTTTCTTAGATATTGGAGCTGTAGTGTGGGAGGAATCGTTCCCCACCAACTGCTCCAATACACTAACCCGATCATCCGAAGAAAGTACCGGAACCTCCATGTTTAGTTTAGGAATTCTCAAGCAATCATGAAATGATGAATGGATGGATTCCATACTCGTTGAAGTGGCGAGGATGGATACTCGACTTGACCGAGTTGCTTCGATAAGTTGTAGCACACGATCTGCGATGACCTTTGATTGGGAGACTGCAATTGGATTAGCCGTCTCGACCCGGGCTGAAGAATCCTGCTCTTCTCCGCCCAGCAAATTTGGAGCAACTAGATCCATGTCATCGAAAACGATGATACAATTCTGAACTTCCACTGCAAGCTCAAAGACGGAATCTATCTCGTTCAAGATTTCAACTAGAGAAGTAGTCGTCTCTTTCAGTCGCTTGCAATCCAAGTAGATACTTGGAGCATGCTGTGAGACTTTGCACATCGCACTCAGTAGCAGTGCAGAATGGGACTTTCCGCTACCACTTTCCCCCCAGATTGTAATCCACAGTTGGTCATCTTTTCGCAACGAATCGATTGCATTTTCTGCCCAAGAATGTGAAGACACGACTGGAGCCGAAAGAGGGCTCAGGAAGTTCTCATGTTCCGGTACATTCGATACCTCTGGTTCAGTGTCAGTCTTTGTTCTTGTACAAAGTTCAGCAAGTCGGTCGCGAGCCTCTTGATTGCAAGTAAGGATACCGCCCAGTTGCGCAGATGGATTCTCGGTATTCACATCGACAAGCCGAAAGTATGAAACTGAATCTTTTGTTTGTGGTCCGTGTTCTGCTAAACAATTTGCCTCAAAGATGCAACTCAATGGCAACGCGATGGCGTCAGTGGTTTCAATGCTGGCAATGTTGGTATCATGCAGTGTCCTACTTGGTTTTCGGAATGCCGCAATACTTTCGGCTGCGTTGAATTGGATGGGCACAAGGGAAATATCCTCTAAGGATAAGTCTCTTGGAGTGGAGGTCGGACGCAATCGTATCGATTTCCAATACAACGCCAAACCTAAATCCTGACGGAGCCACTTGTGCAGTACTACAGAAAATGGCGAGGAAAGCGTGAGATATCACGATCGATTGGCAACAATCAAGACAGGCGCACTGCAACAGGATCTCGGGATATGTATAGATGCTCGTCATTATTGTTCAGAATTAGCATGGTATTGGATCTTCACAGAAACAGGTTGGAGTTGGAGGTAATCGCAATGACAAGGATTCGTACCTGGAAGACAAACAACAAACACAATATCAGAAAGAAGTCAATGAATAGATAAGAAAAGTAACAGATGAACTCTAATTTCTCAGGAGTATCAATTGGAAAATAAATGTTCGTCATGCACATTGCATCCGTATCCTTAAATTTTCATCTTGGAAATTGAGAGTGTCAATTGGACTGCAAAAAGCAAGCTTACCTGCATTCCCTTCTGGGACAGACTTGTTGCAAATCACTCGCACCAAACGCTTTTGGTCTTCTTTTTGTGCCTTGTTGGAACAAGGCTCCACCGTTGCCCAGGAGTATTTCGAGTTCCACATCATTTCGTTGACCAAGACACAGCCAGGTGCCAGAGACAACGGTTCAAGCTCCATTGTCTTGTGCAGCTGAAGCATGGCTTCATTCCAGTCGTCTTGACTGGGAATGAGCGTTTGGGGTGGAGACCAGTCCACAATATCCTTCTTTTCGCGAGTTCGTGGTGCAATAATGACCTCGGTGTCCTGACGAAGAAGACCGAATACGATCTTTTCGTCATCATCATTTGAGGACTCGATGCGACCTACCAACAGCTCCACCCAATCATTGTCCATTTTCAGGTGAAGATGCTGCTTCGAATATACCACGCTGACTTGTTGAAGGAAGCCGCCTCGTTGAAGCACTGCAGAATCACATTGAAGAAGTTCCCAATCGTTGGCACTGACTGGCTCCACGTGAACTTTAGTACATGGCGAAATCGACGTTAGCAATTTCACCTCGACCATTGTTGGCAAGGGGGACAAGCCCGAAAGGAGAAATGATGGGATTTCAATCGTATCTGCTTGGTGAAAAGAAATAAGATGTTACGTGAGGCCAAGATTCATGATATGAAATATAAGCAGAATCAGCAGGATCGCATCGCATTCAAAATAGGCCTCAGAAGGAAGGCAACAGTGTGATATCTCGACATATAATCATTCCGTGGTAGTGACAATTTGTTTCCAAACTGAATCTCTCATTGGCCGTTATTTCGTGTGCGATTTTTTTTCTAATTGAAAGTATAGACTTACCATCATATTCACTGATACCACCGTTCCACGAGGTATAAACAGTTGTGTCACATAAAGCAATAGCAAGCGGAAGGAAAGAACTGGCTGAGGCATCATCCAGGAGATCCTTGACAGTTCGTTCACTGAGACGAACGAAAAGATTGTCTCGTTCTTCCTTTAAGCGAAGCTTGATTGAAAAGGGTTTGGTCATTTTATTACGACTTATTCACATCTTCTTTCGTTAGAGCATCAATCTATTCAAGTCTCTCTTGTCGTATTCAAGGGAGAGACATGGTTTTGTTGATCAACAAGTTGTAATATGTCATCACCTCAGATCTTGCTTGGCTGTCATCCACTGGATACGACCAAGTCCGTCCGTTGACCGACACGGAATGCACAAATTATTTCTCCAATTCTCTACTATCCCCTTGTACCGTGTAATAATAGATTTCAGTATTGAGTATGTGTCAAGCAATCACCTCCAAATACAGAGATACAGTACTCAATCGTCTTCAGAAGCTATGCCTAAACTGCATCGGATGATACAACATTGATCCATGCCTTGAAATCTGAATCCCAGTAGATAGTAGATTTACTGCTTCGTTGAAACTTGAAATCCACAGTGTCCCACTTGGCTGCAATCTTGTCACAGTATTCTTCTGCAGATTGTCCAAGTTTCTTGAGTGGACTCATGACAAAAGCTTGCATAAAGCAAAAATATACTCCAAATGTCACCACGAGACCTCCGAACAGGGCTCCACTCAGAATATTTCCAAGATTTTCATCATCGACCATCGTAAAACGAACAGCAATACCGGCAATCAATCCGATCAAAACAAGTGTAAATATTGCACCTATGACTGTCCATGCCGCCTTGATGCCTTCGTACGGCTCTAATTTGGCATCAATGTTGTCGCAAAAGATGATCCATTGGATTCTTTCTTGGAAATATGGTTCCAGAAAGGTAGGCATCTTGCGATTGATCTTGAACGGAAGTTTGCTAGTGTCGATTTCAATTCGAGAGTTTAACATGATGATGATGTCTTATATTTGTGGCGTTGTTGTTAATGAAGGATAGCTATCTCATGCGATATGCGATGAGTGATGGTGTCTCGTGCGTTGAAGACAAGCTATCTCATACGGCATTGATGATGTATGATGAGGAGAAAACGGTTTTGGAATTTTTTGATGACTTCAGTTTCTGTCCTCCTGTCCGAAAGTTGAACAAAGTACCGGTGCTATTAGCGTATATTCGTTGTTTTCGATTGCGATGAGATAATGACACACATTGCAGGGCACGTTTCAAACAATTGCACAACATATATATACTCAAACATGTCCGTCTACGAGCAGCAGACAGGTGTTACAGTGGTACATTGAAATGTCTGTCTGCTGATGAGCCACTACTTCGACACCACACCAGAGTTCGGAAAATGTTGATAACTACTACCCCGACACCCACTATAGTTTCGACAAAGAACTCGGATTTAGCGACAAAATCTAACTTCCTTCGTCTGAAGTAACACTCGACACTCATCTTTTTTGCACCGTTCGACCTCATGCCCATGGACCTTTTTATTAAAAATTGAAATGCTAGTGTATTCTGAATTCGACGTTGAATCAAACATGTTGATGTATTTGCTAAAACAGTCAGTCCATTCTAATATTGCAATGTGCTTATCTTTCTCCCCATGTCTCACATGGGAGAACTGGAAATTGATTTAAACATATTCCAAAAGATATTGGGTACTTCATGTGCAATGATATGATTCTGCGCCGTGACATTAGTGATCACTAGTGCTCGTCGGAAGAATACGAATACGATTCGGAGCCTGACCCTGATACGGACTCGCTTTCTGTCCCATTGGTACATAATGCATGTTTGCATGCTTGGCAGTTGTATTCGGCAGGATCATTAGACATGTATGCCCTATATAGATGCCGGTGGCCCTTCCAGATTCGGTCACTGAAGCCATCAAAGGCCTTGTTGTACTCATCCCGGTCTTTTCGACCCATTTCGTAGAATTTTTCCTTATCCTCATACAGCTTGATAGACTTGGTATCCAAGTGCTCGGCTGGTGTGGCGTGTATCAGCATGCAGGTGTGGTGATAGTTTTGGTTGTTGAATTCGTCATAGTATAGTTCCTTTCCTTCCGTTGAAATGTTGAATTTGAGTTCCTTTTGTATGCCGCAGGATGATTTTGCCAAGTGCCACGGCATTCGCCGCCGTCCTTGTAGTCGTTTGGAAGTATTCGTGTTGTGCAAGTAGTGATCAATGACACTGCACCAGACTTGATCGGGACCCCACACAGTCTTGAAATCACCCCACCCTTTGACTCGGTTCGAAAACTCACTATATATAATTTGCCATGCAGTTCTTGTAAAAACTGGAAGCTGTATTTCCAGTAGCGGAACATCCATGGCCAGCAGATGTTGCATGTCGTTGGGATTTTTCGGAGCGTCGTCTGTGTAACAGTGCCATGGATGCGTGCTTCCAACATAAGATTTGTGTTCTTCCCGCTCCGGATCGGTGCTCGCCATTATTGTGGGGGCGAAAATGGAAGGCTGAAAGCGAGATGCAATATTCCAAAAGCACTCCCACGCTATGTTTCGTAATCGAATATCCCCATCCATAATCCAAACATAGTCTGTATCTATCGTCTTTGGGTTCAAATGTCGATGCCAGAACTTGTTTTTGTGTGCTCCAAGCTCAAGGAAGATCTCTGTAGAATGCTTCTTTCTCCATTTCTCATCACCCGCATTTCCGGCTAGCAGCAATTTGTGGGTTTCCTCTTCGTAGCAAAATATTCTCCACTTCAGCTTAAACTGCCGTTCTTTCAGAGACGCTTTCAACGATTCAATATCCAGGATGGTGTCGTGCACATCTTTCGTCGAGACTGTCTTTGCCATAACAATAGATGTTGCCTTGGAAGTTTCAATCATGATGTGGCTGTTATCGTTTGGATTCGCCACCGTGGACGTAGCTGGGTAGATTACAAATATCTCAAACAGAATGACCAGAAAGGCAAACAGGACGTAGAGGTTCCTGGCGAAGGTGTAGGAACATGTGCATCCCTTCGCCATTGGACAGATACAATACGGCAACTTGTCTTCGAGGGAGTAGGTTAATAGAGAAGCATACAGTTATTCCAGTATTAGATGCATTCGCGGTCAGAAATAGGCATGACAAATGTTGTGGTTGTCGTTCATCGCATAATCGCATCGCATCATTTTGCCACGAAATTCAAAACATTCAGAAAAACTAGTTCAGTCCTCTGCGATCAGACGAGAACAGAGAAGAAATCGAATGCGATTGATTGATGATTCAATCACGCAGAAAGAGAAAGCGCCATGGCACTGATTGTGTTGGTTTGTTTGCTGGTTGGTTTACAATACTTTTATCCGCAACTTGTCACCGTTGTTCGAACGTTGCTGGTCAACCTCGTGGCCAACTTTTTGGCAGATGTTCTCGAGCATCCGCGGGTCCAGGCAGCTGCCGCGTCGTCGATTGTGGCTGGTATGAATGCCACTACCGACCAACCAGATCTTCCAGAAAGGGCTGCTACAATCTATCTGAAACTTCAAGAGCAAAATGAACACGTTTCAAGACAGTTAGGGGAGCAATTTCCGAAAGTAGCGGGAGCTTTTCTCGCAGGAGCTGCGGCTGGGCTGCGGAAAAAAGAACCCCAGAAAGAGGAGCAATCGAAGAATAAGGTTGCAGATAATGAGCCCAACAAGCCAGGATCACGTCACTGGGGCTCGCTCTTCCAGGGCTTGAAACTAGAGGAGGCGAAGACTACTACAAATGAAATGGATTATGAACTTGATGGCAACGCTACTGTTTCTCCTCTCGTACCAGTGGGGGGAGTGGGGAGCTTCCATTCTTGTTCGGATGCTGTAGTGGAACCAGACAAAAAAGATTAGCTTTATTGAAGCACAATATATCCCGAGGGACCTATTCTTGGCAACAAATTAGAATGACTTAGATATACAAGTTGCTTATGCCCTGGGAGGAAAGTCTCCATTCACATCCAAGCCTGACTGTAGCGAATGGAATTTGAAACTGTACAAAATGTTTCATTAAATTAAAAATGTGTATTCTATTATTATATTTGTTCTATCATGACATCTAAGCAACAGGCGCACTCGGGATGAACACCTTGCTGAAACTGTACAATCCAAACCCAGCGATAACCAGGTTTTCTTCAGCATTAAGTTGCTCAGAGTCTTGAGAAATTCGTGATGCTTCCGTATAACATTCCATCATTTGCTTCACTTGGCCAAGTTGTAGGTAGGCGTTGCCGAGAAGATTTAACAATTTGCCCAACTCTCCCGATTTCTGAACCAGTGGGTCTCTGGTAATGCTAATGGCTTCTTCGTAGTATCCAATACTCTGTTCGATTCGTCCAAGTTGCTGGAAAAGCTGTCCCAGGTGTTGCAGTGTGAGAACAACATCTGGATGATCGTTGCCAAGTGAGCATTTCTCTACCCGTAGGGCCTCCTTGTACATTGCGATGGCTTCATCTTCGTCACCCAACTCGGCACATACTGTGGCTCCGTTGTACCAAAGAATGGCAACATCTGGATGATTGGAACCAAGGAGCTTTGATCGGATTCTGAGACCCTCAGAGAAGCAGGCTTTTGCAAGTTCAAACACACCTTGCTTGAACAAAGCCAATCCAATCGAATTCAAAGTCGAAGCAATGTTTGGATGTTCATTGGTTCCATAATGGTGACGGTAGACTCGCAATGCCGCTTGGTATGATTTGACAGTGTTTTCATTGTCCTCCATCCGGCTGCACATCAATCCAATGCATGCATGAGTTTCAGCAAGCTGAATTCCATCCTCTCCGAAAGCTTCGATTTGCATCATCAGCACCCTCTTGTATTCGTTTCTCGCATCCTGGTGCTGTCCGAGTTGTCGGTGAATATGAGCAATGTTGGTTTGGGTAATGATGAGGTGTAGATGGTTTGGGGAGAGAACTCGTCTCTCAATTTCCAATCCATCTCTGTAGTTCCTCATGGCAGTATCGAAATCTTGCATTTTGTAGTTGAGATTTCCAAGCTTGTTCAATAGGGTCGCTACTTCTTGGCTGTAAATGCCACACGAAGTTGTATGAGCCGTAAGTGCTTTGGTAAAGAAGCACAGTGATGCTTCCAAATTTTCTTGCTCTTGATAAACTTCAGCGATCCCCTTGAAACCTTGACCGACATCCTTCGAATTTTCTCCGAAATGAATGGAGGCAATCGAAACAAAGTCTTGGAAGTTTACCATTGCGTCATCCATGTTGCGAAGTTGAAACAAAACTTGAGCAAGGTTGTAATAGATTGCTCCCAAGTCCAAAGAATCATTCGAGAGAAATCGTTTGCGAATTCGGAGGCACTCAGCATATGCCTTTCGTGCATCTTCAAATTCAGAGCGAAGGTAGTATACTCGGCCAAGATTGTTGAGAACCGTTGCCATGTCCAATTGATTCGTACTTGAGGTCGATCGGTGAATTTGTAGAGACTGTTCTAGTGACTGCTTTGCCTTGTCGGTGTCTCCAATTTCCATGTCGAAATGAATTACACCGATGCAGTTGAATGCGACGGCAAGGTATTCATCACCCAATTTGTATTTTCGAATGACATCAAGCGCTTGTTGGTAGCATGCTAGACTCATATCGCTGCTAGCAGTCTTGTAGAAGCAGTATCCGAGGGTTTGCAAGATTCTGACTTCCAACATGGAATCAGATGAGGCTGTCGCTTCGTGGTATCTCGCCGCTAACCTTAGCCAGCACTTGGCGGCATTATATCCTCCTCGGCTGATAACGGCCTGTGCCATATTGTATGCGAGAGTGGGTAGAAGTGTATGCTGATGATACCTCTCGTCTATTCGAATCGGTTTGTTGTACTTGTGCATTCCTTCGTCATATTCCAATGGTTTTGCTCTGGAATTGACATCGTTGCCATGGGCCTTTTCTGGATAGATTGCTATCGACTTGCATTCTCTTGAAATTTCATCAAAAAGGGCCGAGTCAATGATTCCCACAACCTGGCCCATTCCGACGCCACGTAGTGCTTCCAAGAAGCAGCACTTCGAATTATCGAAATCTCCTTGTTCAAAGCTACCAATCCCGCGATTGTTCAAAGCAAGAATTGCGTCAATGGCAGCAGCAGGTGCGGAGCGCATCTCTCGGGCTTGGTCTAATCGTACGTGGGTGTTCATCTCCATCATTGTTGTATGTTGTTGTTTGGCGTTGTATTGCAGTCGGATTCGTTGTTTGTCGATGTTGGTTTGGATTTTAATTTTGATTTTATGTGATTGTGTGAATTTTTAGATCCTGGGACCAATCCCGTGCACAGAATCCCGTGGAATGCGCCCAAAGAATATGATTCCCAATGCGACGGTACCGTAAACCAGTCCATACTTGGTCCAGCCAAACGCGATAGAGAGAGGATATAAGATTCGCCGTAAGTGATAATCATCGTACAGAATGTCGTCGATTGATTCATTCATTCGGACAAAAGAACGCACGCTGCTATGTCAAATAAATAGTAATTGGACAAGCAATCCCGAGAGCAAGAAACGCCTCCATGCAATACTTGTTTTGATTTTCGGCCGAATTGCTTCTTTCGTTTTCTTAATGATTTTTTGGTTCGGACGAACTGCTTCTTTCGTTTCTTTGTCTCTGAGACATGCTATGGTCGCCGCTTCCCCCGGGAAACGGTATTGGGACGCGCCGGAATATCGAATTTCATTCCTGATATTTCCCAAGCTATCATCAATACTCCGACACGAAAGGAAAATGAATTAGTGAAAGAGATTTTAGAGAAAGTACAACCAGCGTGGAGTCACCTAGACCATCTTTCTGACAAGGCCAGTGATACATACACTAATAGCATGACCCCCGTTTCTTTTTCTGCTCTCTGCTCTTTTGAATTCTAAACATCTATTACAATGTATAATCATTCGTTGTCACTGTTTCGGGAGATCCGCCATGTCAATGTCAAGCATGCAAGCGCAAATATGGAGTGACGAAAATTGAGCCATTCTTGGTATATGTTATGGGGTTAATATATTTCCGACTTACGATCTATCGCTTAGCTAAGCTACCCCTGACCCCAAATTCACACGTCATTACAGGAGTATGCCCTTGATCATTAGTACCAAAGTTGGAGTCTGATGTAGTCCTAGTTGTCTATTTGTGATATTCTACATTTTAAAATTGTCGTTTGCACATAGTGAGAAGTCATGATGCTGCTGCTCTTGAACATGGTTAGCGTGCTGATATTTTTATACAAACCGATGAGTCATGCTGCTCTTGCACATGGCCGGCGACCAGCTATCCTGGGTACTTTGTCTTCCGTTGGTTGGCTGTGGGAAGACTCTGACGACAAAATGGGGCAGGTCAGGGCTGCCGTTGTTGCCCTCGCATCGATTCCTTCGTTCTCTTCTTCTTCTTCTTCTTGGTAGAGGTATGCTTGTATGGCTTGATGGTCACGGTTGCCAATGACTTGAGCCCACAGTTGACTGCTTGCAGTGGTTTTAATGTATGCATCCGAGATGGCCTGTACATCAATATCTCGATTCTCGTTCCATTGCATTTCTTGCTCATTCAATACTGCTGCGTACGCAGCCGTTCTTGTTTTCTTTTTACTGATGGACCCCAGCGTTGTGTGTCCTTCAAGGCCTCGGGTACAATACCTTTGGCCATTCTTGGTTCCTCCGCATTCTTCCATTCTCTGTAGTACTTTAAAGCATCGTTGGGTGATTTTGTCCATGGCTTCTTCATCGTACCACGCAGCTGCGATCTCGCTAGGGGTATAACCCTCAAGGTTCAATGTTTCTACAATCTGAACAGTTGGGTTGATGGTCACCCTTCTCTCAGGTGATGTTGCCAGTATCGGCTTTGGTCGGTTCATTTTGTTTTTACCGTTTGTTGATGTGGGGGCACGTACCGGGATATGTGGAATTGCGGATTTGCTTGAGCGGTGAACGGAAATTGAAAATCGCCACATCATCAAAATCCGGTCAGAAATTTACGATATTCCATTTGTTCGTCAAAGGAAAATCTTATTTATGACCATCGAACGCCCTTCTTTCACAAAATAAATATTAATATTTTGGTGTGAAGAGTGAGTCAACAAACAGAGGCTACCTTCTGCTCAGGTGATAAATTCATACCCTACGAAAGCTGCAGCTAAGCACCACTTGAAGTGCGATAGTCAATCCGATGACGGGAAATGAAAAGCAAGGCCTGATTGATAATAAAATAATGCACAATTAACCATCCGGAGCCACCCAGCCCAGAGCGGCAACTGACAGTTGAGGAAGGGTGGTGTGCGGCATTTGATACCCACAATAGTAATCCCTTCAAGTGCCCTGACACGAGAAACGAAAGCACATTAGTGGTATTCAAAAGGAGAGAGATGCCAATTTGGTCCCTGTATTCATCTCCCCATCAAAGAATCTGCTTGCTGGGCAGTCATCACCAGTTGATTCACAGGTCATTCTCTAAGCGATCGAAAAACAACCTTCTGCATGCTCCTGCTGCAACTCCTCGTCATGAGAACCACTGCTTTTGCACCCCAAAACATCGTTATCGTAGACAACTATGCTAAATATAATTTCTTCGTAACACTGCTGCCTAACCTAGCAGGAGTACTAGTAGCCTACCTTGTTGTATCGCTCATCTTTCGTCATCACGAAGACAAATGTCATTCCGCCCATCAGGCAGGTTCGGGAGTAATTAAGGGTGACCACCACGAGCCGATTTTGTGTCGATATATATGTACGCAATTCAGTAAATGCAATAGGGACGGCCGGGAAAATCAATATTTACTCCCAAGAATTGTATGCTAAATGTCTATTTCCCGGCCGTTCTAGTGACTGTCCCGGAATCCATCGACTTTTGTGGAAACCAAAAGTGGCACTCAGGTACATTATCATACTGATCCTACATACGCGAAAAAGGTACTAGAAAAGGCGGATCAGAATTTCTGATCGATTGATTGATTTTAATTCGAAGGGATCAACGAAGGCATTATTGGAGAAGTCGCTAGGTCGCCAAAGGGGTATTAGCGCAAGGTTTCGGAGAAAGGAAATGACTTTTTTGTGAAAAGAAACTTCCGCAGTCAAGCATCTTCCAATGCAATAGTGTTGCCTAAAATGGTGTGTTATGATGTGTTATGATGCCTCAAACTGGTTTATTGAGCCGGGACTCATCATGCCGCCCTTGCACCTTGATGGACGATGCTACCCACATTCTTCAGCGTTATTTTTTGGCTGCCGGGACTCTTTAGAGCAGAGGTTGAAACTGTTGTAGTAGTCGCATCAACCTCTTCGTCCTTTTCTTCATCTTGGTAGAGGTAGGCTTCTATGGCGTGGTGGTCACGGTTGCCAATGACTTGAGCCCACATTTGGCTGCTTGAGCTAACTTTTCTGTATGCATCTGAAATGGCTTGAAAATCAACATCCTTATTCTCGTTCCATCGCTTCTCTTGTTCGTCAAGAACTGCTGAGAACGCAGCTGCTCTTGTTTTCTTTTTACTAATGGACCCCAGCGCAGTGTGTCCTTCAAGGCCTCGCGTGCAGTACTTTTTTTTGCCGTTCTTGGTTTTTCCATATTCCATTCTTTGAAGCACTTTGAAACATCGCTCGGTGATTTTCTTCATTTCTTCTTCATCATACCATGAAGCTGCGATCTCGCTAGCGGTAAAGTCGTTAACGTGCAATATTTCTACAACCTCGACAGATTCGTTCATGGTAACTCCTTTCTTCTGCATGATTATCATAGCTTACTGTGATTGATTTGTGTTTTCTGATAGTTGTGAGCCATAGATTTTTAAAAAAATTGGATTTGAGGACAAAATGCCAAGTTCTTTTGAGTCACGAAATTCAAAAACGCCGAAACTATATACTATCGGAATGAATCGGTTCAGTTCCAATGTCGAAACATTTGCTCATTCTGTTCGGTCACAAAGTACAATACCTCGCACAATATGCGATAAATCACTTCGATGTGGGGAAATTAAAAGCACGGGTGATAGAGACGATGATTTTGATCTGGATCAGCGGAGGGGGGACGCTACAACAGTCGGACATTCTGAGTTCTGAGACTCCCAAGGGGTCATAACAATGTTGTCTCCATAGTGGGATCCGGAGAAACGAATTGTATTACCTCGAGAAACGACGTGCTATTGCCAGTACGGTACCAATCCTGGCATTCGTCTCCTCATGAAAGTACATAGCTACGTGTGCAGCCACTTGAGCCACCCCCCTCTGTAAGTAGAAGCAACTTATTTTTACCTTGAATAAGTTTATCATCATGAGCATGTCGAATAAAGGGAGCAGTGTCACTGCTCTTCTGCCCTAGTCTATTTCGTTGACAACGAAGAAATGTGCGGAGGATCATGACAAGTGCCAAAAATCCACTAGAGAAGTAAGAGAGGCAGCGAGGCAGTCGATTTTGTATCGATAAGCTGATAATTCAGAAGAGGCATCGGCGGTTCTTGGAATTGAATTTTGCGCCCAATGCCTTGGTGGGAACCGATTTGGCAATCGCTTCTCTCCTTCAATCAATCCTATTGATCATAACGGTCCTGTGCCGGTACGTTCGTTTGTATGCGGTACAACGTGGACCAGGACGAGCACAAAAAGGTACTAGGAAAGTCGGTCATTGCGCAGTAAAAAGGAGACATCAAACCAATGAAAACACAACTCAATTGAAGTGACCGTTGGATTGGTATCTGTAGTCTTTCTTGCAACAACACCAGCCAATATTATAAACGGGATAACCTTCTACAAAACTATTTAAGGCATAACCTGCACTGTCCATTGAGGGGGACGAACTGGAATATATCTGTGAATGTTGCCAAAGAAATCAAAGCAGTTCATACAATTTTCTTACAACTAGCGCCAAGACCACACAAACACAGTATAATAAAATAAACAACAATGTCATCCTCTCCCTCTCCTGGTAGAAGGAGTGGACGAGGCGGGAGAGGACGGGGAAGAGGCAGAGGAGGCCGTCGGGGGGGAAGGGGTCGTTCCAACAATCGGCGATCTGACAGCAATCGAAACAGCTCCAACAGCCAGGATGAAGCCTTGAGTATGCCAGAGATGAAAGATGAGGTGAGGGAAGAAGGTTTTCTATTGTCGGCTTCGTTTTCCAATGGTTAAATTGTGTTTCTCACGCTATTGTGTTCGTTCGTAACGTGAAATACAGGAGGTCCTGATCTCCTTTATGCCTTATCTGAAGGGTGACAATACAGAGGCAACGGTGATCCACGAGCTATATCAGAAGAAGAATGATCAGAAATCCTTCGTTTCAGCGGCGAGAGACTTTCTAGCACGTGAAGAGGAACGAAGAAAGACAGGGGTAACACCGCAGCCATCATCTAAGCCTGTCGGAAACAACTCTGTTCCAGCATTGAATAGATCACTTCCCCAGATTCCTTCTGTTCAACCAATTACCACACAAAATAGTATGTCAGGTCCATGGTCGCAAGTAAGAGGACAAACTGGAATACCACAGAAGAGCGTGATGCCTATGGGTCCCATTGTCAATGATATGGCGTCACTAGAACAGAACATGGCCAGTTTGCTAGCAGATGACGATGACCCAATTGTATCAATGCCCAATCGCCAACTGAACCCAACAAATGATGGGTCTGTATTTGGACGTGCAGCCAATGGTATGGCTGGCAATACGATTACATCGATACTCGGCCCTCCACCTGGGTCCCGTCCAATGAACCATCCAGGACCACCACCAGGGCAACAGAACTTTGGATTTGGAAGCCAGAATGATCAGCGACCTCTTCCTATCACCCCTCCGCGGAATAACAGTGCTTTTCCACCAAGGCCTGCCGCTCCAGGTCTGCCTCTCTCTTCAATTTTTCCAGCATCCAATCCGCCGCCATCGAACCCCATCAACTCTCACCTTCCATTCCTTCAACAACCCAAGCAACAGCTACTGCCTCCTGGACGCCCCATACATGCAGACGGCTGGAATCAGAAAAATCCCCCAGGCATGCTAGAAACAAATTCCCGTCCGCCACCAGACCAAACTCCTGAAAAGACTGGCACCAACGATGCTAGTACCATGCAAACACCGCCACCCAATGCCAATGCTAATCCCGACCCTCCCAAATCTACCAAGAAAGAATATCAACCAAGACGCTTGTGGACGCAGCTGGACGACCAACCAGGTAAAATTCTCGCCAACGATGTCCCGAATCATTTCATGGGCAATGTCTTGGACTTACGTCCGCGACAAGAACTGAAAGCGCAATGGATGCTACCTCTAGGGTTCCTCCGTAATCGAGCAACGGAGAAGGACATGGAAGTCACATCCCTTCGGGACCTCCTGAAAGGTTTGGCAGTCGGACTCTTCCGTCGCGGGTGTACTGAAAATGGTTCCCAAGCATCCATCGTCTCGAAGGAAGTACTGACACCGGTTGGAGAGTCTCGATCCGACTACCCATTCCAATTGATTCAAAATGATATGGTTGTCGGAACAGTTCCATTCTACTCACCAAGAACACCTGGCCATGTTGTCTTCCGGTTATACTGGCAAGATGAGCCATTGCACACCCTCGCTACCGGTCCGACTCTTAATGTTCGAGTTCGGGAAAACGACTTTGAAGCTACCATTCGATTCATCCTATCCAATTTCAAGGGCAAGAAAGTCAATCCCACAAGTTTATCTTCTTTGAATTCGCTTGCGTTGGTACTAGAACACTTCTCATTGACACCGCACATGTCACCTCACAGTGCCCAACAAAAGCTTGATGGATCTGGTAGGGCTGTGTGGGGATGCATATGCGAAGCACGGAAAGTGGTAGATGCCTGTGCATCCGAATACCAGAAGACAATTGTCAAGCTAGAGAAGATGGAAGAAGGAGTGGAAGAAATCAAAGCAATCGTCGAAGCCGAGCAAGAAGAAAAAGATAAGGCACACGAGCAAAAAGGCGGCGATGCTCACGCGGGCGAGGCGGACAAAGAACCAGAAGAGCCTTCAGAAAACGAATTGGAATTCAAGGAAAAGCTTCGGGCTCTGATGAGTGGCCGAGCTTCATGCGAGAGAAAATGGAGAGACTCGCAATTGGCGTTCTCATCCATACTTAGAGCTATTGTGACAAACCCAATGCTTGGTATGGTTCTTCGTCGCGAACTGATTACAAAGATGAAATTAGAGTACGAACTCTGGTGTCCTCTTTGTGAAGAGTTTGCAGTTCCTGGGGAAACTGAAGGACAAATGTGGTATGAACCACTTCGTGATATGCCGAACACCGTAACGGCGGAGCACTTTCGTCTTTGCAACGAAGCTAGATCGAAGATGCAGCAACGAATTCTTGGATTTGATCCGAATCCTTCGACCATGGAGCAAGTCTTGTATCCGGGTCGTGGAAGAAACCGCCCCATGGACCCTGGCGCAGTGAACGTTTTCAACCAACTGTCCAGCGCAATGGGAAAGCTGTACCAAGATGTATACCAAACGGCAGATCGAATTCTCCGTCAGCGCGAGATGATCAGGTCACAAACAGAGAGATTTGTGGAACTTAGCAAATGCTTTCCACCTGGTACAAGTGTTGCGGTTTTCGGTTCCTCGGCGAATGGCTTTGGGTAAGTACTTTCGAATATCTGTGGAGGCGCATCCAATGATCAATATCCCTCACACAAGCGCTTCATCCATATAGTTCTCCTAAGTCGGATCTCGACATGTGTTTGCAAATCCCAGATGGAGCACAAATTACTTCGGAAGAAGATCCGACGGGCTCCATTATGATGGCAAAGCTAGCGGAAGTCCTGGAGCAAAACGGAATGCTAGAAGTTGACACAGCCCGTTTGACGGCCAGAATATCGGTGATTAAATTTAATTGTCCCAAGCCACCCGAGACACTTGCGGAAGGAGAAGAACCGTTGATGGAATGTGATTTGTCGATGCGCAATCCTTTGGCAGTTTTGAATACCAGCTTGCTTCGCACCTATGCCGAGATCAACCCTGTTCCCCGTGTATTGGCAGCTGTCATCAAGCGCTGGGCAAAGGCTCGTGACATTAACAACCCTGCCCGTCACACCTTGAGTAGTTATGGATACATTCTGATGTTGCTTCATTTCTTGACCTTTCATGAACGATCCGGAAATGGGCTTGTCCTCTCGTTGACCAACGGGAAATCAAATCCTTCTCCATCACTGCCGCTGCTTCCAAACCTGCAATGGATGGATGCTTCGTGGCCAGAGCAGCCACCTGGAACACCCTACAAGGAGTATTCCGAAGTGCCAAAGCGTAAAATCAAGCATCCCTTGGAAGAGCGAGCAAGTGTCAACACCTTTTTCTACCGCCCCAATTCTGCCATGCTGAACAATCTACGGCGTATATTCCCAGGCCAAGATCTTTCCCTTGGAATTCTACTGGCCTCGTTCTTCCGCTATTATGCGTTTGAATTTGATTACAAGCGCCATGTTGTGAGCTTGCATTCCAACGGGATCCATGGTGTCGTAGAGCGAGAAGTCAAAGCCGAACTCGATGGATGGCGGAACTACAGTGCAGCCTTGACCATTGAAGATCCATTCGAGACCTTTTATGATGTTGCCCATGTCCTTCGGGGTGGTTACTATCACCGAATTCGTCGCGAGTTTGCCGTCGCCTATTCCAAGATTGCCGACATTGCTGCCGGAAAGACTACTGGAACCTGGAATGGCAAGGCTGTGGATTTGGCCCAAATGTCGGGGATGGAACTCATTGATTGGATTTGCGAACCACTTCCAGACAAGGAAGAGGGCTCGACTGACTAGTAGAATTTTAGAAGTTTAAAAATTACAAGCTATAGACTGCTCTTCTTTTTCTCTCCCATGTACTACCCTATTACTATCTTGTCTCTTCACCATTATTATTGCAATAAGTCGTGCTTGTGATTTCGACGACTCGACCGACTCTCCACTACTCACGCACGAGGTCGAACCACTCCAACCATCATTTTTGATCAGACGGACTTGAGAAGCACAAAAAAAAAGATATCAGTACTGCACTTTCATTTCTCACAACATTAAGTCCCACCAGCTCCCCCCATCATTATACTATCAGTATGGACCCTCCTCCACCAATAGAAGAAGACACAAATTTTGACGAGGAACAGCACCAGCAGTATCGCGATGAGAAAACACCCTTGATTCGCCATGGCTCCCGAAAGACAGAGCCCCGACGACCATCGGCACAAGCCAAGACGGTCAAACAATTGAGCACCATTTCCGATTATTCTACCGGTGGTAAACGAAGTTTTGACGAGGGCGACGACGATGACAAGAGTCTATCCAACTATTCCATCGGAGGAGAATCCGTGACTTCGTTAAAGTCGTTGGCCACGGTATCGCTTGCCAATTTCCGAGAAGGTTTGCAGATTCCGTTTTACGACGAATCTGGCACGAGGGAAAAGATTGTTTGGGGTTTGGGATCCCTCTGCATATTGGGAACTATTTTGGGTCTCATCATGCCCAAGAACATTTATCTTTTTGGAAAATGGTATCCCTATTACCGATGGGTCAGTTCCATTATTGGATACAATTACTTTGTCTTGTGGAGTGTGTGCTTTTATCCACAAGTATTGCTGAATTACAGACGAAAGTCCACCCAAGGATTGAGCAGCGATTTTGCCATTTTGAATTTCATGGGATGGAGCTTTTACTCGGCCTACCTTGGGTCCATGTACTTTAACGACGAGATCAAACGCATGTATTCGGAGCGATTCGCCAACGAATCGTCGTCGGTCCAGAGTAACGACGTTGCCTTTTCCTTCCATGCCATGATATTGAGTTTTATCTATTTGGTGCAGATCTTCTATTATGGAGAAGGTTTCTTTGCAGTATTTCATCTCAAGCTCACGACTTGGGTGTTGGTCCTTGGAATGGGATTGCCCAGCGCCATTGTGCCCGTTTTGATTCGGCTCGGGTATTTGTCCTATTCCAGATGGCTGGATTACTTTTACATTCTTTCCTTTTTCAAGATTTGCTGCACTTTGACAAAATATTCCAAACAAGTCATGTTGAACTTTAAGCGAAAATCCACCTCGGGATGGAACATTTGGTACAACTTTTTGGAGTGTTCTGGTGGCTCCCTCAGTATGCTTCAGATTGTTTTGGATGCGATGGATATGAATGATCTCACTGGAATCACTGGCAACATGGCCAAGTTTGCTCTTGGGTTTGCAACGCTATTCTTTGATGTGAGTGAACGAACAGTAGTAGTTGTGGTAACGGCCAACTGAGTTTTATATCGTAGTACTCACATGTCATGCATTCCATGTCCACAGGGTATCTTCTTTACGCAGCATTACATTCTCTATCCACACAAGGACGAAAGTGTCAACGATGATGCTGATAAAGAGGGAGGAATTCCACGGGTGATTGGGGCAGTACCAACTCACGTTCGGACGAATAGTAGGCTCCATGTCCCAGAAGACGGAATTGTCAACAAGGATTCCTTTGATGAATAATGGTAAAGTTTGGTTGTTCAAGAAAGAAAATTAGAAGTGCCATTGTACCCATAATTCAGAGAAGGGCCCTACTTGTCCATAATTGCAGAGGCTACAGTACAATGCAGAGAATAGAGTAGAGGGCAGAATGCATGTGGTCGAGTCCATGAAGTGGGCCGGCTAAAAATCATGCATTAGCATTGTCGACTACTTCGACTGAAACAACAAGTTTGAACGACAGACTATATTTTTGAACTTTCAACTTATTGTGTCAAAATACAATACTTACCCAACACACCATGCCAACATCATCCATATCATCCTATTCATTGGGGCTCGTCTTTATTCTACTCGTCTCTCTGATATGGGCGGCTGCTTCCATATTAGTCCAATACTTATATGCTAATGAAGACTTTGACAGTCCATTTCTGCTGACCTACATTGGAGTCTCTTTGTTCACCTTGCTCTTGCCGCTGCAATGGACGAAAGAACGATGCAGAGGGCCACAGCAACCATTGGAAGAATATCAGAGTGTTCCTTCCAATGACGACGACGGCGACGAGGAACACAATATGGACGAGGTAGACGACGACGAACATGACGACGAACATGACCTACCACCATCATCTCAAGGCAAAGTCTGGACGACGAGGGACCACATGGTGGCGGCTGCCAAGATTGCTCCGGTTTGGTTCATTTCCAACTATGCTTACAATTCCAGTCTCCGATATACATCCATTACATCATCCACGGTATTGGCCAGCACGGGCAGTCTCTTTACCTTTCTCTTTGCCCTGTTATTCAAAGATGAACACTTTAGTTGCTTCAAACTGATGGGTGTCGGTCTTGGGATGATGGGGTCCATTATGACTGGGCTCCATGATATTCACAGCAATAATGGTGACGACGCCACTAATAGTCCAGACACTAACAGCGACGATCTAAAGCTCTTTGGGGACGGCTTGGGATTGCTCTCGGCAGTTGGGTATGGCGGGTACGCAGTCATGATCAGGATTCTCTGCCCCAAAGATGAATCATTAATGAGCATGGAACTCTTTTTGGGCTTTGTGGGACTCTTCAATATGGTGGTACTGAGTCCGATTGCCATTTGGCAATCTGCCACCACAGCAGTCATATCCGCGTTTGTGCTGGTATCACTCCTGTTGAAGGGTCTATTTGACAATGTACTGAGCGACTATCTGTGGGCCAGAGCGGTGGTACTGACATCGGCAACCGTGGCCACAGTTGGATTAGGATTGACCATACCGCTTGCCTTTTTGAGTGACGTTGCCATGGGAAAGCCAAATGTATTGGACGTGAGCTCCATTTTCGGGGCCTTTGCCGTGCTTGCGGGATTCATCTTGGTCAACATTGGACAAAAGGAAGTGGACGGCGAGGACTCCACTGATGATCACCAACAAGATGATATTCATCAACCGCAATCTATGATGCAGATGAATATAGCGCTTTCAGAAGAAGAAGAAAGTCACGAAGGAGTTGAGATCAGATAGCAGAAGCCATTTGCCTATGATGAAGTCAATCTTTCAAGAACAGAACTTGATGAAAGTACTTCAGGACCTTTCAATCATGTATTTTTAAACTTACTTGGTGAATTGTAAAATAGCTTTCTTTGCCATGACTTTGTTTTTTCAATCAATAATGAATCATTAATCATTGCTATCGTCATTGCAGAATATAATGTTCAGTCTTTCTTGGCATGTCTCGCTTCCGTCAGAGAGGAAGGAACAGCAGAAGCCTCACATGTGCAATAGCAACCAAAGTCTCTTTTTTCATGGCACCCTACAAGAATGTAATGGTCATCTCTAGTAGTAGTAATTATTAGCATTTACTGATGATATCATTTATCGTTTCTTGGTACTTGAGGGCTTCTGTGGAATGAATGGAATGTCCAGCATTCGGGTATCGGTGAATCGTGAGCTGCTCGTCTCCAAGGATTTCGTTCATTTCTTGGATACTCTCTTCGATGCAAACGGTACCATCCTTTCCAGCCACTAGCACATGAATGGAAAAGTCGATTTTCTTTTCCTTGAATAGTGACGCCAGAGTTCGGCAATCGGCCTTGCCTTGGGAGGTACTGAGCACATGCTCGTAGCAGAGTTTCCGGAAATCGGGGCTAATGTGTGACCACCATGTAGATGACTGCGGAGCCTTTGCATTTGGTTCCAGTCTACCATTTCCTAACGCCCTTTCCACAAAACTATCTGGATATCCAACCTCCTTCAAGGCTTGAACCAGGGACTCTTTCGAATTCCGTTGACGATCAAAGACTCCATCGTATGGTTTGAGTTGCACCAATCCATTACTTGTAGGAGATCGTTCCTCAATATCCATATCTTCAATGACCAAGGCTGCTATTTTGTCTGGATACGTCGCAGCATAACCAAGGACCACGCGCCCTCCCAATGAGTGGCCGATGAGTACCACTTTTTCATCATCGTTGGGGGCATTGGCAGTGATGACTTGATGAAGATCTTCCACAAGTACGCTCTGAGAAAAGTTATCTGGGTTTCCAAGGGGAGAATATCCACTACCCCGTTGATCCACAGCTACGGAAGGTCCATCGAGATGAGGCATTGTCTTTTCCCATGTCTTGCTGGAGGAATCCAGACCATGCACAAGGATTGTAACAGGAGTCTTTTTTGACGAGCTCTCGCTCTTTCCCGTTCCCTTGATTGTATTCAGCGATATCATTGAAAGCGATGGTGTCACTAAACTAATAATGAAGAAAAGAAGCCTCAGCATTTTAATTTGTATCCCAACAAGGGAAGAAGCGTGCGTGAGTGATGCAAATGAAGCAGGTTTCGACCCATCCGATCAAACCGCCTGCATTGATATTCGATCTCTTCGACTACAAACATGGCGCACCTTTTGGCCAAAATTCGTGTTTGAAACTTTTGTCGTTTGTTCCATCTTGACAATGGTGGCAAAGATGTCACCATTAAACAGCTGATCACCATGAAGATCAACAGGACCTCGTTTCGTGAAAACAACAGAAGATGGACTAATTCGCAAGTCGCGGTGTGGACGCTCTTTCTCTTCATCATGCATATCGTATCCCAACAAGAGGGTGTCTCATCAGCAGCACCACAGTATCTGGCAATAAGCTCACTGTACGAAGAACAATACCGTCGGCAGACTCAGAATTGCCCCCCTTCCGAACCTAGCTCAGACTCATCCTCTAGACACGAGATTGTGATTTCTTCTGAAAGAAACAAACGAACGGCATACAAGACATCGTCCTCCTTCAACAAAGCACCTTACTATTTGACAGGGCGAACAGCTTGGAAGCCAAAACACAGTGAACAATTCAACAGCGACCAATACAACGAGGGCAAGGTATTTTACTCTATTGAAAAGTCTTCGATACAAGAGATACCGTCGAGTCAGAACTCGTGGATTCTTCCCAAGAAACTTTCCAAACCAACTCGGAATCACGACAATGTCATTTTTGATGTGGCTGGAGGAGGACCGTCAACATCAGGTCGTCAGATATTGCTCGCCATGCTGGGTCGCCATTCGGGAGTATTGCAATGGATTGATCTAATGACGGGAGAACAAAATCGAACTACAGTTACAGGATTAGATCCTGCCGGAAATGGATTGGACAATCTCAATCACGTGTACAGTGTGGTAGTGGATTCTCTGTCCAATCCGTCATATAAAGAAGTTTGGCTCCCTTGCGGCTTTCATGGACATGAAGTAAATCAAGAAGAGAGCAGTGAATATGCTAGGATTGTCAATCTCAAGACCATGACGGTCGAAGTGGGACCCAAACTTCCTTTTGCAGGCGGAGCTTGTGTGGCGGCAGCCATTCATGTTCATGGCCCCAACGAACCACCTCATATTTGTGCCTTTGGTGGAACCCATGGGGCACACGACGCGGGAAACTTTCTACCATATACGTCCTGCTATGATCGAGTGGCAGAAACATGGCATCATCCCTTTGGCCGTCTCCCGTTTGGCTTGGATCACGGTTCGCTGGTCCAAATCCCACCTTCCGTTTGCGATCCTTCCGACCCAGGACGCATCCTCATCTTCAACTTTCGGACACGATCCTACGGTACCCAAAGCCCAGAGATTCTAGCCTTTGATCTTCCAGCATCCGGTTGGTCCAAACAAGAAACTGCCAACATGGATCCCGATACACCAGGAGGGTGGTATGTGTATGCCAATATTTCGTACTTCGGCACCCATGACGAAGTTAATGCGCCCCGAGACGCCAGTGGTGTAGCGATTGCCAATGATTGGAGGAACATCCTCAACTTTGGTGGAATTCACTATCACAGGCACCGGAATGTTACCAAATGGAATGGAGATACAAAAGTGAAGCGATCGAGAAGAAGATTCTCGACCATTCGAAGCCTGGACGTTTGCGCCAAGACTTGGTCCAAAGTGGGAGACTTGGGCATGCGCACCTTTGCGTTGCAGACCACTGTGAGTGAAAAGCTGAATGTTGCTGTCACCTGTGGTGGGCATACCTACAAGCGGCAAACAGAAAACAGTCCATGGTGCATTGTCAATCGAATCCCTGGAATGAAATTGCAGGCCAGTGGAGGAAGCAAAACCACCCAGAGCGAAGTTCCTGGTCTTGTGTTTGATGACAAATGAATATGAATTCAAGACAGAAGCAAAGGAGTCTCGGGCATCCTACTCGACGTTTGTTTTGCGAGTGATGCCAGCCCCACAAGCAAACAAAATGTGTACAACAGAATACAACAGCATCAATATTACAGACTTATGCTATACATTCATTCAAGACATTTTTGATGACTATACATGCATCTCCCCTTTTTGATGATCCCCAGACAAGCAATACTAATATTGCCGACGAGCGTAGCTTTGATTTTGGAAAGCGCTCGATGGCGACTGGGATCTACTGTAGGATCCAGGCGGTTTGGAAAGAAAGGCCTGGCTCGGAGAGGCTCCACCAGAAGACGAGGATCGCATTTTCGTTTGACCTCCGGAAAAGGAAAAGCTAGTGGCCGCGGTAATGTTCCGAATGCCACCCGGACTGATCGACGAATCTCCCGGAAAGCGCCCTTGCTGAGATTGATGGTGGTGCTGATTGTATCCACCAGATTGGCTACCCATGATGGGTCTGCGACGTTGCGGAGTTTCAAGTTTTTGTTGCTTGGCACGTTCTTGGGCCTCTCGTTGAATCATAAAGCCTTGAATGGGAGGTTGAGGAGGACCGCGTGACGAGCTCTGAGGCAATCCAGCACCGCTGACGCGCCGAGGACCTTGTGGGGATTGGCTTCGCATATTAGATTCATGATAGCTTCGAAATTGCATGACTTGCTCTTCTCGTTCGGCCAACTTCTTTTGTAGCGAATGTAGCTGTTGCCGTTGTTTCTCGATAGTCTGCTCATACATCATCTTTTGTGAATTTTGAGATTGCTTTAGTGCTAGATTCTCTTTCCGAAGTTTGTCAAGGAGTTTCATAGCTTGGCCTGATTTTGCGTTCTGCTTAGTAGATTCCATGAGAAATTGCTTCATGAGAAATTTCGTACTAGCTCGAAGATCATCGTTTCTTTTCATTAGATTTGCGCAGACATCTTGAAGCGCCAATGACTGGGACTTTGGATTTTGTTTCGTGAACATGCTTTGAAAGCAAGTAGTGGTTGACGAATCATTGGGCGTCGGGTCGGCAACGACAAGTTCTGTGAAATCGTTTTCGGATAGAACACGATTGCAACAAGGACAATTTGGACTGGTCTGAAAGTGACTGTACGTGCACTCTTTAAGGAAAGCAAGCTATGAGCAAGGAAAGATAACTAGAATTAAAAAAAAGGGGACACGATTCAATACTTGCCTTCGCAAAATACGCAATTGCAAGCCACAACAAAAAGAGTTGTAGAAAGAGGCTTCCGACATTTGTTGCATGTCATTGGGTGTCCTGTCGCTTGTCGTCGGCTGGATGAAACTGAACTACCAGTTCCATGCCGTGATAATCGACTCATGATAAATGTTTACGATTTACTTTGCCTTTACCTTCCTTCTATGCTTTCTTGCCAATCGAAGCTGTTGGTCCGATGTGTATTGATGAGTGTGATATATGTGGCGGATCTCGTGCGCTTCCGCCTTATTTTTGATGTTGTTTTGAAAACTCGCCCGCGCGCGACGAGTCGAACGATTCATTCTCAATTCATGCGTTCAACGTAACGCGAAACCAAACGATAGTATTATGTCGACTGAATAGGTTCCACACCAAAGCTAATATCACCTTTCACGTAAATAACATGTACTTTTAGTAAAATACAATATATACTCTCTACTGGTTTCATTCAAAATTTTACAGGAACGTTCTCAAACAGAGACGACCGAGAATTCGTCATCCTCGTCGGGGTCCTTCATTGTTGGTGTGTTGGTATTGGGAGTTCGTTCCGTGTCAGACGAGTCTTTGGAGGCGCCAGTTTCTTGGTGTTCCAAGTCTCGCGCAACCACTTCATCTCCAATGTATTCCTCATCGGATTTGAATCTACAAATTCCAGATTGAAGCCTTGACAGTAGTGCGGCTGCTGAGCAGAGACCAGACGCCTCAACAATGAGACACAATCGAATAATGTAATAGATTGCTCGGCTGGAAAGAAAAGGAATCGGTGAAGAAGATGCAATGACACGCCAGACAAGGGATGCTGCAATGGTTGTCAAGATAGCCGCGAGAATGTTGGAATTGAAAATTGTCTCTTGGACTCCATCCGAAACGTCAAAAATGTTTTGGCCTTGTCCAATCACAACAGCCATTCCAGTGATTCTTGCGACAACAAACATAGTAGCAGTCACGAGCATTTGCCGTCCAATGAAAAAGGCTTGCAGGTTTTCTCCGTGCAACACCATATCGCGATTCGTCTTGGCAACGACATGTTCCGAAAAGGCCTCGTCTGGTAGCTTGGACACTGCCAAAATGGCAATTTGCATTCCTTCGAGCATGCCGGCAAAAATCATCAGGAGGAAGAATAGAATAACCGAAAGGTAGGGAGGAGTTCCCTTCCACATGGTAGTCTTGCCCTCGACTAGTGCCGTTAGGATGTAAGCAAACGCAAAGCCAAGAAGAGCACAGGAAAATGCAACACGCAACCAAAAGAAAACCCCTTGCATCAGCGTTCTCTTTTTTGGTTCTTCCGTTGGTGGCTTCTTGCCACTGAGCTTTCCAAATATGATTTGCACCAAGTACGTTGCATGCAGTAGCCCGGATGCTTCGATGACCATGGAAGCATAGGTTACAAAGTATAGAGCAAAGAGATTGTTGATGGTATCCAGCATGCTTTTCGAAGCATTCACTTGAGCCATAAGTTGGCCAAACATGACTGTAATGAGCATCACAGCGATTCCAGATTTCACAAAAATCGCATTCAGAAACTCTGGCATGTCCAGAACTTTTGCGCCAACGATAGATCCAGCCAACAAGTTGGTGACAAAGACTGCCAGAACCACAAGAAATTGTCTTCCAACAATAAATCGTTCCAAATTTCCATCCTTGTGAATGTAGTTCGTAGAAACGAACGCAAATGGATGGCTGTCTCCATATCTTGCCTTATCCACTGGAACAAGTCCAACTAACGAGGTTTGGGATCCCTCCATGGCAGCCATCCAAATCAAGACTAACCAAAATAAAAAGATGGTAACACCGGGATGAAGAGACTGAGAAACTTGCGTTTGTCTCGTCCCCATCAAGGCCATGGCAATGACAACGGATGCAATTAATAACAGCATAGAAAAGGTGTCCTTGATGGAAGGAAGCATTTGAATTCTCGTGCTTTTCTTCTTGTTTTCTGTCACGACCTTCTCACAAGTTTCGTTCTCAGAGGAACCTTGTGGTTCCACTTGGACAGCAGCATCCGATTGCACTTCATCGGTATTGCTTTTGTTGAAGCAGCCCATGATGATATTATGTTGTTGCAGAATGGCTGCTTTTCAATATTTTATAACGAAAGCAGCGTCCACTTCATATATTGTGAAAGGAGATTGACTCTGCGTACTGTGGTTTTCTTTTTGTATCCGATCGAAAATACCAGTACTCGTAGTGTGGAAAAACGCACGACTTGAAAAAACGTCGTTGGAAATGTGAAGCGGCTCGGGAACAAACGGTGGAATCAATCTCTGAGACACAGAAACAGTGACGCTGGGGTCCTTAAATAAAACATGGAGCACCCTTAAGTCGTACTTTTCAAAACGCCTTCGATCCGACTCTCACGATTTGGTTGGCCGTGAGAAACTTCGTAACGTGATACTCTTTGGCCGTAAAAGCAACGTGACGATTTCAGATTGGCCGTGAAAAATCAGAATATTCGACCGGTTCGAATGCCATTACAGCTATGTCAGTTCCGCAACCAGAATCCTGAAACCAAAACCCGCAAACTGTCATCCATCCACATCACTGACAATGACCAACGCCAAGAGTACTACGATACACTGAATGGATCACTAAAAATTGACATGTCATCCCTTTTCAACAAGTGCAATCATGTGTCAAGGGCTATTGCCTTGCTCGCTTGTTGTGTATTGTGGAGTATCTTCATCCACGGAGGCGTTGCCTTTCAGAGACCAAATCAAGAAGGTTCCACAGACCTTGAGCTACTGTACGAAAAGCTCCATGGCGCCAATCAAAGAATCAAGGAATTGGAAAGTGGCTTGATACATAATGGTAGTGCTCAACATTCAATGCGGTTATCGTCGCTACCTGGAAATCTCACTCTGGGAGACAAGAATCTGTTGCCTCGATTTTCGGCGGCCAAGATATTGTTCGAGTCTTTGCCGTTTTCGGAAAGCACGTTTGCGAAACCATTGGTCCTACGAAATTTCATTCGGCGTGAGCAATTGTTGAACAAGACAACCATTGTGCTATCTACGCAGACATCCACACGCAAATTCGATAGTTTGTATCAGCAGTTATTCTATTGGAATGGTCCTTCCTCAATTGCAATCTACATCAAAAGCGAAAAAGATCTCTTGCAATTGGCAAACTTTACTTCGGAAAATACTGAGCTTTTGAAAGAAGCTAGTTTTCATCTAGTTATGGAAAAGACAAACTTGCCATATCCAGCGAACATACTTCGAAATGTTGCAATGGAAGGGATTGAAAGTTTCTACTTTGTGGCCATGGACGTGGATCTGATTCCGCTACCAAAGAATTGCCACAGCAAACTGAGCCTTACAATGTCGCGACTATCCATAGCTAACAGAACCAAAACGCTCTTTGTGCTGCCCGCTTTTTCACTTCTTCCAGAAAAGAAGGGAACATTTGCCAACGCAAGTGAAGTGCCCAAGACAAAACGAAAAGCAGTCGCCATGGCAAGGAGAGGCCGTATTGAACAATTCTGGAGACGAAAGTTTCCTCAAGGCCATGCTCCATCCAGATATCCAGCTTGGATGAAAGCAGGTGACGACTCGAAAGACTTTTATCGAGTCACTATGACCAAGACCCAGAGCAAGAGTTACGAGCCCTATGTCTTGGGCTTCAAGCCAGGCGTACCGAGATACTGGGAAGGTAAGCCATCAACACCGTATTACACCTCTCACGCTCCTTTTGTTCAACTCACCGGTTTTGACAATTTCTCCGAAACATTTTGCAACGAAAATGTCCAGATTTCCGGTAAGCGATTAGGATCATCGTTCACGATCACCGAGATACACACCTATTGACTGACCAACCGTATCTTCTCCTCTCTTCTTACGATGTTTCAAATGGATTTTGTCTCTTGTCATCATGATGAACTAATAGCGGCTTTGGCAGGAACAAAATATCGTTCTTTACCGAATGCTATCGAGCTGGGTACACTTATGCTGTACTGACTCAGTTCTTTTGCATCCACTTGGATCATCCTGCTATCGAACCTACAGTAAAGAAGGAGCAGAATATGGCAAGCCTCAAGGTTTGGAAGAAGTTTCACAATGAGTATTTGAATCCAAAGTACGGCAAGCCAAAAGAGTAGTGCGTGCTGGGGTTGAAACTTGAAACCAGCGGATAACACTTCAGGGTACTGACAACTACCAGCTATTGAGTACCAGGTATACGCAATCAGTGAAGAAGCGAGATGGATGGAAGTTTCTCATTTTCCATTAGTTTTGTTGAACAGTCACCGTGGAATGCCGAGGAACAAGAATTCCAGAGACACTGGACACGTGTGTTGGTCGGAAAGCGGAACTATGCGGTATTGGTACACGTACCTCCCCTTGGCACCTACCAGCTGTTAGGTGTCAAAACAAGAGTATACCGGTAGGTCAAAACCGTCAATGAAAAAGAAAGTTCGGGTTTTGTGCTTTTGAGGCTCGACTTTCTGACAGGACTATGAATCTTCTCCTATTCTATTGTCAAGAGTTATATATAAATACAGGTCTTTAAATAGACGTGATAAGAAAACTGCTTCCCTGGAAATGAAGAGCCTCGCGAGAGACACTGGGCGTGTGGTACAGTGTCAATAGCATACGAAGTGTGAAATAATCATTGGACCAAATGGGCGGTCACAGAACTCAATTTTAATATAAATGAATTCGTGGAAAGTTCTGGGTGACTGCATAGACATAAAATAGGATATCTTTCTGTCCATTTCGTTATGTAGAACTATTTTGATAAAAAATATGCCTCAAGAGAATTTCTCAGTCGCCGGTTGCTGTTGAGGGCTCAAAAGTGGGATTGGACATATGATTGATTTGTTTACGCGCATACATATTTGATTCATCACAGAATTGATTGCTCAACAGTTAGTCTGATAGGTGTGTTTTTAATTATATATATGCATTACCCAATGTCCGTCCGGATGATTTTTCTTTCTCTACTGGAAAATATTTTCGCCGATGAGCGGTCATACCGAAACGAACCGGCAATTCTGTAACCAGAATTTTGCCAATCAATCGTAATAGTCCCACAAATTCATGAATCAGTCACAGCCCACCATGACAATCATACGCAAGAGAGGAGTAACCATCAACCCAACTGTCAAAGCTGTAGAGGTCTTGAGCATCTACGATTATACCCCTAGCGAGATAGCAGCTGCTTGGTATGACGAAGACGACATGCAAAAAATCACACAACGGTGCTTCAAAGTACTGCAAAGAATGGAAGAATGTGGAGGAACCAAGAACGGCCAAAAGTATTGCACTCGAGGTCTGGAAGGTCACACCACGCTGGGGTCCATTAGTAAAAAGAAAACAAGAACAGCTGCGTTCGCAGCAGTGCTAAATGAGCAAGCAAGGCAATGGAACGAGAATGAACAAGTCAACATTCAAGCCATTTCTTATGCATACAGAAAAACTAGCTCAAGCAGCCAAATGTGGGCTCAAGTCATTGGCAACCAAGACCGACAGGCCGCAGATGCTTATCTCTACGCCGATGAAGAAGAGGACGAAGAGGTTGATGCGACTAGACCCATGAGAACTACAACTACAAGAACCACAGTTTCAATTTCTGCTCTAAAGAGTCCCGTCAGCCAAAAAAGAATACGGAAAGTGGAAAGCGCAGCTCGCCAGAAAGGAATCAAGCAGAAAAGTGCGAGGGCAGCATGACTACTAATTCCGGCACATTAAAGCATTTTTCTTAGACCATCATATAACACATCATAACACATCATTTCAGTCCACATCATTGCATTCGTCGAAGACACTTGACGGAGATAGATTTCGGATCGCGAAACGATGTTTGCAGTTTGTATTCCACAATTGCATAGAGTAGTATAGCTCCGCTACTTTCATATACACCGGTACCGATACCCGTACCGGAATATTCATTATTTGTACCGTGTCCCGGTATGTACCGGTATGTACCGCATTAGTAACTAGTTCGACTCCTCCGATCGTCTTAGTTGACTCCTTCGAGTGAATGAGTCATACTGAGTTTCTGTGCTTCTTCCGTTAGGAGGAAGCGAGAAAACTACAAATGTTGCCTGGGAGTTATTATGATCCATGTATTGAAAGAATAAGTCAATAAGGAAACCCAGGAACTTCGGCCATCCATATAAAAGTTATTCATCAAGCACGCTTAATTTCAAGGAGTCAAAATGAAGTTTGGCGATATCCAGGGCCAGAGCTTATTTTGGTTGGCGTTGTTGGCTGAGTGTGCCACTGGTTTTGTCGTCACCAAACTGAACACTGTCTCTTCCACTGCGTTCACTGCTACATCATTGCCAGACTACGGTAAGACGTCAGTAGAGGTCGATAAGATCAAGTTGGAACCCAAGAAGAAGAAATGGAGAAGAGAAGACTTGTTTGGTTCTTCAATTGTTGACCAAACCTTGCAAGAATTGGAAGAAGATGACGACTTTCAGG